GATAACACCTTGTCCTTAAGATGCTCATGTATGCAGTGAACCTATGATTCAGTTTACCAGCATGTGAAAAGTGCACTGTTGCTGTGCTGAAAGTTTAAATCAAGATAATATATTAACTTTTTACTTGGCCTAAAAATAATTGTACATTTAGAAAAAAAATACTAATAGCAAAATGAATCATTTGAATCCATGTTTTATTACCTTGCCAGAAATCTTTAAAATATTGTTTTGAAAATTGTCAGCTAAATCTGTTGTGGCCTTGCTTTACCCATTCACTTTAGTGGTAATATACCACATTATTGGAAAGGATCCTTTCTTGTATTACAAACAGTGTCTGAGATCATCAGTGCTGATACTGGGTTCATAAAAGAAGTAGTCTAGGATAATGCAATATTTGTTTAGTGAAATCACAGAATGAAAGTATCAAGAATCTTTTCAGTTATCATTAGTGTTCTGACAGTGGTAGTGTTAGACAAGGCAAGCGTTAAACTAAAATTCACTGGAACTGACTCCTTCAGTTGAAGCGCATGTGTTGTGTTCATGGCGGTACTACTCAAGCACTTAAGCTGTGATGAGATACTTTGTTTCTGAAAAATGTCATTGTAATGGGTAAGGCAAAAGTAACTATCTAACTATCTTTCTTTTTTTTTTCTTCTTTGGTGTCTGCATCTGGCGGGAAGCCTACTTTCTGCTAAAATTCTGTGGGAGAGGAATTATATAAGAAGATATTTATTTTTAATTGCACTTGTCACATTAAGCTGCAGTGTTACTCACCAAGCAAGAAAAGTATTAGATAATGTGTATAAAAAGTAGAAAATTTTGTCTTAATTTCTCAAGACGTTCTATTTAATTTCTTTCCAGAATTGCCAGGATGTACCTTCTGTCTTGAATATTGATGGAATTCAGAAACTTGTTCTGTTTTCACACAGCTGCTTACATAACGTGTTACCATTTTTTCCCCCCTCTGGATTCTTTGTTGTTTGCTTGTGCATCCGTCCTTACTCAGACCTGCCTGGTCAGCCTTTCTGCTTTTATCAGGAAGGGTTTTTTTCTGTCCAAGAAGAACCTGTATGGATTGTGCTGCTGCACAGCAGAAAGGCTTATTCCTTCAACAGAAAATAGCTAATTCAGGGTTTTCCTAAAATCGCCTAAACTTACTAAAGTTGTAATCAGTGTCTTAAAAGAGAAAAGACAGACATGAGAAGTTCATTGGTATTTTAATAGCATGGTGTATGGAATGTTTTAAAGTGTTTGCTTGCAATTGTACTATAGGAAAGATTTGGATGGATAAATGAAATGCAGGGACTGATGTGAATTAGTAAACACATAAAAATAAAAACTTTGAGGACTGGAGTTTTTTTTCCCCAGCCTAGGCTTACCCTTTCTTAATACCATACTGCTGTTGTGCTCAGTTCTGCAGACCTTTTATGGGTTGCTTATGATAAATAATTTTTCTCAACTTGTGGTCTTCAAGAAGCTGAATTTCTGTTTTGCTGAATGTTTGGCAGAAGGAGAAAGTTGTCTGCTTTTCATAGAGAAGGCCGGGTGGCAAATACAGTAAAAATGCTTTGGCTGTTCAGGTATTTGCTGGGCTATCAGCAGTGTAAAAGCTGAATGTCCCTTTGAACACAAATGGAGTATGTATTGAACACTTTTTTTTCACTCTGTAAGTAATGCAAGAATTACTTTTTTTGTCTTTTCTCCAGGCTTAATTTTCTTCTAATTGCTACATGGAAGTCAGTTTAAGGAAGCTAGTATTGAATTTTCTTTTGAAGGCAATAGTTATACTTGCCACTTTTAGACCATTCTGTTTTAAACAGGAGCTACTGCCAACAAAACTCGTCAGCTCCAATGAGTGTACTTTTGCTGATTTTCTTTTGATTGCTCCTGTGGAATATGCTTTCTTATGCTCTGAGTCCCTCTGCTAGCAGTATGTTTCTAGACAGTTTGGAAGAGGACAATAACAATCCTGGAGGACAGTAAAAAGAGGACAATAAAAAAGTTGCTGTGGTACCAGTGGAACTGAGCGCTGCGAAGGTGTGTCAGCACTGGAGTACAGCAATTTGTTGGAGTGGCACAAGGAGCTGATTGGTGTGGCCAAACCATAGCACTTCAGTACAGAGATGATAAAAGGAAATGTTCTTGAGTAGCTTCTGCTGTTTGAAGTGCCCTGTTAGATATCACTGTGCCAATAGCCTAAATTGTAGCTTTGAGCAGCTTTAAGTGTCTTGGATAGGCTGGTGTAACAAATAGCAGCAGTAGAAAGGCTGCAGTGTCAGAGATCCCAGCAGCAGCCTCAGCCTTGCTCAGCTCTGGGGTTGCTGCTGAATGCCTGCTCCTGCCTGCAGCTTGACCTGCCTGGCACTGAGGGTGTTTCAGCCAGAGCAGGAGCGGAGCACCTGGTGCTGTATCTGTGCCCTGGCAAGGTTACTGTCACAGATTCAAGTGCTCTGTTTGGATATTGGGTGACTGAGCTGTACCACCTGTCTGGAGTTACTGCAGGCCAGCTCTGGGGTTTCTCAGTGTGGGAAAACTTGTCAGTTTTCATTTGCTTCTTCCCAGTTTGAAGGATTTTGTGCATTTAGCTGTATTTGTTCAAGGGAGAAATGAAGGTACCTGGATTCTCATGATGACTCTAGCATAGTGAGAAGCAGGAATAATAGTATTTTTCTTAATTCTTTAACAGAGCCTGAAGGATTTGGAAAGCTGATGGTGTCATCTGAGGGAGTATCTTGCTAGTTTGTTAAATTGGATAGACTCTGTAATTTCAGGCAAAAGCATAAGATGAAGTAGCAGATATACTGCTGAAATTTTATAGTGTACCTTAAAATGACAGTTGTTCCTGAAAATAAAACAGGAACTGTTTAGGAACCTGGAACAGGTCAGTTTAGGAACAGGAACCTGATCAGTCAAGGTGTAGCATAAAAACTGCAGGAGGTTTTGATAACGCTGAAGTATAGGCAGAGAAAACTATGTTGGAAATGTATTTTTAGAATAAATAAAAACCACAGTTAAAACCTTGGGTAATTTAAAGGCAAACTGGACTGAAACTGCCTGCAATTAGGTATGGATTTGCTATCTGTTTTGTTTTCTGGTATGAATGAGTCCTAGTGTTTTTCGTGATGTCAGAAAACCCTGTATAAGATGCTAACCATGACAGTGTAAGTTAGGGACTGACTGTAGCAGGAGGATGAGACAGTAACTGGCATTACTGCAGACATTGCTATTTTCCATAGTACAGCAGTTGAACTATAAAATACTTTTCCTAGACTTCTGAATGTGACTTTCCTAAATGAAGGCAAAAGAGGAACAGCTATTTAAAAGACAAATCCAAAAAGTTTTGTCTTTTTTAGGGCTGTAGCAAGAGGACTTCTGAAGTTTCTATGTAGCTACTTAGATAAAATTATGAAGGAGAAGCTAGAGCATAGCTAGTGGAGGGAGTTTCATTTTCCTATTCTCTTTGGTAACTTTTAAAATTTTTGTAAAAAGAAGTAGCAGTTCATTAATACTTAGCATCTTTAAAGTTTCTTAGGTGTTTCCTTCAAACCTACAGAATATACAAATAATGTTCTCAATTTGGCAACAGAAGTTCAATAATCTTTTTCCCTTGCAAAACTGATGTTTATTGCCACTGAGATATTCCATTTATTTGGTCTCTCACATAGAGTTCTCCATTTGAACTGGTATTGGTGTTATCCCCAGTGGGCTGATTCATGCAGCTCCAGTCTCAGAGGAGTGCAGCTGGACAGTGTTTCCTTCTGTCTGTGCTGTGCGTGCTACTCATCACCCTCTTCCAGCCCTTCCTGTGGTTTCGTATGACTGTACTTCTTTTGCTGTTTCCTGTGCCTAGAGCATGGAAATGGCTCACCAGGTTATGCAGTCTGTTTCAGAGGGAAAATTCCTGTTCTGTTGAAAATTGAGGGTTTATAGTATGCATTCCTTTAGCTGTGCCACTAAGTTGCATTTTATTTCCTTTGAGGATTAGGGTCAGGAAGTCGTTTCCGGGTGTCACCACCTGGCTGCGAGTCCTCCCAGAAGTTCAAGTTGGATAGTTTGGTACAGGATGTTCCTCTGAGTTGGATGTGTGCCTTCCTACCTTGAAGCTACCCATTACTCATGCCTGTTGGCTTGCAGTGGCCTGGCCCCACTGATGAGTGTCTTTATAATTTACTGTGGGTGCTTTTACAGAAGGTTCATTTGAACTGCAGCTTGCATACCATTGTAAATGCCTTTGTTTTCCCCTGTCAAAGAAATATCTGCTTGAGAGTTTTGTGTTAATTATGACAGCTTCTTGTTTTCTTTGTAACTTTTTAGTATTGAATTAATTTATATGTGGTTAAAGTTTTGTATGTTGGACCCTTGTTTCAGTGGGATGAATATCTTCTTGCATCTTTCACACTTGCTTTCAATCTAAACAAATTTTTTGGCTATATTTTAGGAAATTGTTGCCACTTTACAAAGAATGAGATGATGAAAATTGTGTTAAGCTCTTAAGGAAGCATTTAAAGTGTTTGTGCTTTAAAGGGTTTGATATATTTTTAAGTGTGCATTTTCTATATGTTACCCTTTAAAAGAACCAGTGCATCCAGTTCCAGACTCTACCCAACACATATATTTTCAAGAAGGGCATGCAAGAATATGGGTCTTCATAAAATAAGCTTACCTTCTAGCTTTTTAAATGGATTTATTTTCTTTTTGGTATCGTTATTGTCCTTGTTATTCTTGTTTCTGAAGTTCAGACTCCTCATTGCTTTTCTGCATTTGTGCTGTAACTTCGTGCTACAAATGCTCTAATTTACTAACTTCTTTCATTAACTTCCTTTTTCATGGTAAGCACTATTTTGTTTTTGGTTGTTTTGCTGAGAAAACAGCAGTACCATATTCTGTTCCCCTCTGGGGAAAAAAAAATAAATCTATACATATAATAGATCCTAGTGAATAAACCCATGGCTAAGGAAACGTTTTCTGAAGGCATTATTTTTTTTCTTTTTTCCTTTTAGTTCCCGGAATGGATGGTGGTGGGTTAGCTGATGCTAATCTGACGGATTCATACTTTAGCACCAGCTTCATTGGCGTTAATGGATTTGGAAGTCCTGCTGAAACCAAGTATCCCATGATGCAGGTAATAGCAGTGATTTGTATAATGTTTCATTAGTTCCGGTGTTCTGGTGTTACACCAAAAAGGGAAAAGTGCTCATGAGGCAGGACAAATGGAGCTTTCTGGAATGTATCATCTTGTATGATATACAGAGTATATATTCACTTTAATTTTGCAAATGGAAATGAAACAGTATTATTGCTTTAAAATTAATTTGGTTTTATTTGCACTTACCTGAGCTGTTGTGTTGAGCTTTGCTGCATACATTAATTCTGTGTTAGGTTTCTTTTCTGAATGTGACTTTCTACATTTCCTTTTAGGCTTGTAGCTTTTGGTAGCCTTTTGCTAAATATATAAAATTCAGATTTTAAGACTTTTCAAAGACCCAAAGTCATTGAAGGAAAATATGAACTGTCAGACCTGAAATTACTAGGCAAAACTTTCAGAATTTCTCTACTCAGACTCTGGTGGTGGTATGTTGAATTCATATTTAAATCTTCTGAAATGTTTCCTTGTATTTATAGTGTTCTGTAGAGGTTGGCTTAGGAACTCCCATGAAGTGGAATTTATTGTGTAGGTAGTATTGTGGAAAATTTGCAACAAAAGTCTGTCGTATTTAAAACCTAAATGAGTATCTCTGAATTAACACACAAAGTATTACAATAACTCCCTCAAAGTGTTATGCATTTTAAAAGAAGCGCAGTAGCTGAAAGAAGATGGTCTGTCCTGTAGTAAACAAAGCAATTTCTGGTAAATGAGAGAGTATGAGTCAAACAGTTCACACTGAGTCCTGACAACAACTCTCTTCTTTTATATCGAGGAAACTCTCCTTGTGAGGTTACTTTGATCTCAATTGTGGCTGTATAATGGATTGAAAAATAACTCAGCAAAAGGTGGGAATTAATTAGGTGTGTTCCTTTTTTTTCTTTTGGTTGGTTGGTTGTTTTTTTACTGCATGTTTTCAAGGAGACTGGATTTTCTTACTCGACAGAAATGCAGAAGTATAGAAATGCTTTCTTGACAATTATGCATGATTTAAAAAGAAAAAATTTAACCTCTTATTCCAAAGTGTACTATTGAAGCTGACAGTTACAAATTTTTGTATAACTGAGGTCCTATAATTTTAACACAGAGTCATTATGTTTTGTATCTTTAAACTGTATTCTACAGAAACACTAGTGTCTTTCTAAACACTAGTTTTTAGGTATAACTGTTTCTTCTAGAAAGACAGACATGCAAATAAGGTATGCATCTAACATGAATGCTCATGGGATTTTTAAATACTTTACTAATTCCTGAGATTACAGTCAAGGCATTATTGTTTCTCTTTGGGAAGAAATCAATGTGCCTCTTGCCCATTGGAGGACAAGGAAAATTACTTTGGAAGTAGGATTTTATTAGTGTTGAGAATGTGCTTACAGGCATCAAACTACAGTTTGAAAAGCATTCCTGTATTGATTTTTTTCCTTTGAATCTTGTAGTTTAAGTTCTTGTTTACATAGGTAATGCTGTCTGTTTTGATTGTGTGTCAGCTTGTAGGTTAAGTACATACTGATAAAGTTCAGCCACATGGAATGAGATTTTCTGTGTCATTCAGCCCTATGGAGAGCAAGGCAATGGAGAAATTTTAGTGGGTTTGACTTCAAATAATACTAGTAATTTATGATTTGGAATAGAGACTTTGAATCTGGTAGATTGGTTATTGTGTCAAGGATCTACCTCTTGCTTGCTTTCTCTGAAAATTTGACAGATTTTGTCAGTTGATGAAACCTTTGCAGAACTGGTTTATATGGATCCACTGGAGACTTCCTAGATGTTAAATAATTTCCCAGAGATGTAATCTGCACTGACAAGTTCTAGCTTGAGTACATTTTTGTAGTTGCAGCTCTGGCATAATCTAGGCCTTGACTGAACTCAGAGCAGGAACACTGATCAGCTTCATTTCCCTCTTTCCTTTCTTCCCCTTCAGACTGAAGCAGCATGGAAGTGGATCTATATTTAATGAAAGAGCTGTATCTGTGTTAATTAGTGCAGAGGGGTGGGTGAGGGAAAAGAAACTTATACTGTGGGCTTAGAGAAGCTGAGCTGAAGATAAGTAAAGAAGAAACCAGGAAAGATTGAGCAAAGGGACTGAAGCAGAAAGGAGATCTTGGTGGGGCACTCACAGAATGGGGACTGGAATAGTAGAAATACAATACACAGAAACTGAAAACAAATTTTCATAATGTAAAGGTGGGACAAAGTAGGGTGGAGAGAACAAATCCATGTTCCTATTTCTCTCCAGGTTCTTGAATCAGACTGAAGATGCTAAAAGTTTAGTGTTCTGCCATCAATGAAACATCAGATGTCTACTGTGAAATAGTTCATTAACTCCCAGTTTTGCTTTTGCACATGGAAACATCTGAGTTCCATCTGAGTTACTTTGTCATCTCTGGTGAATCTGTGTAGTTCACAAATAGATGCAGTGAGGCTCTTCTGCTAGTTTTTTAAAGCTGGGAAATTGCACAAACATGCAAGAAAACACACTAATAGAAAAACAGTAGTAAGATGCAGCAAGATGTTAGGAAATGGTAAGTTTAGGTTGCTGTTGCAGCCTTGCAGTTATATTTAGAGGTCATAAGGTTGTGTAATTTTTTTTCAGTGGGAAAATTATTAGTGGGACTTACTTAGAACACAAGATGTGTGGTACATCCATGTGTATTGAGCATCTGTTTGATACTTGATTAAATGTTCATCATATGGTTCTGTGCTTTATTCCTGCATGCTGTTTGCATCCTTGTGAAGACTCTTAGTTGGCAGTGCACTTTTGGGTACCATTACAATTATTCCATCAAACTTCATGCAGTGCTTTCTGTATGAAACAGGGAAGTAGTCTAGATTTTATGGATGCATAGGATAAAAAAGGATGGCAATTAAACAATACTGCAACAGTGCTGGCAAACAAGAGACCTGAGTTTTTGAAACTAATCTTTACAGTTGGAAAGTCAAGAATGCAACTTACGACCACCAGTAAAATACTTGGTTCAAGTTGCTTAACTGATCTCACTCTAGCAAGGATAGTGAAAAAGTCAGTCTCTTCAGGGTATCTCTCATTTCTGTTACCATGAAATAATCTTTCTGCTGTCCTTGTTTTGTTCACTACATATCTCTCAATATAATCGTCAGGTATTCAGTTGATGAGTTGTCTTGACCATTCCTATCTAATCTCCAGAATGTGTTTGTCATGTGCAGGGCATAAAACAGGTTTGTTGAAAAGTGTATGTGGTTGCATGTGTTTGGGTTATCATAATGCATGTATAATGGAACCAGACTGCATCAAGCAAATCTATATCAAAATTTGCAGTTACCACATTTTTGTGTGCAGTGCCTGAGCTCTAAGACTCAGTGTTAAGTAAGCAGCAGAAGGGAGGAAAGTGGATTTTATCATGATGAATTGGGAGTGGATGTGCTGCTTTGACCATAAACAATGTATATGAATAGTTGTCAGCATTTCTGTAGAATGACTATTTCTGGCTTTCAGATTTCATTTATATCTGTGGAAGAATATTTTACAAGATGTTGAACATATAATTGGGCTTACATTAGTGATGAAGATGCAATTAATGGCAATATTCTCTTTGCAGTGGGGAAAACAGAGTAAAAGTACATGGCACAGCTCATAAGAGGCAGGATTTTTGAAGTGATTGTAATTCTTTCATTTTCTTCCTTCCTGAAAAATACATCTTTGCCTCATCCTTCCACTCCTCTTAGTTCAAAGGTCTTTGCTGATGGTCAACATTTCATTGCCCCCATCATCTTCTGTTGTTACTTAGTTTCCTATTGACTAATAGTCTTCTGTCCTCACTGGTTTGTGTTTTCCATAAGACTGTTTGTTTCACGTCTCTTCTTCCCTGAATCTGCATATGCTTTCATATGTTTCAAAACAGTTTTGCTTTCCATCTTGCCAAAGCACTTTTTTTCTGTTTTCCCCTTCTCTCAGTGATACTGACTGCAGAGCAAGCCTGTGCAACACGTGATCCACAGGCTGCATGCTGCCCTCAAAGCTGTTTTTTTTCTTTTTGCCATAGCAGCAGCTGCCAAGAGACAATCAGAGGTGTGGTTCAAAAGGCAGCTCACCGCTTTTGGCTTTCCCAGCAGTGAAGAGGCAGGAGCTGACTGGCTGGGATGCCTCTAATGCTTGGCTGTTTGCTCAGTGCATGCCACTTGGTTGGCTGGTGTCACTGTTCCTCTGGCATGAGTGCTGCCCTTTGACTAACTCGACCAAAGATGCAGGTGGTGTGCAAAGAAGCTTTAATAATGTTGTGTTGGGCTGCTGAAAGGCTGTTATAGCAGAATGAGGCAGAGAAGTAATGATGAATGTTAAAACTTCTCACTTTTTATTAGAACTGAGCAGCTTGGTTGTAAGAGCATAAAACAATGGAAGGTGCCTTCATCCATGGTGCTTCACAGGAGTCTGGTTTTCTTTATTTTGATGAGATGAGATTTTTAACTACGCGGATTCCATTGGTCTGCAGGTTATATAGAAAGGAAGAATCTTAAGTTCTCAGTAAATAATCTTAATTGAAATAGGAAGGGAGTAACAGTCTTCAGCATTAAAATTGGCAAGGCCAAGCAATGGAAAATTGGTTTTGCTTGCTTTCACCAAGCAAATGTTGGTTTACTAAGCATTCTTGAATAGCCTGAGAAGTAGCAACCATGCTTACTTCAAAGCCTTGCAGCTGAATAAACACAAAGACCTTTGTTGCCATTGCTGCATCTGCCAACAGTCGAGTAATAAAACTCTCCTTGTAGCACAGAAGCTTGTAAATGTCTTCAGTTTTAACTGTTGAGAGCTGAGTGGAACTACAGATGTGCTATTTTAAATATAAAATTATGCTGTTGTTTTCATAATGCTTTCTGAAGAAGTCCAGTTGCTTTCGTTTCAGCTGTTGAATTGGTCATTCTGTAGATGGTGTCATGTGTGCTGACTGTCAAAGACAGGTTTTAGATTTTTTAAAAAGAAAAGCAAAAAATATCACCCTGTGTAGGTCACAGAATCTGACAACTAAACAAGGTCATAGCCAAACAATAAATCTTAATCTTTTGCAGAATGACTGTTTGTACTCTAATCAACATTATTCTGAAAATTATAAAGAAATATTCTGAAATACAATTCCAGTAAAACAGTAGTAAGATGAAGAGACTGGATTGTGACATACTGCAAAATATTTTCAGGTCATATGCTTAGCACTGTGGAATGACCATTAGGAAAATCCTTACTTTTTCAGGATTAGGGCATGGAATATAGAGAAAAAGAGGAATAAATATGATCTCTTACATATTTTGGAGAGAAGAAATGGCAGAGAAAAAAAAGGAGAACCAGTCACTTCAAGATAAGTGTTATAAGCTCTGTAAAACTAGATCTAATTGTCTGCATCAAAGTTTTATTCATGCTTTATCTTGATGAGAACTTTGTAATATACACTTGAGGGAGATGAAAGTAAAGCATACTTGCCTTAAGTGCAACTATAATCTTGGGGTTTGTTACTGAGTATTGAAGGGTGGAGGCAAGGTGGTGTGTTCCTTTCAGAAGGTGGGAATGTTTGTTGTAACATTTCTTTTCTTAGTGTGCTGCACAGAGGAAGTGGACTGCCTGAAGTAGAACATTCCTGAAAGGTCAGGGGTGATCCTTCCCTTCTGTCCAGCAGTGGTGAAGTCACACGTGGAGTGCTGGGCTTCTCAGTACATTAGAGACAGGGATATATTGAAAAGAGTCCGTTGAAGGGTCACAAAGAGGATGTGGGTCCTGGAACATCCCTCCTGTGAGGGAAAGCTAAAACAGAAACAAATTTTAACTTCTTATAAAGGGAGAAGGGCAGGACGTATGCCAGCCATCCTAGTTGAATTTTGAGTACTGTTTAAAGAACCTCAGCAAATCATAGCAATAGGCAGGTAGAGAAAAGAAGTTTGTGGAAATGAGTGTTTTACTTGGTTATCAGAAAGTTGTCTTTCTATATTAACTCCCATAAGATGAAAGCTCGGATGTAGTAAAACAGTCTGAAGTTCTCATATGTGTGTGCTTACATTCTCTGTCAGGCCTAATATTTAATTTTCTTCCTTGTTAATGGTTGCTTTTGCCTTTCTGGAGCTTTCATCCCTTGGGCTTGAGGTGCTTACAATCTTCTTGAAATTGAGTTTGTATGAAAAATAGTTCAATGTCATTAGAAGAGGTTGATAAGGGTTTTTTAAAATCAGAGCTGCCTTCAGGAAAACACAACAAACAGCACTTGTGTGTTCTTCTAATTAATTTTTTTTCTTTCAAGACCTTTTTGGTAAAAATGGCATACAGGAGTAGCCTTCATTAAGACTAAATGCATTTGGGTGGTGGCAGAAATCTTACTATTAAAACAGTTTAAAAAGCCTTTACTGATTACATGCAGGTCTTCTATGAATAATGTTAAGGTAAGAAGCTTGTGCATGTGTAGTAAAAGTGAGCAAAATGAAAAATTCATGAATGTGATGGAGGTTTCTATCTATTCAAGGTGCAGGTTACAAGCAGTTGTTAAGGCAAGGGTTGCCCAAGCTTTGGTTTTTCAGAAAGCTTGTGAGTGTAAGATATGTTTGCACCTTGAATGGGAACTTGACTTTGTAAAAGCACAGCTGATGCTCACAGGTTTGGGTTGCACTGCTCTTTCAGAATCCAGAACAATATGCTCTGTTGCAGACTGCCTTGTGTGCACTGTGTGTTCTCTGTGATTGTGTCAGCCTAGGTTTTCATCATTGCAGGCTCCTGTTCCCATTGAAAGTCTGTTGGCTGAATATTTAACTCCTGTACCTGAGGATGGTGATTATTGATGGAATAAAAGTGCTTTGTTCCATGTTTAACCTATGCATTTAACCAGCTTTGATACCAGCACAGTTCTCAATATCATATTTATTCATGTTTCAAGAAATCATGACGTTTTGCATTAAAGTTATTATTAAATCTGGTATTATAAGTGGACATTAATACTATTTTTATCTTCACCTGCACAAATCTTGTGCAAATCTGAAAGGTTCCCTTTAGGAAATTTCTTCTTAAACCCCATTGTTTTATGAGGATCAGTGTGGATGTCTCAAATGCCAAAAAAACCATGCATAATAGGGATGCTTTTAAAATTTTTGTGACAAACTATTCAACTTCTTTCCATTGCTTAGGAAGGGAATATGATGTATGATTACTTGAGCTACTATAATATTTTGGTGTATGTTTATTCTTATTTTGATGATTGTGAGCAATTGGATGAGTGTCCTTGAATTTGAACAAAGTTTGTCAATTTAGTGTGTGCCTCTCAAAGCAGTACCTTGTTTTGTAAAAATAAGTCGACTTTGTTTCATCATGCCTTTTGTGTATAGAATTGTTTATCACTTAAGCAGTTAGTGATGTATGTATTGTCTGGTCAGTATGTTTAGGAGAAAGAGACAGGTGACATCAAAATACAGAAAGAGCACATAGCAAACAGCTTGAAGTCTTGAAAAAGTTGCAGGTTTATGTGCTGTTTATGTGTTGTAAGCATTCCACGTGAAAGCTACTTTACACCATCTATTCCTTTAGATACAGGTTTTAAAAGCAGCAGCTCCTGGTGATGTTTGTGGTGCTCTGCAGGTGATGGGAGTCTTGAATTGCAGTAGGTTTACAGTTCTACCATAATGGGTAGCACTCCCGCTTCTGTTGGTTGTCCTCTGTTGTTACCAAAATTACTCCAGAATGTTGATCTTTGTGGTCAACAATTAGATGAAATGGCAGTGAAGTATAACATAGTAAGCTTCCTGCCATTTGCCACCAACATTGAGACTGGCTATGGAGAAATATAACTGTAAAGAGCAGCTCCAGTGACCAGTTCTGAGTCAGTCTGTGTCTAGACTACTAAATGAAACATGCCTGGAAACTTTCCTTGATGCTTAGGGCCAGCTGGCACAAAAGGGCCTGTTTGTGCTGGTGTGTGCTCACCCACTAAAGCAGAGTCTGCATGCAAACTGTCAATTTGAAGGGTTCTCAAACCTTTTCACTGCTGAATAGTGCCTGGAAATTGGCTGGGAGACTCTGGGTTGATGTGGGCCAAAAGCATGCCAGGGAGTATTTTAACAAATTAGTGGTTGTCTCTCTCAGTGATCAAGAACACTTCCTGACCTTGCCTTCCTTTTCTTCTCACACTTTTTCTTCCTGTTGGGGAGCTGGTGAAAGAAAGGTGAAAGAATAAGCAGGAGTAAGAAGACACTTTAAAACTTCTCTATGAAAGAAGCAGTAGCTCTTAGAGCAGCACTGCTTCACTTCAGTGAAGTTTGTTGCTGGCTGATATCTCTAGAGGAATGCAGGAAAATCGAGTGGAACCTAGGAGGAGTGTTAAAAGAGTTTCAGATGTCCTGCTGACTTGGAGGAATCTGATGTTTTGCTGAAAGATCTCAAAAGGCTCTTTTATTTTAAAAAAGAGTCTATCAAATATTTAAGTATTTTTCATTGGAGAAGTTTCATGTCATGGTGATAGTATTTTAAAGGGAGTAGTTGTTTCAGGAATGCAGTGTGAAAGACTGCTTTAAGGAGATAAGTAATTGTCTTATCTAATGTTTTCACAACATGCAGGAAGAGAACCATAGGCTTGGTCGATCCTCCTCATTTAGAAGAAGTTAATGGAGATAGTGTTTCGTTTGAATATACAGTAACTTTAGGTTTGCATTTCTGTTGTGCAAAATCCTTTATTTTACTAAACATTTTTGTCAATTACAAGTCTGTTTGCTTACTGTATTTACTAAATGGGGAATGAGCACAAGTTTCATAGGCTATGCTTAAAACTTTCTAAAGGTGATCCCCATTGCCCTCACTTAATCTGTTAAGGCTTTACTTTACATGTACACTTTCATCTTTTGTTTTTACAGAGGATGACAAATAGCAGCAGCTCCCCTAGCCTTCTCAATGACAGTGCCAAGCAGTATGCAGGCCATGGTAAGTATGTTTCAAGTAATACATATAAAAGTATGTTGGCAAATTTGAGAGATTGACAAAACTGAGGCTTAAGGAAGTGCTGCTTGTTCTCAGATTATGAGATGCAGCAAAACTTTATTTTTTAACAATGATGTAAGGAGCTCATAAGTTTTTAGCTTTCTCTTTGCTGTAGGGGAAAAACTTAGTCATTATCAGTCTTGTCACTTCAAGTGAAATGTTAGTTTGGATATCCACTGTAAAACACTGATAGCTTAAGCATTTTTGTTGCTTCACCATAGTATCCCTTTTTATGATGCTTCTTGGGTAAGTTACTGTGTGGGATTAATGTACAGGTGTTTTCTGTTAAATTTAGGGTGTGTGGATTTTGTGAAATGTCACATAACTGCTGATTTTTAATAGCTATTCAGTTTTGTCTTGCAGGCAGTACTTTGCCTCTTATAATTTTTTTTCCTTGCTATAGGAACATGTTTTATATACATGGTTTTCAGCTGAAGAAAATGTCTTGATAGTGGAGGCCTGTGTACTCACTAAATTATTGTGGAGGCTGTATTGAGCTTTGTAATTGGCTCTTCAGAATAGCTACAGATTATTCAGCTGTGGCTGTTAAATTAAGTTCTTTAAAGAAGAGGGTGCTGCTCCCTTATGGCAAGGACATACATTTAAAATAAATTTCTGCTTTGAAAATTGCTGTGCAAATTATGCTAGAACTCCATTTGCATGTCTGACCCTGCAGCTAGTCTACTTACTAGGATTATAATTTAGGCATGGTAGTTACTACTATAAAATTAACTTTCTTGAAAGACAAAATTGGTGGGTATTTTCTAGTTTTTTCTTCCTAGTTTATTTCCAGTAGACTCTGAGATTAACTCTGCTTCTTTTGTCCCACTGAACAATTAGCAATTCAAGGCAGTGGAGGTCTCCAGTTCTAAATGCAGGCAGAGTTTGACTGTGACAGGCCAAATAGTAATGGTGACGCATGTCAAAGAGAGAAAACACACCAACTTTTAGAAACCATTTTAAATTTTGTCATATCTCAGATCCTTCTCCCTCCCTCTCCCTGGCTCTGCCAAGCAGTGCTTCATTTGTAGAATTGCCCTTTTAGGGAATACTTATTGTTGAACAAATGCAAGATAAATTCTCTGTTAAGAAATTAATGTTGAAAAAAGTGTTTCATCAAAACACCCATGTTTACAGCTGGCAGTCATCTGCCAATTTGACAGTTTTAGCCATGTAGTTTGGAGTTTTAGGTTGCATCTGTGAATGTTATACAGTTTGTGACATATTTCAACTCGGAAAAGATGAATAGGAACAAAGAAAAATCAATAAAAAGTTAATGGAATGTGGACTTCTGCTATCCTTGATTCTGATTTAAATTTGATGTGCAGAACAGTGACAGGACAAGCAATAGTCACATCATTATTTGTAAGATCTGTTAAACAGAAGATTGCTAATATCAGGTAACTGGAGATCATAGAGTCATAGGATCTTTTATGCTGGAAAAGACTTTTTAAGATCCAGTCCAACTGTTATCCCAGCGCTGCCAAGTGCAGTGCTAAAGCTTTTCCTCAGTCCTACGTTTACACAATCCCCCTAGGGATGGTGACTCATGCACTTGCCCTGGGCAACCTCTTCCAATGCTTGTCAGGCCTTTCAGAGGATCTCCTGGTGAATTGGAAACATTGCAATGTATCATCTACAGGGTTAAAAATGACATGCAAATGTAAGGAGCACTTAGAACAGGTTTTCTGATCAGATGGAGGCTGTGAAATGTTAGGTAGCCTTTAAATAGTGTCAACAGCAATTAAACATACTGAATTCTGTTAATGAGCACCATTTCCATTAAGCAGTTGCACAGAATCTAATAAATGCTGGGGGTTTTAGCAGTGTGATTGCTAAACTTAGCTTTGCCAAAAGGATTTTTTCCATAAAGAAATAAGTTAAAAATATAAAATTTCTTTTAGTAGCGTATATATGTGTAACACCTTGGTTTTACATTGGTTTTATAGATCCACTAACTTCACCAAATTCATCCTTGTTTAATGACTTTGCTGCCCTCAGCGTATCTCAAAGGAGGAAGGTAGGCAACAACTAAATCATAAGTAGCATATTTATGTATGAGTTGACAGGGAAGAAGATCTGGAATAACTTGAAATACTGCATGAAATAAGGATAATTCTTCTGATGTTACTAGATTTATTTTAATGTGTTGCTGCTGATATAAAAAAGATTTTACTACTTCATTTTTGCTATATCAGATCAGACTGCTGCTGATAAGAAATACTCCAGGCACTTGTAAACTGAAGTTTATAGAATATGAAACTTAGTATGTAGCCCATTGAATTTGAAAACAAATTATTTTTATTCTAGTGAGGGACATGTGATCTGCAAGCCTTTATGGGAGCAAGTTCAGAACATGTTAAGAATCAAGTCTCCCATTTATTTGTACATAATGTGATAATAATTAACAGTTTGAAATGCATGTAGGTTAAAAGACACTGTTATCATTGGGAAGAGAGGGTTTGGGTTTTTTTTCCATCCCTCTAATTTGTATTGAGAAATCTTTCTTTTGCTGAGGGCTAGACAGCATCTTCAAATATCTCTGACCTGCAGCTGTGGAAGTTGTGGTGTTTTCCAGCTATACACTCAGAGGCTGAAATAAGAGACAAAAATTTGATTACATGAGAGTTTTGTCTCATTTTCCTGAACTGTCACTTACCAAAACCAGACATTATCTTATCCCAACCAATTAAGTTTTTTTTTCACTGATGACTTTCATGTTCTCTAGTTATTAGCCACGTTATCCTCAGCTTTCATGTAGTAAATAATGAAAGCAAGCTACATCAATATGTTCTGTGTTATTCCTGCAGGTGAAGATTGAGCTTAAAGATAATTGCTATAGTTAGTCCCTCACACTGTTTTTTAAATATAAATGGGGTTGTTGAACATTAATTTTCTAATATAATGATGTCTCCAGACTACATGGAGTATCTGCATTGCTCTTTTCCTTAATGCCAGTACAGTGTGCTGAAAGTTGGATGTAAAGAACTAAAAATGTGTTGCTTATCCACTAGCCAAGGCTGGTAAAAATGAAAAATAATTGTACATTCCTCCTTAACACAGGCATTGAGAGCCAATATATACACATGTGTATGTATACACCTGGGTGTAAATTTTTGCTTGTGTATGAACCACATGCACCAAAGAAAATAAGCTGTCAGATGGAAGTACTGCAAGAATGACCGCTGTCTCTGAAAATACTTCGAAGTTGAGCAGTACAAAGTGAAAACAAACCAATTAATGTTTGCTTGTAAAGCACAAATACCTCAAAACTCAAATAGTATTTCACAGTGCTTTCTGACTTAATGCATTCTTTCCTCAAGAAAAAGAAGCAAATTAAGGCACTGGCTGCTAAAATAGTATTAAGAGTAAGTTTTAGCTGTGAAATTGATTAACTTGTTTTGTTTTTTAGTTAGCATTTCAGCTATAACTGGCATTAATTGAAAGATGTTTGTATTCTTCTTTGCATATTAATTTTTATTTTTGTTATGACTGCTATTTTGTAACGTATTATTTTATTGAAGGTTGTTAAGTACTAGTAATGGGGAAGTTTTGATAAAATACTACTTGAGCTGTGTAAATCTAGGCATCCAGGCTCCCTCTATAGTCAGCACAGGGAGATGAGTAGTTTAAAGAAACATCTGGCTTTCTCTGAGAAAAAAATCTTTGGAAGTGACCAGATGTTGGTGATTGCTTTAAGTGGACAAAAATTTATGACTAAAGTTATGAGAAATTAATAAGTTTTGTGACAGACTTTTGCTACCAGTCAATACATTGCAAGTAGTTATGATGTAGTTTTGATATATTTTTAGTATTTTTATTACAATATTCAAATTGTCTGAAGTGATTTCCTTAAAAGCACTAAACACTTGAGAGCCAGGTATTTAAAACCTTGTGTGAGTCCCCTCTACCCCATTAACTGGAGTTTGTTTAGAGCTCGAACAATGGGGTTTATTAGGCCACTGCTTGGTGCCTGCTGTATAAAGGGAGCCTTGGTGACTAGTTCAAATGTATGTGTTTACAACATCTCCTGTTTGAAAAAGTCTCCATTATCTTACTAAGAGCCCAAGTCTAAGGTTTTGTTTGTTCTGAACTAGCTGGCAAAACCAGCATTTCCTTCGTTTATCACTGACTTGGAGGACAGATATAATACAGTCGTGGTAAGTGAATAAAGAACAATTGCTTTCTTTTAAAAATATCACAATTCTGATTTGTAATATTTTGAAGTATTAAGTTATTTGGAACTGTGTAAAACCTGCATGTTTGTGTTGTGTAAAACTGAATAGTTTCTGTAAAAGCATGTACTATGTAGTTCTGTTAAGCAAGTTTATTGATTGTCTCTGGATATTGCTGATCATGTTATGCTGGCAGCCCTTTAATAATGGGCAAGCCATATGGAGAAATATTCGAGATCAATAAAATACTAAACATAAGTTGATGATTGTAATTCTGAATATCCATACTTTTTAATTAGGCAGTATTTTTGAAGCTAGTTAATATGACTGAGCTGTTTAATTTGCTTTTGATTATTTGATATTTAGAGCCATTCTACTTTCTGTTCAAAAAGTAAACATAGTCCTTGAATTTTTATGAACATTCTTGAGATAATTATCTCTGTTTAGAAATTATTAAACTGCATTTCAATTTTAGATTTCAGGAAAGCTAAGATTACTGTTTAAAGACATTTTTATAGGATACTTAAAATGAAATCAAAGGAGCTAAGTATTTCAGTAGATGGAGCCTTGGTGGAGGTTCTGTCAACTGTAAAACCTTCTGGATTTACTGTCTGGTTGTTGTAACTCCACATGCAGTAAGACAAGCAACCCTAAAGTGAATTTCCTATAAGAGATTTTTAGGTAAGTATTAATCTACAATGCACAAATAGGATTTGTGAAGCATGGAACAAAAGCTAGAGTTAGTAATAGACTAACACCCTTAACCAAGAATAATGATGTCATGCTTATTTCATTTTTTGTCTTCAAATACATGTTATTCTTGTTAAAAAGAGGGTGGCATTCTGAACTTGAATTTCCTGGATGTTTTTCCCGAGTTGACTTTAGCCGTTATCTAGAAAAGTGCTCCTCTCTAAACCTGAAATTATCTGTTTGGAAAAGTTCTTGCTTTCATTTTGGTGGTTCTGGTAAACAGTTAATAAAAACTTATGTGACATAACTGATCAGAATCTGCTGTCAAGGACATCACAGGTTAATGCACTAAGACGAAAATATATTGTGAAACGTTTCTTTAGAATTGTTCTGAGACTGTTGCCACCAATCCAGGCTAAAAGGTTCCTGTACTTGTCACTGGTCAGCCTTACAGGATAGTGAAAAACAATTACTTTTACATTTTAATTTTTTTTTCATACCTTCAATCCTCATGAAAACTGAACTCTTAAGAAAAGTTTTTAACACTGGCTTATTTCCATTTCATTTTTTTTAATTGTTCAGTCATACCTAGAGGAGGTCCATTAAGGTGAGAATAACTTCAATTCACAGGCTGCAAGGGTGAACTAATTGCTTTACTGAACACCTCTATAAACACAATTTTTGTGCTGCTTTTTGTGGATTTTCAAGAAATTTTTTTCTTGAATGCCTTCCATTGGTTTTAGGTGAGTAAAGGCAAGGACAAAACCTCTAGATTAGAAAGGAAAGTATAAAAGAGATTATCTGAATTCACCCCAAACAGGGTGCAGCTGTTGAGTGCCATCTCTGGAGATTTACAGCGAGGTAGACTGGACAGCAGACTTAATTTACTTTGATCAGCAGAGATAAATGTGCATAGAAAATTATTTGAAGCAAAGACGACCTATAAGCCTAGTCTGCATAAATGCAAGCTTTTTAATGAGTATGACAAGAGTTTTACTTCTCAAGTTAAAATAAAACAATAAAGATAACTTCAGATCCTGTAGATATTAAATTCTTAAGACTTAAACGGTTGCTATTTTATTTTTGTGTCCTGCCTCCCATCTAGTTTTGTTACCTGTTGGGAACCTGCATTTCTCTCCAGCTTCCTGTTTCAGCTCCATCTTGACACCTCTGATACCTGATTATTATCTAGTTCAGTGGTGTTCATTGAAAAGCTCTATGTGCCATGTCTGATCTTGCTGAATTTACTTTTAATGAAAATGTGTCAAGACAGTTTTCATCTTTCAGAGCCTCCTGCATACAATGTCAGAAGCACGAATCATGTTCTGATGAGTTCAGGGGTAATGATCAAGCATCATGTCACTGTGTTCTGAGACAGAATTATGCCTGCACAGACTCTGTAATGTACCTGGGCTAAATTTATATTTCAAACCTAAATTTTTCCTTCTGGGATTTATACACCCGTACTACAATAATAAAACATTATAGTTGGTGCTAAAAAAAGTTGTTGCAGCAATGCAGGAGGACTGTGCTTTCTGAGAAGACTAATGAATGTTTGTAGGTAGTACTGTGGTCTAAAATGTTTTCCAAGAATATAATATAATGTAATCTGATTTACATTTTTTCTTGGAATAGTTATTGGAGTTGTTCCTTGGTTGTATGCTCTTGCTATCTTAGATATTACTGTTTGGATAAATATGTATTTTTCACTTCTAAGTGTGTCATGGAAGAGTATATTACTCGCTTTTATTTTTGTCTGTGAATTACTGATCATTATGATCCATAAGTCAAATTATAAAAGCATTTCCCTTTAAAAATTTGTAACACTTACATTTTGCTGCCTCATCCTTTTGTGTATTTGAAGCCAAATAACCTCAAATTTAACTGATAAACTGGATGCATTTGTTTACATTTGCAAGCTTTGTTTGATTCTTGCTATGACAAGGTGTATGTAGTCTTCAAGAGTGATTTGCAGTAAAATAATAAAAAAAATTAAACTTGTGCACACATTAGTTGAAGGCACTATACAAGTATTTAAAATTGCTAGAAATTTTGAGATATTTTAGAAATAGCTAGGCATTTTTAGAAATCATGCCTATTAAAGACCAGAGTAAAAGCTGCATCAGTCTTTAACTCTCTTATTCTCTTGTGCACTTTCTGTCCTATTAAAAGAAACCTTTAAACATTAAGAAAATCTGTGTTTTGCCTATGATGTTTAGTAGTGGAGTTTTTGAAAGTACACCTTGGGGTGGTGGTACTCTGACAAGTCTTCACTATAGATAGAACTATCTGCTTTAATGGTGGTAGGAAAAATTCTGCTTTTCCATCAGTTTACATCAATTTGAACAGAGGATATGAATTTCTCAGTAAAGAAGTTTGTCGATATAATTAAATCCATGCCAGGATTTGAAGTTGTGGTAATTGATACCTCTTCCCAGCATAACTATGCTGCAAAATTGATGAGAAAACATTTGACTGAATTATGTCAGTTCTGCTGCTTCTGAACTCTTCAAGATTTTCATGCCTTGAGCATATCTACTCATTAAATAAAATTTTTTAGTATGTTAGCCTGAAAAGTTTCACTTGGCTATGGTTTAACATGCCTGATATAGTGCCTGATCTGTTGCATCTCTAAAATTTGTTTAAACCAAGAAATTTTTATTTTGCAGTGATCACATGCATTGCTCTAGAGTAAGACATGTTTCCATGCCAAATGTTATACTTGAGTTTTCTTGGGGTAGAAGAATACATCTTGTTTCTCTCTGTCTTCTACTTTTCAGCTAGTGAAATTCTGACCTCAGCCAAACCCAGGTTTTCATGAACAATCTCGATGGAAGGGTGTCTATTCTGTTGAATGCATGTAATATCAATGTTTAGTATTTTGAACTCCAAACTTGTTAAGCATTACAAATATTAGCATAGTTGTCTTTTTTTCATAAGGGAAAAAACCCTCTACCCAACAACAAATACCAGCCTGCCACACAATTATTTTTAGGCTGTTGACCAAGCCCCTATTCAATTTTTTTGTTTTTTTGGATATCAAAAGTTAAAACATTGGTTCTGGCCTTCAGAAGCTGAGATACAAAAAAACACAAGCGTGGTCTGCCTGTCTACCAGTTCCTGCTGGTTGTAAAAAAAAAAGGAAGAGTAGAGGGTATTTTGGTTAGCAATTAACCCATTCCATGTGAAGAGGTCTTGCAGCTTTATTGGCTACAAAACTTAAACAGCTTAACTTCACTTAAAAGACAGGGTTTTTTTCATATTAAAAGTCTGTTAGGATATTCCTGGTGACCATAACTCATGTTCAGGTGTAGCACTTAACTGGATTCAGTAATACACAGTAACAGAGTTGTATTCAAAATTAAGGTACTGCTTAGCTGATTGTGCCTGTAAAGGAGCTCAATGACTTATTGAAATTCATATCTATGGTTTGGTGTTTCAAGTACTGGCTTATTCCAGCTTAATCAGTTGTTGAGTGAAAGTAGCAATAAAGACATCAAGAACTTCTATTTTGGTTTTAGTTTTAAAGGCATGATAAAACAGAAGTTGCTCCTTTGTTAGTAGATTAGCAGCCTAGCTGGATGTTTAACCTCTTTTTTCTAATGGTCTCTTTGCCATTAATTAAAAAAAAATATTAGACCTTTCAAAAGTGAGCATTGAAATTTAAAATTGTGTCTCACATAATTTTGGTAGTCCAGTAAGTAGTACGAGAAAAGTGTGTGTTTGTGTAGCTTTTTAAAATTTTCTGTCTGAGGATGTAGTATTTTTTTTGTGCGTGTAGATGCAGTCAACTCACTGTACAACAGATGAGCCCTAGCTAATGCTACTGTGATACCTTTTAGCTATAGTAATTTAGGGTAATGCTGCTTCATTTAACCTGTGATGGAGAAGGCTTAAGATGGCTTCTATTTGGTTTGATAGTAGAAGCACATAGACAGCATTGCCATAGCTCAGACTCTTCACAATACGTTGAAATGCAATAGCCTGCTCATGTGTTTGTGTGCTAGACTTAATTGGGTAGGTTTTGGTACTAGGAAGGGCTTGTAAATCTAAAATTCAAAGCTTGCTAGAGGTAAATGCATTTTAAGGAACAGAAATGTAATTTGGGAGCTGAGTGATCCTAAAAAAAATAAGTTGCAGTTCTTCAGTACAAGGGAACTTTGCAGTTGTGTAGCTTGATTTGTCAGTTTATCTAACTTAAATACTGCATGAAAGTCTTTATAGTTTGAATGTTTGTAGATATTTTCTTGCTTAAATTTATTCCTCTGGGATAGCCATGGAACATCTTACACTAGAGGTCAGTTTAATCCTGAATTAGAAAAGGGAAATGTGATATTGCCTGCTGTCCTTGAAAAAGGAGGAACTAGGGACAAAGACACTGTTACAGCAAAGAGTAGGAAGAAAATAGAGTTGCTGAACACATTCCCAAGGTTCTTGCTGAATGAATGAGAGCCAAGTAATTAAACTGACTTGAGGAATCCTTTCTAGCATGGGCTAGTGAAGTTAAATCATCATTAGTAGTGTTCTCATGTGAAGATACTACTTAGGAGGGACTTGTTTCTGGAGTGTCTCTCTTTTGTTTCAAGTGGAATGTTTTTTGGACTTTAGGGGTTTATCTTTACTAATAAATGTGCCAACCAGTAGGCTCCTGTCATTAATTGCTGGCAGCAGCTTGGTTCTGCAGGGCAAGGGTTATAATTATTAGCTATGGTTGAAAATGCTTGCCCTTCTCACCGTGGGGAAAACTAAGCTGTTGCTAGCAATTAAAGGTAGTTAGCTGTTCCCTGCCTCATGTAAACATTTGCAGCCAGTAATTAGTACACCTGAAAAGTTTTTTTACCTCGTAGACTGTAGGGAAGGCAAAAACCCAAGTGTTTTTGTAAACATCCAAGAGAAATTGTCCCCAAGCAGAAAAGTTTGGTTAATTAGTCCAGATTGTCATGCCCTTTGTGTTTTAGGTAGATATATTTACATACTTATATATATATATATATATGTGTGTTCAGAAATGATCAGTGGCTGCGGAGTTCTGGCTCATTTTAAGGTGAACTGTTTGTGTTGCCTTATTTCCTGCTCTGTGTAGAGGTCAGGGCTATAGGAAGGTTATTACACTTACTGAAACTTCTCCATCTATTTGAATCTGTCCTCTTGGCAGATACTGTTTTCTGATTACCTTTAAATTCAGATTGCATTTCTAAATCAGATCCAAGTTTGCTCATTGGGAACAAGTGTTATTTAGAATGACATTGGTGCACATAGACTAAAATTTATTTCCAAATGTTAATATTGTCTATTCCATCTTCTAATGTCTAAATAATATCTTGACCTAGTTAATCCCCTAATGTTTTACGATAAGTAATGAAAGGAAAAAGTGTTTCTTTAGACTCATCTAGTGCTTAATTTTATTTTTTATTACAAGTAAGTAAAGAACTACTACTACTGGAACATGAATTCATATTGTCTCTATATGATCTTTCATAAAGTCTAGAATACAGTTTCATCCTGTTGTCTGGAATCTAAACCCTGTTGTGACCAAAATAGCCTTCTTCCAGATTTACTTATTTTCTCTTTTGTTTTGGTTCTCCTTTTCAAAGTATTTGTAGATGACCAGTTACTATGGAAGATTAGAAGAACCCTTTGTGAATGGAAGTATGTTTGGGCACTGGTTTGTAGTCCAATAGTCTGAGGCAGACTGCACCCCTGCACTTGGTAGAGCATGGAGGGAGGGAGAGAGAGGGGGGAAAGCTTCCAGGGAAACTGTTACTCTTCATTATATTGTTTCCAATAGTTGGCCTAAGAAAAATACATACTGTATTCAAACTCTGCCCTAAAGTGCAGTCTTGCTTGAATGTCCAGCATCTCAGCTCTAATGGCTCTGCAGGTTAGGATTTTAGTAGTCTTTCTGATTTACTGAGATAAGTTGCCCAATAGTTGAATGGTTCTCCAAATAAACAACTAGTATTTAGATTTACTATGATCAGATGTGTGTTTGAAGTGCAGGAGGACTTTTTGCTGCCCATCACAGATTTCTAATTGGTGTGGTAAAATTCAGTCTTGTTTATTGTTACTAAGTTTGGTTAACTCCTCCATAGAGTTTGTTGCCTTTGCAGTTCACAGTCTGTGTTGGTATCCTTGGATGTTTTTTTCGTTTTGTTTGTGGATTTTGCGGGTTTTTTGGAGGAGTTGGTTTGTTTGGGTTTTTTTGGCAAATGATGAGGTACTGTTGACTCTAATGAGTTTTGATTCTTTCCAAAGCTTTCAGCCTAAAAGGTTCTGGGGAAGTAGAGGACAGAATCTATTCAGGTTTTGGTTTTGCAGCCATTTTATGGTAGTTTTGTCCTGTGTTTTATAAATTATTTCTGTGTGAGTGGAAATGTTCTCCAGTTAGATTCTTGCCTTGTTTCCTGAAGCATAATTTGTAAAGTGTGTATGAAGGTACATGTTGCTAAGATTTCTAAGGTGCTAGGTGAAGTAGATACCTGAATAAAGGTAAGTTAAGCTTTGATTACTTAGAGTGCTCTATATTGAGCTGATAGTTGCGCTGTCACATAAAAATGCCCAAACAAAACCCCACAGCGAAAGAAAACCAGCCAACCTCTGCAATTTGATCCAATTGTTGATATAATTGGCGTAAAAGGCCCTGGTCTAAATATGCATAGATGCTAAAATCTTTCTTTTGATGATATTTACTATCTAGGTAGATACACATAGGTTTGAAAGCACAGAGAAATCTTGAAAACTTCTGTACATTACCTGTTTGAAAGTATTTAACAGATTTTTGTTTTTACGGTGTGCCTTTTGAATTTAATGTTCATATCATTCTTTATACATAGTTCCATTTGTAGAGATCATTGCCAATGTAGTAGAAATGTCACTGTTAATGAGGTGCAAGTAATTCCTACATGTTAACTTCCTCAATGTGTTTTATTTTCTCAATTTTATGACAGTTCCCAATGCATTTGTCATAGTAATTCTTGTCTGTTTTCACTTAAGACAGTAACTGAAGTTATTTTTTTTAAGTACTAACCCAAGCAGAAATGTTTTTCTCACTGTTCTGCTGCAATTGGCTACTCAGTTTTACCTGATTTTTAAAAGCAGATTTTTCAGGAGATGAGTCGTGGCAAATTTAAATTTAAATTTTGTTTAGTAGAAATTTCAAAGGAGATGTTCATTATTATGATGTGATTGAAGGTATTTATTTTGAAAACATGGATTTTTTAAAAACAATTTCTCATTTGGACAGAATTTCCAAATTTATGTACATATTTCAGTGGCTGACTTCTAATGGATGGCTTTGCTTACAAATAATTAGTAGTCTCTGAAGTTTATTTTCTTTTAAAAATTTTTAAAGCATTATTTATTGTAACCAAATAGTCAGGATTGAAAGGAAACAGTCTCAGTTAAATTTTACTTGCAAATTGTTTCCTATTCCACCAATCCAAAATCATATCACAGTGCAATACCTGTTTTAGTGTAGCTTTAGATGAGGGTTGTTAGGAGTGGCCTGGTTTCTCTGCTTCTTTTTCATAGCCCAGGAAGTATCGACTGGGAATGCTGGATGAGAGGATAGTTCCGGTGGGATCAAAAGCAAGAAAATCAAAGAACCCTATTGGCTGTCTGGCTGACAGGTGTAAAACAGGAGTACCCATCAATATGGTTTGGTGGAACAGAGTCACAGAAAACAATTTACAGGTAAAATTATTTTTTACTAGTAATTTTTTCCGTATTTTGGATGTTTATTTTCAGTTCTGGAAAGTGTTAGAGTTACTCCAAGTATGAGTTCAGATCAAATATTTATTTTACATAATTGACACAGTGGTCCTCTAAGAGTGATTTGGAGATATTTAATTAGCTTCACCCATTGCTGAGCTATGTACTTTACTTGATTTTGGTATAATCTGAGGAGAAGGAGCAAAAGTAATAATTTAATGTATTTTAAAAGCAAACAACCACAGCCTTTAATTTTCCCCTGAGGAAGATTTTTACTGGTAAAATTAGTGATTGTTGTTAAAATGATTGACACAATGCAAATAGATGATGCCCTCAGTACAGAATTTGAAGACATTGCCATCATGAAGTATGAATTGCCATCAGGAAGTATAAATTCTTAATTTTTATGTTTGGATAGTTTATACTTCTCAACTTGTTTTGAGAAGTGTTTGCTACTCTTACCATTATTCAACTTTATGCCTGAATCTTCTTCAGCTCTGTAAGAGGGGAGTGGTACAGGTGGATTTGAATATCTCTCTCCCGAAGTAGTAGGTAATCCTTGGGATGAAAATGAAGGATAATTCTAGCCTAGGATGAATCTGTTTCATGTCCCTTGAAGTGGAATTTAGATGGAAATTATTACAGTGATGGGAGCTGTGCCACTGCTGCTAATACTGTTTTCATCACTTGTGTAGTGCTTTTTATTCCTCAGAGATTGCTATTTTAGTCTTCCTATGACGGTGATGTTGTTTTTAGTGTTTTCTAAGTGAATGAAGTGGGTAAATTGGTAACAGACCTGTAATTAGAGCTTGTGGCACTTTAGGATTTTCTTTCAGTTCACTGAATTTCTGCCATGTAAGGGCCAACATGGCACTTGTATGAGCTCCTTTCCACACTGATACTAGTTTTGTGTTATTTGATGTTTGGACATCTCTGTGTTACTGAAATGAGCAGTCATGGGCAGCGTGATGTAGGTAGCATGATGCTATGTTGGTTAAGGACATTTGGACCTGTCTTGGCCCTTTTGCTGCTGGGGAAGCAGCATAGTCACTGAGGGAGAAAAGATGAAGCTTTAAGGAAACATTGGTAGAAGGACCAGGTAAGCTTGAAGGACAGTGGTGAGACCCTGTGAGGAAGTACTGTTTTGAAGGGAAAGAAGATCGACCAACTCAATTTATTGTGTGTATCTTAGAGTGAATGTAGGTTGTAATTAAAGACAGTTGTTTTGAGAAGAGAGAAGCAGAAATCTGGTTTTTAGTTTTCAGGTGGACATTAATGGGCAAAAAAAAGTCCTGTTGCACTCCTGTCCTCTGTTGGTTTCTTGCTGTACAGTGATGCAACAAGCTTTGTTGTTAATCTACTCCATTTAGATTAGACAGAAAAGGACCTTATGCTTTTGGAGGTTGGAGAGGCAGGGGCCTGAAACTTGAAGCTTCTTGCCAGGAGCAGTTGTCTTCTCAGTGCCTGTGCACTCTGGAGTGTTGTTCAAAGTGTGGCACAGGGAAGGAAGCTCAAGGTCCCCACGCTTTCTGAGGTTGGCAGTGTTTGGGACTGGCTGCAGAGCACATAGCTTTTGAACGGTACAGTTCCAGGCTCCTTTGTTGCACCAAAATCCTGGCTACATAATTGATTCAAAGTATGTGTGGCTGAAGATTTAGATTTTGTATTACATTATACACTTGTGTTGCTTACCATGGAGATGTGGGCTTTAACAAAGCATGTATAAGCACATGTGGTGGATATATGAACAGAAGGATGTGCCAGCCATAATAAATAGAATTGGAGGAGAAACAGGAGGGATTGAAGAGCAACTGTGAAGTCCGGCAAGACTGAAGAAGGAAAGGTGTTAAAACTTGCATTGTAAAATAATTAAACTGTTACTTCTGCATGGCTATGAATTTATAATCCCAATCTGTTTTTTTTAAATATGGTATTACACTTAAATGATTGAAAGTGAAGTCTACAGAGTGAATTGTACTCTGCATTAAAAGAAGAAGAAAAAACCCAAATCAAAGTTTGTTTTATAGTGATGTATCCTACCTTTTATTAGGAAATGTCCTGAGCTACTATACTACCGCATGATATATATTATAATAGCAAATGTAATCCTCCTTAGAACAGTAGGAATTGATATATTTTAGCTATGCAGATTAGTTCTTATTCACCATCAAAACATAATTTTTTGTTTCTTGAGCAAAAATTAATAATAGAAATTAAGTTTTTCAAGCATGTTGCATTAGGAGCAGAGACCTCTAAAATTTTAGATGTTTTTACAGTACTTCAAAGGATTTTTGTTAAAGAAACATGAAAATATTCCAAATCTAATTTTAAACTTTACTTTTTAGTGAGATCTACTTGCCAGTTGTAACAAGACTTTGCTAATAGCTTTGTCTGAGCCTGTGGGCTGGTTTATAAACCAATAAATCTTTAGCCAAGTAATTTTACCCAGTTTTAATTAAATTGACTTTTAATTCTTCTGTGAGAGCAGTAGAATAACATAAATAATGATGTTGGCAAATTGAAATTTATTAGAGCCTATTGTTGGAGTGATGTGATGACTTGTCACAGTAATTATAATAATGTAGCATGTTACACAAATTCAATGGTGGGATAGCAAGATTTGCTTTGAAGTCCTTGGCAACCTCCCATGTCTTCTGGGTTGCTCTGACATCACAAAATGCATATTTTTCTGAAGTTATGGCTCACAAGGAATATTTGGAGGAATTGCAACAATGCTCTGTAAAGTGAATCTCCTTATATAGAGCCTCTGTCCATTAAAAAAACAACAAAGAAACCCATAAACCAAACAACAGCAACAAAATAACATGTTAAACTCAAGAAAGACTTCTGCATGTTTCTGTATTCCTAAGAGATACTATGAAAACTGTGCCAAAAATAGACTGGTAAAGGAGTACCCTTCTGTATAGCATGGTTGTGGGTTAGTGGTAGTTTTCTGTAACCATTACATGATTATGTAATTTGGGATGTCAGAACAGATCAGCATAAATTTGGAAGTGAAGAAGAACATAAAAAGAGAACAAAGAAGCTTGTATGCAGTTTCTAGCATGGTAAGTACATTAGCACATCCTTCTGAAATCAAATGAGATTGGCCTACTTTTTGAGTCAGATAGCTGGCTTTGGACTTCGGTTGAATGAGGAACCAGAACCAAGCTAATGAAGTGCTATTACAGCCTCTGAAGCTGATATGCTATCTCTGCTGCTGCTGTACAGCTGTGTTGAGAGATGCTGAATGAGAAATGAGAGAGAGATAGAAGAGTGGTTTCCAGTATTCCTGTGGGATTCCTGCATGACTTTCCAAAGGCTTCATAACTTGTACATCCCTGTATTCATCTCACTTCTGTACTTAAAGGCACTTTGAGGATTCATTTATTAATTAGTACAGCAGTGGGGCCTTACAAGTTTATCACTGAGGAGCGTAAAGACAAATCACGTGTATCAAAGTTTATAGTTGATGAAACAGTAATTTTGATTTTATTTCTGGATTACAGAAATCTGTTGTGTGCAGCTCCTTAACATACAGTAATGCCACATGCTGCTGTGTTGTACTTCCTGTGGTGGTCTTCAGCTTAGATCCTTGGCTTGCTCTTTGCTTTCATCTGTACATTCTTTTAAGGGCCCTTTAATTGTTCTGGAGCGGGGTTTTTTTTTGTGATACTCATAGAATATTTTTTTCCTCCCCTCCATGCTACATTTTAATTTTATTTCCTTTTAATACCTGTAAAAGTATAAAAGTCACCAGACAAATTCTGAGCTGACTGGTGACACAAATGAGTAGTTTAATAGTCCTGGCCTCCTTTTGTACTTTTTGGTCCCATCCTTAGTAATTGTATTGTGGCTAAAACCAGCCTTTATTTGGACTGTATTTTATAAAGTTTTTTCATTGTGATGTACAGAAGTGTAGGAATTGTTTTTGTAAGTGGAGCTGGGTGGACTCAGTATTTTTTGGTCTGTCTTTGGAAGCTTTGCAAAGCTGACTGAAAAGAGGCATGGACATAAAGAATCTCAGAGGGGGGTATTTAGATGAAGTTTCTTCATGGAATCATTCTGAGAATGCATAACTGCATTCAGGTAGTAATTAGGGAAGTTGCTTTACTGCTTTAGTTTGTGGCATCCTTACTAATATATTGGAAGGAGGTGGCTGACATTTCAGTTGGCAAGGTTGAGAGGAAAAGGTAATGATGGCAATTTTAGCAAAGGTATCAGAAGTCACCTTAGGTGGTTTGCTAGAAATACATAATGTTGCTGACACAGCTGTACTTCCTTCTCTTTTATGCTGTTAACTGAAGACATGTTGATTAGCATTTTGAAATTTTGTGTGTGCCTTTTTATGGGGCATGTGCATTTGAAACTGAAATTAGACTTATTTAACACAGTGCGGACAGTGCTAGAAGGCTTTTTTTATTGTTTTGGGTTTAGAAGTACATTTGCTACTTTTTAACATCACAGTATTGCATAACCATTACATGATTCTTGCATGTCCATTCTTCTGGTTACTCTTGAAAATCAATAACAGTTTTCAATACCTATTTTCTCTATGTATTTTACCAATCCTGATTTATTCTGACTTAAAAATTTTTAAGCCTCGTTTAGCATGAATAAGTTACTTTATTCTGAAATGAATAATGAAATAATAATTAAATGACATTTGTTTAGAAGCTGTATACAAAATTTAAACATAATACTGAATGAAGAAAATGTTTTCTCTAAGAAAATCTCTAGATTATTTATATATTATATAAGATTATTATTATTATCTTATAAAAATTTAAATTTTTTTGTCATCTTGGGAAGTCTTTCATACTGTCATCTTACAGTTTTTCCATTAGAGTCTGGTAGAACTTTAATGGAAAAACTGTAAGAATACTCAGTTGGATTCTGAAGGATAGTTACCATTTAAACAAATTTTCATGCTTACCATTGATCCAAATGTAAAGCTAAAACTGGAAATTATACTTTGTATTTTGAGTTGACAGAATGAAAGTAGGATGTTTTGAAGGCCAAGAATATAATACTTTGAATCATTGGCCACTAAGAATGTGGCTTTCTAATTTTGGCATATTTGCATGGTCATTGCTGTAAAATGGTTATCTACAAAGATTCAAAACTAATTAAGATATTAAATATTAAAAAGCTAATAGTAATATTACATTCCCTCACTTAGTTTGGTCACTTGATCTGGCCTCATTATCTTAATTATTTTCATGCAAGAAAACTGTTTTCAGAAAAAGTAATATTTTACTTCAGATAAAATGTTTTCCAAAGCACAGAAGAACTTCTTTAAGAACTGCAGCGTCACATAGATGTAATGCATTTAAATGTGGAGTGGGGCTTAAGCTTCAAATTGTCTGACAGTATTTGCTGGGTTTGACCACTAATCACTAGAATTTGCTGTATTACTTTGATTTGTTTGTTGTGGTTACTGACTGTGGAACTTGAGTATTTTTCTGTATTTAGAAAACAATTTGAAGATGGGTCTTAAAATTGTAACCAAAAGTTAAATCACTTTTTTTACCAGTGGGAAAAGTCTTGAATTGCAGCTTCATGTTGCATCTCAGCATCACAGAGAAGTAAAACAGGCTTTCATAGTATAGAGTCTGTCTTCATGAATCAGAGCTGTTTACTCATACACAACATTTTCATCAAAGTTATGTTAAAACAACTTCATCTTACTCGGCTTTGATGCTCATCCTGAATTGTGATATCAAATAATGGAATGAAACTGAATTTCCATCAGACTTGACCCATTGTAGTTTGTAATTCTACAGCATAAACTAGATCAGCCCTAGCAGATTTCTGGGTTTGACTCTTTCACTTGGATAAATTAAAACACCTCCCAGTTGAAGTGGAGCTCTTTCTTAAAGTGAAGCTGCATTTAAAATTTTTGATGGTTATAGGTAACTTTTACTAGGTAAGTACCTTTTTGCTAGTAAGTAAGTGACTTTTAGACAGGAAAACTGGTCTATGAAAATTGCAGAATGCGATTAGAAACAAGAAGCATCTCTGTGCTGTAGGAGTTTGAATCAGTAGGTGAAAATTATAAGATGGGATTTTGGGAAATCTCTCAGTTGCTCTAGGAAAGTCTGAGTTACCTTCCAGAACGTGTCTTTTTCTCTGCTTGCATGCTTCTAATGGCATGTCCCACCCTTGTCACTTTGACACAGTATTTAGATGTGATAAAGCTGTGGATGTGTCATTGCTACTTTTAGCAGTGGAAAAATGTAGATCGTGTAGTTCCTTGGAATTGTGTTCTTTTAGCAAGATGATGTAAATTCTGTCCCTTGCTCTCCCAGTTGTTTTGTTTGATGGCTATTTAGGTCTATCACTGTTTGGAAAAGTTGTACTTCACCACCTTTGTAATTTTCTTCAGTTTCAGTGCAGATTTCACTGAATGGTTGCATGCCAGTTTTTATCTAGAGGAGCACTATTCTTACATATTCCTGTACCTAAATTCAGATAAGTCCAGAATATTACCTTTTGAGTATAAATGAGTCAGTTACGTGTTTTCAGTCTGTATAATTCAACTTATAATTTGTTTTGCTGTATTAGTGTATATCTTAACATGTTTTCCTGAAGTGTAATTAAAGAGTTTTAAAATTCATGGAACGCTTACCCATTTAAATGTTTTACTTCACAGTCAGCATATTTACTTGTAGCTGTTCCTTCAGTATTCAGAAACATGCACACGTAAGGTGACAAATAAGGTGGTAGTTGGTATCATAAAGTGCGTCATGGTTAAAATTTACTGTGTGATTAAAGGTAGAATATTTTTGCTATTTGCTTTTAAACCTGGGCATCTTCTTTAATTTTACGACTTTGAGAACCTTCTTTTTCACTGCATAGAAATACATTAATACTATGATATTTGGCAGAAATAATCGAATAAAGATATTAAAACCCAGTTAACGGAAACTGTTCTCAAATGCTTTCTTCACTGATGTTCACACTTCACTTCTAATTTGGCACTAACTTATTACTCTGTTGCCGCTTTATATTGGTAAAATCAATATTAGTAATTGAACTAACAGTTGATATATTTGGTTATTTTAAAATTGCCTGAAACCAAAGTAGTCCAACGTAGTTTTCTGTAAAAACCATTATGGATTATCTTAACAGTCCTCCTTGTCTATTGGGAACTGTTGCTGTCTTCTTATTTTACTTAACTTGTTTAGACACTTTTGGGAGGTACTGTGCAGATTACTTAATAAACTAAATCCTTTAATTCAATAATCTTCAAGATTTTCAGTGTGTTAATGTAATAATTGATTTTATTTCTTGGCTTAATGTAGTTTTTGTTCCACTCCTGTCATTTTTAATTGTCTGTCCAATGATAAGTGTTTTGCCTTCAGAGCTCTAACTGGAATTTTCTTTTTCTAACCCTCTATGCTCCAAATCAAACAAAAACCTCACCTCAAAACAAACACCATGATTCCAAACTACAAAACTGTCTGTTACTGATTTTAATAGAAATTAAAAATTGCTCTTGTATTTGTTTTATGTACTAACAAATTGATGATGTTTGGCCATCATTCTTCTTCTGTTTTTTTCCATGGCACCAAATAAGCCTTTATTATTAAGGGTGCCAGATAAATAAAACAGGTAATTAAAGCAGAAATTACCTTCACAAAAAAGCTAAACATACAGATCTATATGAAATAGAGGCAGGGGTGACTTTTCTACTAGGAATCATTTTTACTCCTTTAATTGGAAATTGCTAGTTAGTTTGAGACAAAATTGCTGAAGTTGTGGGAGAACAGTCTGTGCAGCTGTGGCAAAGCTTTCTCAGTGTCAAGTCTGTTCTCCTACTTGTAATGTAATGCTTATGGAAAGCCTTTTGCAAAATGTTGTATGAATTTGTAGACCAGCTGCTCATATGGAAAGTTTGCTTCTAACACTTCAGACATAAGCTTAAAACATGTCTAAATTTGTTCATGCAGACCAGCTTCCAGTATTCTTTGATCTCTTCAGTAAGCTGTATGTAGTGTAAAAATACCCCTTGTACTAGTAGGCCTGTCTAGAAAGTATTTTCTACCAAATAAATGCCTTCTCATTTGAAATAAACATTGAATTTATTATTTTTTTTTAAACAGACACCAAATCCTTCTGCAAGTGAGTTTATTCCTAAAGGAGGATCAACCTCCAGGCTGAGTAATGTATCCCAGTCAAGTATGTCTGCCTTCTCTCAAGCCTTGTTCTCTCACCCCTCCATGGGAAGTCCTGCTAATGCTGGGTTAGCACCAGGTAAGTTGAGAGTAATGATTTCTAGTACAGTGTGCTATAGGTGTAGCTACCTCCTACTTCAGCTCTTAATTGTAAGGCAATCATTAAAAAGCAGAGGAACTTTGGATTTATATTCCAGTAGTATGGAAATCACACTGCAGGCTGTGAAATCTGCTCAGCCACAGCAGCTTTGAAATTAACAACTTACGCTGCTCTTTTTGGGGAAAAGGGTTGCTGAGTTATCACATACTGTGTCCTGAGTGGTTCTTGCCAGAGCAGTACCCGGAGAGGATTTATACTATCCATAGTCTAGAAATGCATTATAGTCTACAATGCATATGGTCTTGGTTTACTGCACACCAATGTGCTCTTTTTATATGTTTCTAGACGGTGTGATGTAGAAGTGTTTTTTTGTTATTAATGAGTACATATGAGGATTTAAAAATCTGGATTAAAAACACAAAGTAGAAGACAAGCTAATTCTATAATACTGTGCCTTGCAAAATAGTGTTAATTTTTATTGTATCTGTCACATGTAATCTCACTTTTAAGACCTCTAATTTATAGTTATTTCCCAGGTTTAAAACTCTTACTGAAATGTGTCCCATGCAGTTATGTAATTGAGTGACAGATTTTTTATTTTTTACACATTTGAAAATTTCAAGCCCTTCATGCATCTTTTAGTCTTCTGATCTTAAGGTGTTAACTTATTTAAACAAAATTAATAGCATTAAAATTAAAATATTTTTAGTATATAGCTATCAGCAAATCTGGATATTCTCACTGCAGATTGTTTAATGAGTTTCTGTATGTACTTAAACCTCCAGAAGTCCCTTGTGGCTACCGAGAGCCATTAGGTAATTGCCAAAAGGCGGATGGACAAATGCTATAAATGATTTTTTTAAACATCTATTGGCAATTACCATTTATTAAAATGAACTTCAGTCTTTCTTGATGCTAGTGTCAATGTGAAAGAAGCCAGCATTAAGCTTGCATGTGAAAACATAGAGCAGGCTAGGACAGATTGATACTTCTGCTGACCAAATGAACATGTTGTGGTACTGTGTCTGCTTGATCCTATATTGTGCTGTACCGTCTTATTGGAAAACTGTTGTGTTTATATGCCTCTCAGCCTTGTCACCTGGATTGAAAAGTGTATAAAGGATTAAATAGAATACAGTAAAATGATCTACTTTTGGAAAGTGTCCAGTGGGGTCTCAGAGGGATCCTTCACAGTCCAATTTCTTTACTATCTGTAAGTAATACTTGAAAGGATAAGTAACACTGATGAAAGAAGTTCACACAACAATTTCAGGTCCTAGAAATAAATACAGATACCAATGCTGCATACTTTCTAGCCTCAAATACTATTGTTTGTTTGTGGACAAGAGGGATGGGGGAGTGTTCATAAGAGAGAACTTCAGGCAGAGTTGGCTTGTTTCCCTGCTCTTCCTGCATAAATAAAATGAAAATATAGTTAAAAGTAAGGACCTTGGTTGGATTCTCTGAATTTTTCTAGAAGCGTTTCTTCTTTCACTAAGTGCAGAATTCTCTGAACCTAAGTGTCCTATGTAAATACTGCTCACAGACTTTTATTTTTATTTAAATGTCAACATTAAAGCTGTCAACAGGATCCATGCACAAAAATTCCTGTTACCTCAAGGTCAGCTAGGAGGTGCTCTTTCTAAAAAATTAGGCTCCTAAATAAGAAAGCAGTATCTTTGTGTGGGGAAACTTCACCACTTAGATCATACTGGGTAACAGAATGAAAAAATACTGAAATACTTTCTGAAGTTGTCATGAAAAAATGGTTGAGATATGTTAGTTTTCAATAAGTGAAAACAAATTCAAATAAAAGCCATGTAAAGAGTTCATAAGAATTTTCCTTTGAATAAAGATGACTCTCCTTCTACTTAAAGGGTGAATACTCTCCAGTAGAATAACTCTGTGGATTTAAGTATTTATGTGAGATTAAGATTGCTTATTGTAATTTACAGGATACTGGAGGAAGTCAAAATTTCATGAGAAATAAGGAAATGTAGTAGGAGTATTTAGGACTGCTAGTTTTATTCACCCATAACAAAGTAGGTAAATAATGAAAACAATCCTTTGATTTCCTTCCTGATGATGAAAAAATGTAAGTTCTTTCACATATCTAATTTCTGAGATTAAAATCAAAACCACTTTTGACATCTAGTATTTCTTGTCTTTCGGAAATAATTTGTTCTGCCTGTCTTGTCAACAGTACTGCAGAAATACTGAAAAATATGACAGGGGAAATGTAAAATACTTTAGTGGGTAACTTGTTGGATCCATGCCTGACATATTGATTAGAATGTAGCATGGAAGAAGGTTACTCCCACATTCACATGTTTATTTATGTAAGTGCTTTCTAGGGTTATCTCAACATGGAATCATGTTCATCTTGGTGACCTTTAATAGAGTATGGAAACAGAGTGATATGAAGTGCAACTTACACAAGTGGTGGGAGAAAATTGTTTCACTGAATAGATATAAACAGATCTCATTTACCATTTCCAAACTCTTTTTCTGTAAACTCACCTGAACACTACCTTATTGCTCCTCCCTTTCCTTGCTAGCAAACACACCCTGTTGGTCATTTCTGTGGGAAATCTAGTAAGAAGTTGATGATCTTCAAATAGCACTTTTGCTTACAAGTTTACCTTACCCAGCCCTGTGTAGCTGTGTTAAAGTATTAATGCCATTAAATATGCAACAGTGTGTGAAAGAAATTAATGAATGTCATTGAAGTGATGAGACGTCATTGCTGTGTTGAACTTGAGAGAGAACAGATGTATGGCCCCCAGCAGTGAAAAATGTCTCAGTTATACCTAAAGAATGATGCCTTTGTCGCTGATGGAAGTGACAGCAAATTGCTGTTGCTTTTATATTTAGTCCAAGTCAGATTCTGAGCTATGCAGAATGTAGGAGATGCCATTTCTGCTGCCAGTCTGAACCTGCAGGCTTAGGAGCCAGGAGTGTGAAGGTGCTATGCTTGTGTCCAATTGACACATCTCCATTGTGATGAGCTTCAGGATTGTAGCTCTCAGAGCCCACAGCCCCAGCTGGAGATGGAGCACTTTCAGCGAGGTGGTTTGTGTGGCTGAAGGCCCCAAGAGCTTGTTCCAGCCTCTTGGGTCAAATGTGGTGCAGAGGAAGTTCTGCAGCTATTCCAGAATAATGTAAGAAGAGAAGAAGACGAAGAGACTCTAAAATTATCTTATTTTCCCCATTGAAATTGAAGAGGAAGAATTGATGGTACAAATTGTTTAGGGAATGAAGCAGATTTAATTAACTTGAAAATACACAGCTACAATGCTAATGACCTGATAGAAAGCTTACAATAAAAAGAAATAGTTAATGAATTTAGGGATGCTATTTTCAGTTCTTGAAATAATCTGATATTATAATTTACTTTGCTTTGTCATTCTTCGAAATTTACCTGGTAGTCTGTGGTATCTCTAAAGTACAGAACATTAAAGTGATAAAATATTAAATGTTTAATTTTTCGCCTCTGAATATGTTACAAGCATTAGACACATAGGGATATGGTTGCAAACTAGTAAATTTGTAGGCAAAACTTGAAGGTTTTTTAAAACCTTGAATGTTGTAGGCCAGCTAATTTGCATACACCTGAGCTTAATGAAATCCTGCCTCACTAAGTTGTGAATTCTCATTAAATCAAAAAGTTGTAGATGCTGAGTCATGAAGAAATCATGCTTAATGCCCTTTGATCCTGATTATCTGTGTGAATTATTAGATTCAAAATACACTGTAGCTTTTAATTCAAATACATTGTGTGCTACAAAGCTTTATTAGAAACATTAATCTCATAAAATGTCTTTGGGCATTGTCTCAAATGCATGTCAAAGTCTGCCATTTCCCTTTCCTCAGTCACAATGAAACTTCAAAAATAAAAAACAAGGCAATAAATGAAAATATGAGAATAAGAGGGATATGTAAGTATCTCTCTTTACAAGAAGGCATCAGGAACTGCAGGTGTGTGTAGGTAGCCTGCACATTCACTGTGAATATTGGGAAACGATCTTCAAATCCCAAAACCATTTCTTTGTTAGTGTGACAGCACCATGACAGCTGCATACCATAACACCTCTTTTTAGATAGAAAAGTTAAAGAAGCCCTTTTCCCTTGTAGTTCATCTTTTAAGATTGTATTTGACCTCTTGATGAAGTGTATTAAGATTCCCCAAGACAAGGAATGGAGAGGGACAATTAGAAACAGGCTTTTTGATGTCTGTCTAGTATTCCTGTTGGCATTTGAATTTTGATGCAGGGGAATCTTGAACCCTCTCATAGGGAAAGCTTAATATTATTTGTCAAGATCACTGATAGGAGTGAGATATTTATCTATCTATCTATATCTATACATGTGTGTATATGTGTGTGTGTGTGTATATATATATAAATCATAACTAGGTTTTTAAAAGCTCATTTTTTTGTTAGGCCCTTAAGTGAATAGGCATTTTTATAAACTGTGCTATTAAAACCAGCCTAATTCTGTGAGGTCTGGTTCTGTTGTTACTATTGCATGTTTAGTAACATCTTTTTCCTTGAGGATTAGTCAGTAGAAATATATAATCACTTGTTAAAAAAACTAATTTTCTTTTATTTTCCTCTAATTTCATTTGCTATGGTTAAATATTACTATTAGTATGCTTTTAATTTACTGAAATACTAATGAAGTTGGTGATATCTGCTTGAGTTTGTGCACTCTTTCAGTTGCCTGAAGTACTTAAATATGCAAAGTTGCACTGTATTAATTGGGTTTTTTTGTGTTTTTTTTTTTTTTTTTTGTTATGCTAGGCTTTCAATAGTTATTTAGATTGTGCAGAATGTAATGCAAGTCTCTCAGAAGAATCTGTAACCTTCAATATTTGTTGTCTCAACCTGTCCATACCTACCACGGCAGTAGGAGCAAAATTCTTGTAGCATGTGTAGTATGTTCTAGTAGAATATAACCAGACTCTGGTCAAGCTTCTTTCATCTCCTGAAATGAGGAGGCCATATGTTCTGCCTGCCAGATGATTTTCACTGAACTCTCAATGTCCTTTCAGAGGAGAACTAACTAGACTGGAAGGCCATCTGAAAGGATTTGTGCGATGCTGTGATCCTTTACTTTCAATCTTGCATTAATACCTGTGCAAAGACATGAAGGATTTGTGTGTGTAACTATTCTTTGGCAGGAATAAATTTTTTTGAAAAGTAAATCTTAAAGTGGAAATTGTTTGAAATTGTATCTCTAAAAATCATCAGAGATCTTTTTTTTTCTGGGAAACTTGTAGTAGAAGGTTTCAGTATCATTTTAGCGAGTTGCAATCTTGACTTTTCTGTAAGATATTACTGAGTGTCTTGTACTTATAGTGTTTATTTGAAAGCAGAGAGGTCTTTGGTTAATTTTCCATCAATACATATGAAGGCTGCTGAGTTCTTATTTCCTGATCCCTACAGTTGGCTGTTCTATTGAGTTACTCTTGAAGCCATTTATTCCTGTCTGGATTGAGATGATGTGCTTGTGAGGACTTCAGTTAATACCACTTTATTGGAATAGAGTGAAAAAGACATGTCACTAACTTTCCATAGATGAAGACAATTCTTAGTTATCATTAACTGTAGAGTTGCTTCAGTTTAATGGCCACTTTAGTCATCCTTCAGCTTTTAATACTAATACATTGTTTCATTTGAAATTGATCTTTCCCCAGTGGATTAAGAATGCATTTGTGTTTTACTCTTTTGTTAAAAATGTAACAATATTTACAGAGCTGTTGAAATATTGAAGTATTACTCAGTCACTCAAGGTGACTTTTCCCTTAATGAAAATTTACTTTCTTTTGTAGTATAAATTGGTACTATCAAAATATGTAGTATTTTATAATCATACAGTTAATTTCTAAACAGATTTTTAGGAGACTGTGTATGTTACCATTTACAGCGCCTATTGTAGTTCATTTTTTAAGTTAGTACACTGATCAGCAATATTTTACATACTGCTTATCTATAACATGTGTGTACACACATGTATGTGTATTAATACAAAGAAAAGTTCTACCCTACAAAAGTGCAGACCTTTATCCTTCCATATTCTTATAACTTACAGTTTTATAAAAAGAATAAATGGCTTAAGGGACACAATTAAAAAGAAAGGCATATGATTTTACTAGTTACATTTAAAAAATCTTGTTCATTTTGTTGGAGCTATTCATTTTTGAGGAACAAAAGAGAATTGGGCTGAATTAATAAACATGGCTTTTGAGATGTCAGAGGAGTAAATGAGAGGAGCTAAATGAAAGGTTACAAATATTCTTTTAATATCATTAGGGTAATATAGCTTCAAAGTAATTTTCCCAAGGTACTGATTACTTGTTAATACTGAAGCTTACATGCTTTTGTTTTTTGTTTTAAAAAAGAAAAAAATGAAATGTAGGGGGGATGAGATTACTTTAGGGACACGATACGAGTGTGAAATCACTCCTACACATTACTGATGATGCATTTTGAGAACTCTGCATACAGTAACTCATGATTGAAGTTAAATAAATTAGTTTATGTAACTAAAAAGTGTGTATGCAAAAAAAAAATTCCTCTTTTATTAGTTGGACATTTGCTTAAATTACTCTGGTTACTAGAGTTTACGTAATTAATTTAATCAAATAACTGAGTAATAACTAACCATTCTTAATTAGAGAAGAATTCTCAGCTGTCATCAGAATGTTAAATATGAAAGCGGTGAATCTTCTATTCTTTCAAGGAGAAGATTTAGTATGACTAATACAATTCTGACTTATAGAAAAGAAAGTACATCCCAGACTGAACTGAGCAATAATACCTTTCAAAGGTGTTTTCCTTAGTGTTAATCTGAACATCTGAATATGTCAGATCTTCTGCTAGTAAGTAACTCTGCAAGGAGTTTTTTTGAAGGGTTATCTCTTCCTCAGCAGCACCCTGGAATGTCTATTTTGCACCTAATTTTTATAAGTAATCAAATCTGAGAATTCTGGATGCAATAGCTCTTGAAGTAATTAGACTATTTGGTAACTAAAAAGTGTGTATGCAGAAAAGTTGACCTTATTTTTTTCATTAATGCACTTTATTTAGAACCAGAGTTTCTCAGACATCAGTGGAGTTGCTCCTGTAATGTTGAAGGTGAACACCAGCCAATAAAATAATTTCAAATAAATTAGAAATTCCAACAGGACTGTTTAATAGACTTAATATCATGAGATGTAATCTATTTTTACATATCAAATAGATCTTTTGGAGGATGTCTTTTAAATACAATAATTATAGGAAAATAGGTAATTACTCCCCTGAAGTTATTATTAGTAGCATATTGTGTACTATTCACAATCCACACGTATTTATGAGCTGTATTACTGGAGACATTTATAACTGTGGAGTTCTAATAAAAGGTACATGCATAATTAGGTGAAGTGAGTTACAGCTAAGCAAACTCCATTGACTGCTCATGTAACTGTTAAGTAAACATTCACTTACATAGTCATTAATATTTTATCTTTCTGCAGTTTAATGAACTGTGTTTTAGACACAGCATTATTTTGACTTGTCTTCCCTTTTCAGCTACTTATGTTTTTCATTTCAGTTCTTCATGTGTGTATTTTAAGTTCCCAAGCCCTATTTCTCTGCAATAAACAAAAATTTTGGGGGAAAGATACCTGTTCAGTCATGCTCTTACTGTCTTATCTCTCAAGGATTTCTATTATCTATATGAAGAGTTAAGTGTCTCACCTGCTCAGAATGTCGTTGGTAGTGAAGGCTGCTTTTCTGAAATTGCTAAATTTTTTTGATGGCAGATTTGATCTAGAATGTCTTCTTGTATTTCTTTAAGGAATGTCACTGTCAGCAGGATCTTCTCCTCTTCATTCTCCCAAGATAACTCCTCATACATCTCCTGCTCCTCGAAGAAGAAGTCATACTCCTAACCCAGCAAACTATATGGTGCCTACTAGTGCCTCTGCGTCTGTCGCTAACGCTGTCTCCCAGCCTCCATCTACTGGCCAGGTGATCCAGAAGGAAACAGTGGGTGGAACAACGTACTTCTACACTGACACAACTCCAGCACCTCTCACAGGAATGGTATGTTGGCTTTCAGTACACAGCTGTCTGGAGTTTGTATGTGCTGAATTGGTTGATACTACAGATGTTATTTTTAATGCTATAAATGGCTCATTCTGTATGAAGGTGAGGCCTTTTAGTTATTTTAGTTGTTATCCAAAAATTACTGAAATACAAGGACCAGAGTAATTTTTATATATTTCTACAGCTGTGTAGAGCTTTCTGGGGTTTTAACACAGCAATAGCAGAAAACCATTCTGTGTCTCAGTGGATACATACATAATGAGAAAACATAAAAAAAAATTTTTTTTTGGTAGGTTAAATAGCTCTTATATTTACAGTGATGGAGAAAAAGGCAGTTACAAAACTGTGAAAATAACTGCGTACATACGTATATACACATACACCTCCCTCTCCCTTGAAATCTTTAGAAGTGAATACCACATAAAAAAATTGTAACATACCTGACAATATATTTGTAACTTGTACATGAGGATTTCATAGTTTGAACTGAAAGAGTGAGAAAACTCTTCATTTACTTTATCCTTAAGGACTTGAAAAAGATTCTTGAATTATTTTATTTTTAGGTTTTTCCAAACTACCACATCTACCATCCAGCTGCACCTCATGTTGCTTACATGCAGCCAAAAGCAAATGCACCTTCCTTCTTCATGGCAGATGAGCTCAGACAGGTAAGATGTTAGAGAGTTTAAAGGAAAATTTAATATCTTGGCAAAAAATAAAAAATTGTTAATGTAGAACAGAAATAGACACTTGCAACATGTGCAGTAATTTTTCCCTGTGGAGAATTTGAAAAATCAAATCTTGTAATAAGTGGAGTACAACAGAGGGTGGGGGTGAGTTACAACATATATGACTGCAATCTAATCTGCATGCCATGATTTACTATTCAGCTCAGTACTGTTACTGATGTGGTTTTTTGGCATACATGGGTTTATTTTTGTAACATTATTTTAAGCTGCAGTACTATTCAGTTTGAAAGTCTCCCACTGAAATGGGAGTGTATGCAGGTGTTAGTTGAAGAGCTCGGGGTTCATCATCTCAAGGCTGGCTGTGAGTGTTATTAATTTCAGCTTTATTGTAGTAGCTGCCTTTGTCAGTGCCAGCTATAGTAAATGTCTTCTGAAGCTCCTTCAAGAATTTAGGTATTTTATCATTCAAATTTTCAAGCTATTGCTCTTCTGACCCTCTCTACCCTAGACACTTGCATTAATTCTTTATTTTAGTACAGGTAGTACTAGTGCTAGTACTTTCGAAGTACTAGATGCTAGTACTTCAAAGACAGTGTTTTCTTAAATTTTCAAAACTAATGAGCTGCATTATAATGTTCAAAACTTAATTTTTCCTTCAGGAACTCATCAACAGACACTTAATAACTATGGCCCAGATTGATCAGGCTGATATTCCTGGTAAGTAAGTTTTCCTCAAAACTCTAAACAGTGATCATGTTTTTCTGCAATCATGTACATTCATGTATATTAACAACCTCTTACAAAAGCTGCCACCTGTTTTTATTTTTTCATGTAGCTTTACTCATCGGCCTGGGCCATGGTTAACCAAATGCAGTGTTTCAGAAATATGAATTATTCTTTCTGTCTTCTGTTGTCATTTTCTTCTGTTTTGAAATTCCTTAATGGTTAGAAATAGTTCAAATTGACAAAGGAAAAAATCATTAAGGCAGTTAAGCCCTGTGGTGAACAGTTTTGTATTACTTTGTAGGTATTAGGTACTTCTTTAAATGATGCATATATTTTCAAAGGTAGTATGTGAACTAGCAAAGCAGTTTGTTTTGAAGTGGCTTTGCTGGTATATGAGAGAAGGCTTTGTGCTAGGTGTCAGGCAGAAGAACCATATACTATTTACTGTGATTTGGCTTTTTTTATTCAGCTTGATTTAAACAATTTTTGCTTGCACTATCTTCTCAAATGTGTGCCTACTATAATAATGATGCAGTTAAAAATGCAGTTTAGTGTTTTAATCCTGATGAAATGCAAGGGTAATCTCTTAATCTGATTTACAAACCTTTAGCACTTCTCTCTCCCTGTTTTATAAACCAGTATATTCAAACATGTAAGACTGATACTTGCTTTTTTTCTGAGGAAAATGTGGTTCTTACCATGGTATGAAGTCTGCATTGAAATTGGTGCTTATTATTGAATCAGTGTAGGAAAACCACCAAAGAAATATCATTCATAAGGGTGAATTCTAAGGTAAATAAGAAAATGGCAGATGGAATGGAAATGGCATATATTCTGTTGATTTTACTTGGTGTAACACTTTTTCTGAAGACAATAATTTTAGGTCCGTGGGATCTCTTTTAGGAACCTATGAATATGTTGGTGTTAAAGCAAAAAATAGTGAATTTTAACTTCACATGCGCCTAAATGATGGAGGAGATAATTTAAATATTACTGGAAGTCATTTTAATTTTCTCTGCTATTCAGTAATTTTCTCCAAGTCAGCTGAGGCCTAACATGTTTCTGTGTATAAACTGATTTTAGCAGTTCCTGCAGAAGTGGACAGCTACCACAGTCTCTTTCCTTTGGAACCACTGCCACCGCCCAATCGGATACAGAAAACGAGCAACTTTGGGTACATTACATCGTGCTATAAAGCCGTAAATAGTAAAGATGACCTGCCCTATTGCCTTCGGAGGATACATGGTGAGAAACATTGAGTTGTCTCAATAGGACTAGCATTCCAGAGTGTACCAGTCGTATTTTAGTGTCTGCTTCCTTCTCAGCAGTTTCAGACTAAATGCTGAAGTAAAATTTTCTCATTCTAAACATTATACTTTAAACCATGGGTTTCATTTTTTCCCTAGGTTTCCGTCTTGTTAACACAAAGTGCATGGTATTGGTTGACATGTGGAAAAAGATTCAGCACTCAAATATTGTAACTTTACGTGAAGTGTTTACCACTAAAGCTTTTGGAGAACATTGTAAGTTTTTCTTTTTTCTTTCCCCCTGCCCTTCCCCCCAGCTCCTCCCCAGTTGATGTGTGGATACTTCTTTCAAATATGTTTGAGTTAGTAAATATCACCTGTTTCTGTTTTTAAGCTCTAGTGTTTGCGTATGATTTTCATGCTGGAGGAGAGACTATGATGAGCAGACACTTCAATGACCCTAGTGCTGATTCCTATTTCACAAAACGGAAATGGGGTAAGGAAACCACACTGTGAGACAATACTTCTACACACTGTTTCAGCAGTAAACATCTGGTCACAAACAGTTGTTCAGCTTAATTGTTTGGCTAATCATGCCATTAGCTGATTGACATGAGAGCGTTCTTCTTCACCTCCTGTTTGTAAAATCTTTTTAAATTATCAAACAATATAAAATTGATGTCAGCATGTAAGGGAATTACAACTCTTTGAGAGAAAAATAAGTTGGAACAAAACTGCGAGCCAGGAGCTCTAGTGTCCTTGTTGCAGGTCTATCACCAGGTAACACCTATCATTTAATGGCAGTAGTTCCAAAATTCAGAAGATATGCTGTGCCAATTTGGTGCTTGCTGTTTAGGTGTCCTACCATTCTGGTTTTTTCCTCACTATGAGGAATCATTAAACAGTATTTTATTTGATGATTAGAAATGTGAACTACTAGTTAAGACAAGAAATTGATTGAAAAATCCCTGTACCTTATTCTTTTCAGACACCAACTTCACATCTTAGGTCTGAAATTTTTTTAATGATGTTTATACATAGATTCAATGGAGTCACTACATAAGCATTCTTAAATGAAATCTGTCACAGGATGGTCTATGGCTCAGCAAGTGGCGCAGTAGAGCCCATATGCTTGTGGCTAAAGCCTTTTCCTCTGCAAAACACTGTGCTGTCAATCATTCTTCCTATTAGGACCAGTTTGTGACCCTGTAGTCTTACAAACTGCAGTCAGGTGTTGGCAACACAAACAGTGCTATGCTGAGAAAGAGAGGTGGTCACTGCTTAATGCAATCACAAAAAGACTTAAGATAGAAAAGTATCCTGCAGAGCTTCTTTGGACCAACTTCTTGCTTGATGCAGGACCAGCCCTGAAATTAGATCCAGCATTAAAGATGACCAGATGACTGTGACATGGCCTGCTTTTTTTTTTTAATTAGAGAAGATCTTCCCTAAATGTCTTTAGGCTGCCAGTGTATGAAGAGAAACAGAAGCTAAGGTTTTTTTCTCGTGCCTTTTGAAATTAGAGCTTTTAGCTGTGAATTCAAACTGTTTCAGAGGTTGACATCTAGAACTTCACTTGGATATTTTTTACATAAGAGTATAGTGGTTTGGTAGTGTGTGAATATGTTGAAAGGCTTGAAGAAAACCTTACATACGTTCAAAGACTTGTGGATACCTGAAATACGGCATAATTCTCACTGACTTTGCACTGAGCTGACCATTTTAAGTGGAGATGGAACTTGATTTCCACCACTGATTTTGGTGGTAATATCTCAGATGGAGGAAACCCCAGTTTGATGTGTCATATCCTGTGGCAAATCAGAGTGTAATTACAGATTCAATGAGCCTGATGTGAAACTAATTTGGTGAGATAAAACTGGAAGATCTACTGCTAGGGTAATGACTGTTACGTGCAGAACTAGGCTCCTGAGTGTTTCCCAGTCATGGTTTTCAATTTCCATGTGAATCAGTTATGTTTTTGTATCTATTTAGAGAATCATAGTAGAATTATGTCTGTTCTAGATAAAATAATAAAAGTTACATAAAATTATTGGGAGCACATTTTTTTGTCATACTGGAAAAATAATTAAGTTACGGACCTATAAAGGGCAGTCATGTCTCATTAATCTATCAAAGTTCTTTAAAGGAAGATCGAGCAGATAAGACCTTGGAGTTTTCAATGAAGTCTAACAGAGTCTCTAAAAGAACTTAAGAAGTCATATTGCAGAGGAGGTTCTCAGTTAGGTTAATGCCTGGTTAGAATATTAGAAACAGAGTGAACAGTGAAGATCACTGATGGGTCTCACAAGATGATGTCCTGGGAGTTTCTTAACTCATTCACTTGTTTGTTCTGAAGATAAATTGTCTGTCAAAGTTTGCTGATAATACCAAATTATTTGGATTGTTAAAAACAAAGGCCAGTTGTGATTGATTGCAGAAGGATCTTACAAGACTGGAACTCCTACTGATAATACAGCAGGTGATGTAATGTAAACCAATGTGGAAAAATGGAATTAGCTTTAAACATGAAGTGATGGCCTCTATTGTGACTGTTTCCACTCAGTAATAGGTCTGGGACCACGGTTAAGTGCATTGAAGAAAATACTGTCCTCTTGCTGAATAGCAGTAAATAGGAAATAGATTGATGTGGCTTATTAAGAAAAGGGCAGTGAAATGGTAGACATTGTATTCAAGTTGTGTGTACCTGATAGACTTCTCTCTGAAGCTATGTTCCTCCTCATGCATTTTGAAACATGTAGAAGAGAAGCAAAGAAGTTGAGATGAGGTGGCAGGGATGATCAAAGGTGTGGAACAGCTGGATGAAGAACAGCAAAGTGGAATAATGCTTTTCATGCTTTTAAAGATGGAAAGGAAGATAATGGGGTTAAAAGTGCCTGGAATATGCTCTGAAAAATCATCTGGAATAACAAAGAAATTAATTAAAAAAGTTAATTATTTCTTCCAGCCTAAAACTGAGGACTTACCAATGAAAATAGACAGGTAGCAAATTCAAAACCTAGGCTGTCATGATAGTTAAGCCATGGAACTTTCACAGATTATTGTGGACATTTGCCTAAGTTCAAGGGGGAAGTGGGCTTACTCATGGAGGAGAAATATTTGGGGACTGCATAGTCATGATATTTACTTCTGGGCTGCAAATCACTGGAGACTAATAGAATATTTTACTTGTTTATGTTTATACACTTCAGTATTCATTGCAAGCTGATTTTAGTGTATGTGTCTTTGAAACAGGCTCATGGGCTATATGGACCCTTTGTTTCACCTACTTCAGCTTCCTTTTATAGGCAGGAATAATCTGGGAAGTTGGAAATAAGACATCAATGTCTGTTTGACCCAAAGTATTACTTAATTAAAATGAGCTGTTGCAACAGAACTTACAGGGATATGTAGGGAAGATAATAGTCTCCTGACTGTGGCAATTACTACCTGCTCTTTCAATATTTTCAGTAGATAAATTAGGGGAAGTCACCTGAATTCCCAAATTTTGCCAAATCTTTCTGCATACTTTTGCTTTGGCCTTTTTTTTTTTTTTTTTGATAGCTGCTACTCTCTAGTCTGGTCCTCAGTAGAAGGAGCAATTTAAGAGAGAAAAATAAGATTGCATACCTATAACTTGATTTCTCAGAATTGCCTGCCTTCACGGATCCTTTCTCCATCCCCTCACAGAGTTTCTTGGCCGTCTGCCTGCCTAGAGGAGACTCCCAAGAGAAGCAGGGGAATGGATGGAAGTTGGGTACTCTGCAGCATGAGGCCCAGATTAGTACAATTGCTTATAAAGGTTTTAGGAGGCACAACACTGTGAACCTGATCAGTGAACTCAGAGAATTTGATTTCAGGTATGCAACCTTATTTATGTTGAACACTTGAGTTGGCAACATGAGACCTTGATAGTTAAAAGATGAGGATTATGGTTTACATGGCTGTCTTGCATGTCACTGGTGTCAATGTGGTCAGTCTTGGGTGTTTTCTTCTTGCTGTTTTTCTAACAGACCCTGTTACAGGACTGCCTTTCTAGAGATCTGGTGTGGGGGAGAAAAATAGCAGCTTACATTAATTTTTATGCTCTTAACTAATGTCTCTGACTTCTGAATGAATTAGAATTTGTTGCTTATGTTCTTTATTCAATGATACGGCCTCTTCCTTCAGATGGTACAGTGTGATAATCTAACATTGTTCTGTCATATTTTACTAAATTTGCACGGTTTAAAATCAGGAATCTGAATTTTCGTTTAATCGATACTCAAAGTACATTTATTTGAAAAGTTTCTTCTTATATTATTCTCACTTCTTATATTTCCTCAAAACATTTCTTCATACTCTAAACATTAAATCTGTTGTTCTGGAACTTTTTGGTATTCTTCTACCTTTCTTATATTTCTTAGCTTCAGACTATATCATGTATTAGTGCATTTATCTCTGCTGAAATTATGTTCTCTTTGCATTAGTGAGTTAACCCAAAAGTACTGAAATGTTGCTCTTAACAGTCCAATAACTGAATGGTAAACCAAATTCTGAATGTATCTACTTTAAGACTTAACAGTCAGAAAATCCTGGCAAATTATCAGTAACTATTGGCAGCTGCCAGAAAAGTTTGTCCTGATGAGTTTTTGTGGTTGGCAGAGATAAGCATGCCTTTGTTATGTCCTTTGGTCTGCTTTTAAGCACTCTGAATAATTAAATGCTGGCATACATGCTGTTAGTAGGAGTTTTCAGCAGCATAGTCTCTGTTTTTCAGCAAACAAATACTTTCTGATGAAGATAAGCATGGTCTGGGAAACTTGCTTTGCTTTTGACACATTGATAGTAGTATGTCATGCACAAAAATGGACTTCACTGCTGACTTTACAGTTTTTTACATCCCCACGTGCTGAATGTTTCTTTTATAAAATACCCCTTCTATTGAAAAAGAAATAAGTTGTGTGATGACTAGATGAATAGTGTGTGATGAGGAGTAAGAGTATGTGAATATTCAAAGTCAGCATGATGTTTTTGAAGACAAAATATGTGACTAATAATTATCCTAAAATACCTTTGCCAAAAGCTGCAACTTTTTCAAAGTAAGTTTGAGTTTTCAGTAGCTTTAGAATTTTTACAAAAATACTGCTGCCTTCTAGTAGTTCAGAACCTTTCTGTACACTGAAAACGGGGAAATGTAAAACCAAACCCCAGTTTGCCCCGAAGGAGAGATGAAGACTACTGCATTTGTCTCGTTTTCAGTACTTGAACTTAGGAACACCAAGTAAACACCGAACAATTCTTAGTTCTGAATGTAAAAGACTGGTTTACAAGCCTGAGAGTTCAATTTAATAAACAGCTAAATCTCTCATTGGGTTTTTTTTCTTCGTTACTGTGTGAGAATTGCTGTTTCTTGGCATGCTTTCAGTGTTCCTGGTGATGTCAAACAGGTCCTACTGCTGGTGTTCCCAGGTCTTACTTCCCACCCCAGGACTATTCCTGGATTCACACTTGCTCTGGAGAACAGAATTTCATTTGAATACTTTTTTTAAGAAGGAAAAACTTAATATACGCATGCACACTGGTACAGAGGGTAATTTTTTTGTTCTGTTGTCAACAGCATACCACAGAACTAAAAAGTAAGTGTTAGCATTTTTATTTATTTATGTCTATCCCAATGTGGCAAGGAAAAATAATGGATAACCTGTGTTTTTGAAATGGCAGGTGTTAAATTTTTAATCTTTTCCATTAGTGGCTGTGTTCTACATCACAGAGATGAAATTGTTGGGAGAGATGAATCTGCCATGCAGTAGGTGGGAAGAACACAGTCTGAAATTTTGCTTGTTGTAGCCTTAGATTCAACCTGTGGTGGGAAGCCTTTGCAAATCAACCATGGAATCTCTTAACAAAACACATTTTCAAGTAATACTGTGATCATTTGGGTAATGGTTACTTACATTCTTGTGCTGTTTTTCCTTGTGTTCAGCACTGTTTGGAAAGCTTTCCAACTGTGTGTTTCTCCTGAAGAGCAAGCTTTTGGGTCTCATTTCCTTGGGTCCTTGCTCAAGTGCTGTCTGTGGCAGGTGTGGTGGGCCTCTTGGGACATACATTATGGTCAGCATTGCAGCCAGCTGAACTGCTTTTAATCGTGCTTATTTTGAACAGATGGAGATGTAAGAGGGCATTTCAAAGTTGATTCTTCCCATGTTTTAGCTTGTACCTTTAGTGTATGTGAATGTGGGGTGCAGCTAACTGATGTGAAAGCAGCAGCCCAGATTTGACTGTAGCCTCAAGTAAGTTTTTGCAGTAGTAAAATAACATTGGTGAGATTTTCTGATAGATGAGGAGAAGCTGTGTCAAACTCTGGTCTTTCTGTTTATATTGGACTTTCCCTTGGTTACATCGCCTTAATTTGAAAATCAAAGGGCGGATACTCTTATGCATGCACAAAAATAACTGCCAAGTTTCAGCTTTTCTCTGTCTTTGGCATATTATAGCAACATTTCTATTCTGGACTTACTTTGCACAGATGTAACTCTCTTACAGTATGCATGCACATCCCTGTTAAACTTGCTACTCATGTTGCTGTTCACCAAATACAAAGTGCATTCTACAGCAAGTAGTAAAGAGTCTCAACTAGTACAGGAGGTTGTATCTTCTCAGTCATTTTATAATATAGTTTTTGTCATTCTGAAGAAGAGAGAGTTATGAGGGACAAATTTGCTACATGAGACTTGGAATGATGGTTTTTGTGGGAAGTGATTTGCATACTGATTCATCAGGGGGCCAGAAAAAACAAACAATATCTCATAATATTCAGCTTTCAGTAGACATGCCAAGTTTATTGTTTTTTAAAGGAGTCAGCATTTTGATCTTCATAATCTAAACCAAAATACCTTAAACCTGAAAAGCAAACTAAAATTTTAAAAGTGGACAAAACAAAGCTCAAATGAAAGTTTGTAACATTCTCAGCCCATGACCCCTAAGTCAGTAAAATTTCCAAGTAAAAAGTTATCAGGAATGTGTTCCACGTTTTTTCACTGTGCATGTATTTTGTGTGTGCATATGCATGCAAGTATACATATGCTTACTTTGATCAAATGCACAGATGTTGATATGGTTGTGTAGGGAAAGGGGGGGGAAAAACTCCCAACCTCAAAAAAACAAGAACAAAAAACAAAACAACCCAAAACCCACAAACAAACAAAGGAAAAACTAAAAAGAAATAAATGTTTAGAGAAGAGCACAGTCAGTTCACAGCAAAACCAATCAGTTGCTTACATGATTTTACTTACTACTGATGATATTACTGGTCTCAAAACAAGCAAAATCAGTAGTGAGGCAACCTCTTGAAATATCTCCTGTGGTTTGTAAAATTGAGATGTACTGTCTTACTCTGGATGTATTTTCTTCTGCTTCAATTTTGTGCAAGGCAACCAATGCCAGCTTACTTGAATTACACACATCATACTTAAAATAACATTTTTTATCTGTATCTTCATTTTTTCCTCTGTGACTCAGTATTACTCAAACGGTTTGTAATGTAGGATTTGAGTGTGTGTTTGCAAAGACTGAGTTTTACTTTTGAAAGGAATACTAAAAATTCATTTGGAAGGAGAGTAAGGCATTTCTTTCATATGACCCATGGAACAGGGGTCATGCAGTGATGACTTGACAGGGAGCTGTGTCATAGCAGAATGTACGTGAAGTTGTGTTCAATGATGTGTAGCCTCCAAATCTTTGTCTGATTTGCTCATGTAAGCTGAAATTAGTTTGTTTTTTTTTCTCATTAGATTATAGAAAATGTTTAATTGGGAAGCCTGCTTGCAATAAAGGTGGTAAAATGTTTCCGCTATTGTGGTACATACTCGTTGTTTCAGGATATTGGTGTTTTTACTTCTGAAGTACCTGCATATGGTGATGTACCATCTACTTTGAGAAATTTCCAATCAGTGCTCATTCTCAACTTCAAAACATCATTTCCCTGAATATGAGAATGAAAATAATAATGCCTAATGAATTGTCAGCGTTTTCAAAAAAAACACCATGTGAAACCAATCAATGCAGAAAAATCTATTCCAAAACTCACCTTTAAAGCAACATAGATGTGTCTTTCAAGGACTATTAAGAGTTAAATAAATTGAGGGTGTGAGTTAATTGTATGATTCAAGACATTGTACTTTGCTTTTTGCACAGCAGCCTTCCATTGATGCTCACAATGTTTTGGTTCTAGGTCAGCATGATGGGCCTCTGCCACGGCAGCATGCGGGGTTGCTTCCAGAGTCTTTGATATGGGCATATATTGTGCAGCTCAGCTCTGCCTTACGGACCATTCACACAGCAGGACTGGCGTGCAGAGTTATGGATCCAACCAAGATTCTGGTAACAGGAAAAACAAGGTAATGCAAGCATTCAGTCTCACTGTGCTCTGGGTTCCTGGCAGCTGCTGACTCTGCACCTGGTACATAAATAGCTACTAAGTTCTCTCAACTGGCCTGAGGCATTGTGCTAAAGCTTGTAACTTTGGTTTTTTAAAGGTCTTCTAAAACATATTTTGGGAAGACTTATGCATTACCCTCAAACTACAGATCAGACCCACTACTATCAGTTTAGAAATTTGTTGATTTATTTGTAAATGCAATACTGTCTGTGCATTTTATCAAATAGAAAAATCAGTCTTTTCTGACTCACAGTAATTTGCTAAGTACTGATGGCTTTTATAATATCAAAAAATTCAATAAATGCTAGAGGAAACATTGAGTAACCAATTAAGTTTAATGGCAATTTTTTCTTTTCTCTTCTTGTTCCTAAAGGTTACGAGTTAATTGTGTTGGAATCTTTGACGTTTTGACATTTGACAACAGTCAAAATAATCCACTGGCATTAATGGCTCAGTTTCAGGTATGACAGCAAACACTGCTAGTTAGGTTGGTGGCTTGGCAAAGGGATTACTGCAAACCAGTGTGATTCCTTTTGGAAGATAAGTACTTTAATTAAACTGTAGTCCAGTGTATCTATCTGTAAATGACTGTATTTTTTTATTTCTGGTTTGATCTTGGTTCTCCCATACACTGTTCAAATTTGCTAATAATTTATAAATGTGAATGCTCATTTTGGTATTTTCTGCCTCTAAAATTTCAGCAAGCTCACTGAACAGGTTGAACTATAGTATTTAACAAACTTAAGTCAGAAATGACTGGAAATAGAAATTTCTAAAGGAAGGAGAAGAAAAATCTTACATTTAGTGTTAGAGGTAAAAAATAATGATAATAGTTTTTGCTCTGTCTTTTGTGATTTTAACATAAATAACTAAGTGTTGAATACCTGTTGAGAGGAGTAAAATCTTTCAGTTAACTGCATTTAGACCCTCTCCTCGTGCCAAAAAGATTCTAGTGTATCTTTATTTTGGGCTCCTAGTTTTTCCGTGCTCTCCTGGTGTTCTCTGAAGCGTGGACTCTGCATAATTCCTGAATTAAGAAGAACCCCTTTAGAATTAACAAAAACTGTTCCACAGTCATCTGGAGCATCACTGTGTACAGGAGTGCCTCTTTCCCTAACTTCCCCTCAGGGTAAAGTACATTACTTCAGCAGTCATCACATACCCTGTTTGTACTGGGAGTGAAAGACTACAGTAGGGAGTTGGATTTAATTTATTTTCATTAATTGACCTTATTCGCTGTGAAAACTGCTTATTCAGAGTCTTTAAGTAATAACTGAAATGTTTGAACTTTGACCAGAAGAAACTAGCTCATTGGAGACCATATCCTAGAACATAATAACTTTTTTTTTTTAATGGTACAGTAAAGCAGTTTTCAGTGTGCTTTGAGGAGTACACCAAAGGATTTCACACTCATACACACACACTCAGCTACGTATCAGTGGGCTTTTGGTAGTAATTTAGTGGAAAACAGTTGTGAGAAGATGAAAATACAAATAAGTAAGGGATTCCATGCCTAAAAATGTAATTAGAGGGGTTTTATTTCAATCTGAGTACTTCTCTGTTTTAATTTCAGCGTGGAAAGGGATCCTCCTGAGATATTATGACATTCAAGTAAAGAAAAACATTTAGAATACTTGAAGATACAAATCTAAAAATACTTGCAGGTACACAAGTCTGTCAAAAGCACTTATCACCGTAGCAGCTCAACACGTGGCAGCTGACTTGCTTGATAATGCCTAGTTTTGTTTAGGGGGAATGGCTTTTCATGTTTTATATGTTGTTAATATTCAAATTGTTTAGGTTGCTCTGCTAAACCAGAAAATAAATACTCCTAAATACTTAGTTTGGAAGATCTAAATTGCAATTAGTAAATACCGTCTGTTTTTTTCTTTTGCTGTCTTTTCTAGAAGGGCTAGGCTTTTACTGCCCATTTTTTTCCTTCAGAGGTGCCAAACTGGGTCCATTCCTTGAAATTTAGGGGTCATTTCTCATGCTCTACCTTTGTTTGCCCTAGCCAGATAAAATTACAAAATAACAGCTGCTGCTCATCCTTTTTCCTTTTGATCCATGACCCAGTTCCTGAATTCCTTTGGGACTCCTGTGACTGTTAAAAATATAGGTTATCTCTTGGTTTACTGCCCAGCTAATATGCATTTCCTTGTTGTTGTCTTCAATGGAAAAAGCTATGTTTGTTAGGATTTGCTATTTTCTGGCTATTTCCCATGGTTAATATAAAGAGAGATTTCAGCCAAAACAGTGAGGAGCTATGTAGAAGGAATGCAATTGTTCTTTGCAATCTGTGTTAAGCGCATTAATCTGTGATCATTTAAGAGTTACATGAAGGCAACAAAAAGGAAGCTAAAAAGAAGTAAATGAAATAGGAATGGCCACTTGCATTGAAAACCAGTGGTTAAACCTGCATAAACTGTAGCATGTGACTTCCTGCCCTGCCCCAGTCCATAAGTCTTGTTTCAGTCAATTGCAAGGTACAGATGGGAAAGCTAAGTGGTGATACTGGAAACAGTAATAAGGTTTAATAAATATTTCTGTATTTGGAACAAAATTTGTAAGTCCTCCCCTTTACAAAAAAAGAGAATGTAAGTTTTAACAAGGGCTGTAAGGTTACTTTGGCTTAAAGTAAATATTTTCAATTTAGCAAACCAAAATAACTTTCATATGCACGTTCCCAAATTTAAATAAACTAGTTTGAAGAGACATCTCAAGTACTATTATTGACTCTAAAAAAATGCACCAAAATGTAGGAACTTGGCGATACTTCTAAAGACAATGCTAGAACATATCCTTTTAAGTGAATCCACAGAACTAGGGTATGAATGAGCTGATACTTATCCAAGCATAGCAGTGGATCAGGATAACAAAATAAAAAGTAGTGTTGGTTTCAAAGTGTTTTTGGAAAACAGATCCTGTCAAAAAAAAAAAGTTTTATTTGAATAACTTACATGTCTAGCTGATAAAATCAAATGTATTGGTACGTTGAGGTATCTATGGCATTTGGCAAAGTGGCACATACCTATTCAATTAAAAAAAAAATAAGAAAGGGTCCCTATGCAATTAACATTTAAATTACTCACTTGACATGCTTGAAATTCACTTAGTAACAGGGAGACATTCATGAAGGTGTCTGGTTTTGAGTTTATCCCCTAGTGCTGGTTTTTAGTGAATGCTATTTGATAGCTCTGTCAATGAACTAAATGCTGATAAAATCCTTACTCGCAAAGCTTTCAAGAGATAGAAAATTAAGTTGGTAGAGGTTACAGTTATGACTTTAATTACTAATTAAATGGTTAATTATTGCATGCAAGGTGCATTTTTGAACAAAAGGCTGCCTGTGCTTAGAAGGTGTAAAGCTTTTCCTTGAAGTTAGGAATCAGCTTAGTGTTACTGCATAGTCACTGTTGATAGTTACCATAGCAGAAGTTTTCTGTCAGATCAAAAGGAACTTACATGATCCATAGGAGCATGCAAACACAATAGGGAGTATAAACAAGGAAATGATGTACCTAGTATAGATCTGTACCTTGTACTAGCAAGGCTACCACAGGAATGCAGAAAAATATATTTCTGGTGTTCCTGCTGCAAGGAAGTCTAATAGTTCTTGTGTGCCTTCTTTAACCTTTCTTTGCCTAGGAACAGTGAGAGCTGAATATTTTCATAGGATAGGTTAGGAATTAATAGGCATATGTGGATTGCTTCCTTACAGAAAAAATTGTGTAACCCAGCTCCTGGGAAGTCATGTACCCTGTCTGAATTTATAGAGTGGGTCAGCAGATGGTAGTTTAGTTGCTTCTAAAACAGTAATCTGACTCTCAGAAATCCTAAATTAACGGGTTCTTTCCAGCTGGTGATATTGATTCTCCAGTCACACAGGAAGAATATTGCCTTTGTACTCTTGTAAAACTTTTAAAATTGGGTATTGTGATAACATTTTCTTTCAGGATTTCAGCTAACAATGAATAGTAAAGTGCCTCCAGAGAGCAATTCAACTGGCTCAAAATCTGAATTGTCTTACAGAATTACAGTTGTCTTATATTGATCAGTCTCTTAACTGAATGCTTGAAGTTCCTAAAATAAGTGGGATGAATCCAAGCCACTTTTGTGTCTAAAACAAGCTAATCATGGGCTGTAATTGAAAAACTTTGTGTTTGGGAGTGCACTGGGGTGTCATATTCTCTCTGCCAATTCTTCTGGTAGATGTGAAACAAACAAAAATTTAAGGTTGCAAATCAAATGCTCAAAACCCCACAAAGCTAAAATTTAAGATTTCCTGTCTGATGTTAAATGTAAGACTTTCTCAATAATTTCCAAAATCTAATGCAAGTGTATTATGAAAGCACTTGTGCAAAGGAAGACCATTTTCATAGGGTCGTGCCTGTGTATTTTCAGTGTCCCAGGCTTGTATGATGATACAGAATTTATATAGGTTATATCCTTCTGAATGACTAAAAGTTGAAATATATTAAGTGTAAAGTAGAGGACTGCAGAAAGAAGTACAACTGTGGTTAATACAAATGCATATTTCTTCCAAGACTTTTTGGAGAAAACAATCATAATGAAAAGGCCTTTGTCTCAGGTGACACACGTTTCTAGCTACTGCACTAGAAGGAATCCTCTGTTTAGAGCCATACCAGTGTTCCCTGCTGCTGAAATTGGCTACTTGTTAGTGGAAGCAAGTTCACACTGAAAAGGGGGTTTAATGCTCTGATTAACATCTCTTTACCAAAGGAAGAAGGAATGCTAATACTCAGAAATTCTGTGTTGCTTAGGAAATAGTTTAGCAAATGCCAGTCCTACGTCCTTTTCAACCACTTTGTCCATATTTGTCTCATTTTCCACATCCTGTTTCTGTCTTCATTAGTTACAAGAATAACATGCATTTTAATTTCTGATGTATTGTGTGTCCACGTTCAAATTGTGCTGTTTAATCATACTTGATATAGGAACAGCAGGGGCATTGAGGAACCTGGAAAGGTTTGGTATTTTTCCCTTTCCCCCAGCACCTGGGAGACGTGGCTTCAGGGAAGGCTGTGCTCAGCTACTGCAGCCAGAGGCAGCAGGTGTGGTTATGCCTCTGGGTGGAACAGCTGTGAGGGGCTGTGGCATGTTCACCATCACAGCACTTTTCTAAAGCTGCCAAATTCTAACCAGAACTTCTCATGCTGCCAGATGTTTTTAGCCTTTCTTACAGAAATGATGGAAGGTGGATTCTTTGTGTGATTGCATTCTCTGCTACATGGCTTGGCCTTGCTCTAGGCTATGGAACTGACATTCTCAATTAATAGTAGCTTTTAAGTTTTTAGGTTTGCAAAAATATCTTATTTTCTCCAAAAAACTCCAAAACCTCAGGAAAAGTCTAATTTCATATATATAGCTGACTGTTAAATTCACTCTGAGGCATGTCCAGCATGAAAGGCTGCAGGTGTTTTTAAGTTTTGCTAAGTTGTGTGCAGCTGAAAGCCTTTCCATGGAAAGAATCAATTCAACTTTTCCTATGAATGTCATTGTTTGCTACTAAATTAGACTCTTGCTTTTAGCAGTGAGATTTAAAATCTGTTACAGCTTTTCAAAATCATTTCTCATGGCTGGCTATTAATACTGGCAGAATTTTCTGTTACGGCAAAGCAGGCTGTATCCAGCATTCATCTTTTAAGAGCAGTTCTGCTTTTAACAAAAGTGTTAGTAATGCAAATGTTTCTTCATAACACACAATGCTGTTCTGTTTGGCAACTGTACAGGCCTGTCGAGTTATTTTGCACAGTTCAGATCTTTTCATACTGTCCATCAGAGATTAAAATATTTGAGCAATTTGTTATAATGGTGATATCATGTGTTAGAATGTGATATGGATCCCAGTATGGAATTCACACTGGATGGCTAGATTGAAAAGATATGAATGCAGAAAATGCTGGTTTCAGTTTAGCAAATAATCCTTTTATTTCTACATCTCATATTGAGAAGACTTATTCTGTTTGCCACCAACTCCTTGACTTGTCAGGATTGAGCAGGTGGGTGGTTCAGAGAACCTCATTACAGAGCTTCTGCTCACTACACAGTTCTCTCTGGTACTGTCCTTAAGCTAAAAATAGGTAAATTTTAATCATTCAAAGATAAATATAGTACTTAAAAATTGCTAGGTGTCAAGACAGATTTTCTTCTGTACTTTTTAACTACTGTAACTTGAACAATCATATTGAACTATGATTTGAATAGCACTTACTTTAGTTGCTCAAATTCTTCTAAGGTTATTGAAGAACTCTCTTTAACACCATCTAGTACCATGGGTAGTATTTATCTGTACTAAGAATCTTACTTCTGTATGTTTTCCCTGTTAGCAAGCAGATCTGATCTCCCTGGGGAAAGTTGTGTTGGCTTTGGCTTGCAATTCTTTATCAGGAATTCAGAGAGAGAATTTGCAGAAAGCAATGGAACTGGTGACAATCAACTACTCCTCTGACCTGAAGAATCTGATTTTGTAAGTTTGTTTAATAAACCTTTTAAAGGAAATCGCGGCACTTTTCTTATGTATACAAATGCAAAAGCGAAATGGTATTTTTAAATGCAAGTAAGACTACAGGTAAATCTGCGGTTGTTGAGTTGTCTTCATGAAATAGGCACACTGTCTTTTTGGCCAAAAAGTTGAGTGCTAGCTTTTTCTGGCTGCGTATTCTTTTTGTGTCATTTCAATATAGTCAGCCTTTTTCTCCCTTGCAACCTGAGTGGGAAAAGTAGAAGTCTTTTCTCCTTTCCTCATTTGAAAAAAAATTGCATTGCAGTCAGAATCTTCATCCATCTCTCTTTTTGTGTATGTTCTTGCTGCTTGAATGGAGTGAACTGCACAGTTTTGTGAAAGTATACTCCTGTCTTGTATAAATAACTGACTCAATGTATACATGCAAATTGACTGTGTTTTCTTGATGGTATCTTCTTAAAAGAAACATAACAATTGTCAACTTGATGTATTAAATACAAGAAGCTAAATAGTTGTAAAATCATAATGGAATATAATGTTTGACATTTGCAGGAAGTAATCTTTGTTGGTTGGGTTATTTTGACAGGTATTTGCTGACTGACCAAAACAGACTTCGCAGTGTAAACGATATCATGCCTATGATTGGTGCACGATTCTATACTCAGTTGGATGCTGCTCAGATGCGAAATGATGTTATAGAAGAAGATCTAGCAAAGGTAAATCATGTAGTAAGTCCTGCAGAAAGACCTGTAGTCAGTGTTACTAGAGCTGTACCTTGAAAGCGAATGTTTTCTACTAGTTTCTGTTGGGTTTTTTTTCCCTTCTGTTTGTTTATTAGCCTAAGTAATCTGCTGGAAGGCTTGACAAGTCTAAACTCAGGCTTTTGAGAGCCCCAGAGCTTCAAGAATGCCTAGTTTTAAGATGTCTTCAGCTGTGTTTTAACTGAAGTAGCATCTTCATTTCCAGCCAGTAATCTTGGGAAAATTATGTTCTTTATAGCATGGTTAAAAATAGCATTCTGAGTGAAGGAGGCCATGTATGTCATGGAGATAATTTAATGTGTGCTAAAGCCCCATAAATTTTTAGGTTTGGATTTTGGTGTCCTTGTTCTCATATGCTTTCCTTTCTGAATTAATTCTAATCCATGGAGATACCATGTTCAGCTTTCCTAAGTGTGCACTCTTGCTGTGGGGGTCTGTGGTGTTCAGTCAAGGTGTCGAGTACTAGCTATAAAGGAAATACATACTATGTATCAAGTGAGGGTGCATTTGTTCAACAGGAAGGTGTCTGTTAGTCAGAAGCAGCTGACAGCAGGAGATACATTGGGGAATGCTCTCATGGCCCTGAAAATATGTGGAATAGGGTACTACAGGAGGATTTAATCAAGTTGTTTGATTCCACTCCATTATAACCCCTTTTTAAGAGACAGTAGACCAGTGTTTGGATTCTGATAGACTCAGTTCTCTTGATTTCTCCAGTATTGTCCTGTTGGAGAACAGTCTTCCCCTCCTTGATGAAAGATGCTGAAATCTATCAGGAGCAAGGAGCTGTAGAAGAGCCAGGCAGTATCTCTGTACCTCTAGATGCTGGGTGCCCACTTTCTCAGAATCAACTACTAATCCTTCTCCAGAGGTTTTTAAGTTTGTTTGTTGTTAGGGTGGCCTATGTGCCTGCACAAAGCTGGGCAGATGAACTCCTTCCCATAGCAACGATGGAGATTGCTGTGTGATCAGTATTTTTAGTCAGGCTATTTGAGTAGTTGCTTATCACTGGCAGGTGGGCAGAGATACTACAAATTCAAGTTGTTGCTTAGCCCTCAGTTTGGCAATAGCTGTTTACTTGACAGTGATAAATACCACTTCTTAATTAGCTGTCACACTGTAACTTGTTTGTACTATGCCATCTCCTCCATTAACATCAGAGCCGCAGTATCCTTTAAGTCTAGTCTGCTACCCTCTGTTCATTTTTGTCCCAAAGCAAATGCTTTGGAGAGAGTATTAGAAAAAGACTAGCATGTGTGATTTTTTTTTTCCTTACATTGTCCAAGCATGCAGTCATCTGTAGCTTAGGGACTTCTGATGCTGAGTTTGTGTGTAGTTAATATCTTTGTAACACTCGCTTCTCACAGAGCAGTAACCGTTATGCTATTCTTTTCCTTCCTCACTTTTATGTTTTTCGTATTCATGTCATAGCAGTCAAAGCCTCAGTTTATAAACCCTGTGGAGAGTATCTCCCTCCTTACAGACTACTAGGCCTGCAGAGAGGCCTCTTGGAGTCTTGGTGCCTGTGTTTTTGCTCAGCTGTGTCACCATTCACTGGGAATCTGCAAGGCAGTGAACTTTATACAGGTGTAGTTTTGGCTTTTGAGTATTTGACCACATGCCAAAAATAAATTTGGTGGTTAGACCAAATAGTAGACCTTGGCTAGCTGGACAGGGTTGGTTTTCCATGTCAGTCTCTAAGTGTTGCCACTGTTGAGGTACAAGCTGTTCTTCTGTGTGTTTTTAGACTATTAATAGAAATCTGCAATCCATAGGTTGTCCAAGGTCAGGCTGCTATCACCTTGACCCACTTTATTTACCTAGCTGTGCACAGTAATCTACTCCAGACTGAATTCAGTTGAAATCAATATGATCATGCATGGAATTAGATGCATCTTAGCATGAATAATGTTGTAGACCTGAGCCATTGGAGAATATGAATAATATCAGAGAGGATCTTTTCCTGACAACTTCGATTTACACTGTGAATTAATTCTTTTTGTTTAATGTAAGCTAGGATGTTACTGTTTTACTGCATCCTAAGTAGTGTGGAAAAACACGCTAAATCAACTTTCAGTTGCATGTGTACTAAGCAGCTATAACTTTAATGTTCTCCCTCTGTGTGACCTCAATGTCATTGCTTTATTTATATCACTTATGGACTCAGCATTTATACTCTTTTAAGACTTAGATTCTAACTGCTTCGAAAAAACTTGTTTCAAAATTATTTTTGCAATCATTTATCATTTGAGTATTAGTTTGATGATATTGTTGCTAAATAGTTACTAAAAATGTTTACAAAGCATTTCTGAAAAACAGATCTGGTAGATTATTTCTTCTCATCTTTACCTGAAATAAGGTGGTGTACCGCATACTTATGCATATCTTGATATCTGTGTGTGTGTATATATATATATGTGTATATATATATATATAAAACCCCATATTCTTCTCATGTGACTTACTGTATTTTATCATACCTGTGAGTATAGGCTGGCAGGAGATTAGACTTATATTTCCAGAAGGAAATAGATGACCTGGTCCAGTTCCTGCTGGGACTGGGAAGTATCATTAGTTGGTGAATCTTTGCATTATAATTTGAAGTGCTAAAATGAACCCTGGACTACTGATACATAATACAATGCATTTGATCTCTGTCTGAAAAAATGATACCCTCTCCTTTGAATAAATAAGTCTTTGTAATTAACAGTGCTTCATTGGCATTATTGCCATGTATTTTTTGCAAGTAAATCTCTAAATTTTGTTTCAGAGACTCTTAATAACTTTTTTTTTTCTTTTCTAGGAGGTGCAAAATGGAAGGTTGTTTAGGCTTCTAGCAAAATTGGGAACAATCAATGAGAGGCCAGAGTAAGAAAACTTGTTTTTGTGGTTATAGTATGTAAAACACAGTTTGCAATGCGCTTTCTTCCTTCATAAATTTAAGCTAAATTTTCCCCGCATATTTATTTGCCCGTGGAGAAATGAATATTTAAGAACCCTTGAGAAAAAATAGATAAGCAACTTTGACCAAAACTTTAAATAGGCAGGAGAAGGCTACAAGTTGTTTCCTTGTATTTAGTGTGGTTTATCTTGTGAGTGGCAGTAGTTTTGGAGGAAATCCATTGCTTGCTTTTACTGAAGCAAAGGATGTAGATACTGGTTTTTGGCTAGTGAGTTTTCACCTTTTTTTTATTGGCTAACTACATGAAAATGAAGTGTTCATTTTCTGTTTTCCATCCCTCTGCATAAACTTAGAGTTATGTTTATAATGCAGGTTTCTACATGTGTTTTATGTGATAAACTTATTGCAGATAATTTTTGATTTTTTCCACTATTTTTTGGTGGCTCTTGGAAGGCATTAGCTTTAGGTGCTCAAACAGCTGAGAAAGTTTTGTATCTTCTGTTTGTGGTGGGGGGACTAATTTAATTGCAATTTATAGCAGGAGATTAGCTAGGCAAGACTACTCAGCTGAGATCGAAGTGTCATTTATATCTGTGGGGCTTGATTTTACTTAACTCACTGAGCTTTGATATGAGAATTTGTTTTTCACTAGGTTTCAGAAGGACCCAACGTGGTCAGAAACTGGAGACAGGTATTTACTAAAGCTCTTTCGAGATCACCTTTTCCATCAGGTGACAGAAGCGGGTACTCCTTGGATTGACCTCAGTCACATTATCTCATGTCTTAACAAGGTACACTGTACTTCAGTTAGCTTTTACACATTTGATTGGGTTAGCTTTCTTTGAAAGAGTATTCCACTGAAAAGCAAGTTGCCGCTAGAAGGTTAATGCCATTGGCTTATCTGGTGGCTATTTTCCCCATTTTGGATTAAAACCATGTATTCTCTAAGCTAATATTCCAACATCTATGGATATTTTAAATAAAACTAGTACCTGATATTAAAAATTTGTTAATATAGCATGAGATACAATATTAACTTTTCATCCTAGAATGCATTGATTACTGTGGATAAGCAATGCTGGTCCCTTTATGCTACTCTGGTCTTTCAACACAGCATAAAGGATCCATAATACTCCTTTAACTGGGGGTGGTTTCTGTTGGTAGTTATCACAAAGGATGGTCATAAGGCAAGATCCATTCCTAAATTGTGCTGACTTAAGTAGGTGGCAGGAGGGAAACGGAAATTTGTGCAAAATCCTTGCCATCAGGACAGTGCTATAAAATTTCTGTGACTTAAAATATTACGTCCACTTCTGTAATAACTTCCCTAGTCTCTCCAGCCCTTTGTTTTCCAAGGCTGACTTAACAAAGCTATTTGCAGTTTTCTAAGAGCTGCACCACTAGCAGAATTTTATCCGAGCACTCTCATGATTAATAGCAAGAGATGTGTGAGAAACCACGAGATCTTCAGTAGATGAAGAACTCGTCTTGCTCCATAAATTAAACAGTATATGAGCTGATTAAATTTTTTATTAGTAGATCAGCTTTCAACTTATTTTACATTGTTTTGCCAAACTTCAATAATCCATGGGAGATTAAGATGCTGCAGCTTTTTTTGTTGTTGCTTTTGTAGCTGCTTGGTAGTTTGACTTGCTCTGTAGAGAATGGTGATGCAGACACTGACAATACACAGTTTTAGTGCCCAATATATTCTTTTCTAGGACTAGGATAGCCAGCTTTCTCCTCCAAGAAAAGTGGAATGTGTTCAGATCCTTTGATGTGTAATAACTGTACAGTTAAATATCTTTCTAAAATTGTCAGGGTTTCTAACCTCCTATTAGACCACTGCTGTGCATTTTTTAACCTCCTTTTTATCTTTCTGGTTGGTGTCTGTAATCACTTTAAAAAGGACATTAAAGGGATTGAGGCTAAATCAAAAAGAAAGCATGTTGACATTCAAGTAGGCATTGAAATGCCATCATGATTTGAAAGCAGTGACTCATACAGTACTGTAGCAAGAGGGGACAGTCCTGAATTCATAGGTCAGGTAAGAGACAATGTCAAAGAATGCCTTGTTCTATAAATGTTCATGGCTTACCTTTTCAAACAGAGACTCTTCTCTTCTGTGGTTGTGGGCTCAGCACACAAAAAAATGTAAGGCTTATAGAACTCTGCTTTGGAAATACACTCTAAGAAGCACTTCAGAAACTGTAGAAGTACTAGTAGAAGTTATATGGACTTTACTGGTACTTGCCAAACACATTCCTTTTGAAAAGTTATTCTGTTGTTAAAAAAAAAAACCAAACCAACAAACTTTCCTTTTCAATGTGGTGTTTTGAGCATCTTTTCAGCTGAGGATATTGATTTATGCACCCACAGGAGGAAAGAAAGCCATAAATATTGATGTTTGTAATTAGGAGTGTGGCTTTCTTAATACATATCTTCCATTAGGAAGACCTTCCATTAAGATAATTAATTGATTTGTTGTATGATGCTAATGGGAATGAACAGTGGACAATATTTCACAAACACCTTAATTATATTAGTATTTTGTAATGGATGTTGGAAGACACTGATGGTTTTATCCTACTGTACAAAAATTAGAAGCTAATTGGCTTGCTTTCAGCCTTCTGAAACCATTCACAAAGCAGCAGCTTTAAAATGTGGTGGTTCCAGTTTTTAAGGTTACACTCAAAACATTACTTTAGAAGAGAAATGCAAGAAATTGCTAATTTGCTGTGTTGCTCCAGACAGTAGCTAGTGGAACATCTGTGACAAATTTCATTGTTTTTCTATTCAGTACAATATTATAATTGTAGTATAATTATATTACATTTATATTACATTTAAACCTGCTGGGGTTGTATTTCCAAAGAATGGATTGGTAGTGTCATATCTCACTTGTCTCTGCCCCACCTCTTGTATTGGAATAAGAAAGACTGTGGTGGAACTATCAACATATTGACTAAAACAAAACTACAAAAGTTCTGCATAAAAGAGTCTTGACAGTTCTGTCTTGATGAACATTTCTTGCAAAGTGAGAAGAACATAAGAAACAGTGATGTAATGGGCTTCAGCATGTAAAGCAGGATATTTCTCTGTTAAAAATTAGGATCTAATGGAATATAAAAAAAGTGCATATTGAATTTGAGAAGTCAGAACAAACCATGAGAAGAAATGCGGAACAAACATTGATTTTCAACTACAAATTATTCATTTGGTTATAGATTTTACCAAAGTAATTTTTTTCTTTCTAAGGGGTTAAATGTACCATACAGCGTAGTTTGTTTCCAGTACTGCCAAAAATGTGAGGATTGGGTTTCTACTAGTTTTCAGGCTACCTGGGGCTGATCCATCCATTATTTCATTTTGGAGTGGACAAGAAGTAAATTACTTACCCTGTGTTTAGGTTTGTAGATCATATGTGCAAATGTAATGTCAAATTTAGTTTTGTTCTTCAGGAAGTACATGAAAATTTTGCCAGCTTTCTGCACAGGGAAGTATAGCATTATAGGATTACTAACTTTGTGGAATGGGAAGGAAACAATGGTAATCTAGTACTAAGGTCTGGAATGTCCATCAGGTTAAGACCAAAATGTCTGGATTTTTTTGGCGAGGATGTTGTTGTGGTGTGATTCAGATTCTTCCTTTGTGTCCTGTTAGCAGATTTGAACTGCGCCATAACAATGTACTTGCCAAGAAATTGATTGCTTTTGTTGTTGGGGAAATGTTTTGTCATTTCTTTCACACTTCTTTTATTTTATCTTTTGCATTCTTGTTACAGTTAGATGCTGGTGTGCCAGAAAAAATAAGCCTCATTTCCAGAGATGAGAAGAGTGTACTTGTGGTAACTTACAGCGATTTAAAACGCTGCTTTGAAAATACTTTTCAAGAACTGATTGCAGCCGCAAATGGTCAGTTGTAGTATTTGCTGAAAGCATGCAGGACATTGCTGAGGAACTTAACCTATAGCAAATTGCACTACAGCTGAATTGTTGTTGTCATCTCATTTCACATTTGGGAAACAAACAGGAGATGAGCAAAGCTGCTTGCACTTCAGTCAGGTACACTGTTACTTGAAGGGAAGAATGTTTCACTTATCCTAGAGCTAAGGCTGCCATTGGAGGCTTTATCTGTGAAGAATTTATTTTAGATTAAGGAACACATCAGGTGCATGATGTTCCTACTTTTATTTTTTCCACTTGTATATGCACTAATTTTAATTTTTTTAAGACTTTTCTGATCTCTGAAGTTTTGCCACATTGTATACTTAAGGGAAACTCTTTGCAAGGACATTTCTGGGATACATTTTTGTCACTGAGGATATAGCAAAATTTATTCATTTTTGATATTATTTGCACCCAGAATAGCATAAAGGACCAGGTAAATAATTTAATAGAAATTGTGTTCTATTAATGACCTTTTAGTTCGTAACCTCTGTAAAAGTGTGTTGTATGCAAGCTCTGTATGCCACCCACTGTTAGCTCAAAGAAATGTGAGAAAGAAACAACTTTTCAAAACCAGTCAAGTGAAGTATTGGTGAATTGACTAAAAAGGAAAGAAAGTCCCCTGTCATTTGATTTAAACCTTGTCTAAGCGAAGTGACGAAAACAGCATAATGGGAAACATCTTTAATTTAAGGAGCATATCAAACTTGCTCTAAACACAACCAGCGCCTTTTAAAAACTGTTTGTACATTTTCCTGGTAGTCAGAAGCATTTACATTTATGCAATTTTTTTAATAGATTTTTTTTTAAAGAAATTGTTTAAATGCCTGAAGTTTCAGGAGTGTATTACTTTAGGTTATTTACAGTATAATTTTTGTATAAAGTTCTGTTCTTTGAACCACAGCTTTATTATGGTACGCTACACTGGATACAGATACAAAGACACTGTTAAAAGAAGATTAACTAAACACAGCAGTTGTCTGGCATCAAGAGCTTTTCAAGTTTTACGGCCTGAATCTGGAGGGATAATGATCTGCTGTGCCTTTGCAGTCACTGCTTAGCCCAAAGTAATATTACTTTTGCTAATACTCAACACATGAATATTCCTGAAGTAATTCAGTCTCAAAAGTCTGGAATTTTGCTCCTCAATTACCTTTCTAATTTTTGGACATGCAGTTGTCTCCAAACTTGGGTATTCATGGGATTTCTAGTTAAACACCTACACTTTGATACTGAAGACTGCCAAACATGTAGGAATTTCCTTTCTTAAAGCAGTAGTGAAGACTGTATCTATCCTTTCCCAGCACTGAATGTTTTAATAGCACTGGGTGCTCACCATGAAGAAAATGTGGAAACTCAAAAGGTCAGGACAGACTCTAAGCACTTGCAACTGATGTTACTGACATCAATTTTAATGATTCTCAATATTTGTAGTTTTCAGAGAAGTTTTTAATATTTCTCTGTCCACTTTTATAAGCTTTAAAATGATTCTCCGCCTTGAGACTTGCATCAAGAAAAAAGCAACTCTCTTCACATCGAAAGCTTTGAAGACTAGGGACATGCTTTACACATTTTAGAAAATGTGGTTGAATCCACATTAAGTAGCATCAGTTGTTGAGTTTAAAAATCAATTATTGTTGCAATTTTCAAAGAAACATAATGTTTAATATTCAAACGATAACAGTTGCCAGAATGTTCTTTTTAATATAAAAGGAACAGGAACTTTGAAAAGTGAACATGCAGAACAGTCTTTTATCATTAGCTCATGTATTTGAGGAAGAGCAGCTGTCTTTTCTATGTTTTTTGACAAATCATATTGTAATTCTTTTGTACAAAAAAAGAAGTACTTGTATTCTAGAAGAAATATGGAATGCTTAATTTATAAGCGGGCTGAGGTTTTTTCCAGTATTGTTTTCTTTGAAAATGAAAGGGGATCATCTGTTCAGTTGTGGGGTTTGGGAACCTTTGAAATTTTAATTTGTGGACCAATATTTTGTGGAAGTGTAAGGCAGGGGTAAAATAGGGCTTGAATTCTCATCCTTTTTAGACCAGCATACCCTCTGCAAGACATGTCTAAATTGCAAACCTGTGTGTATTTGCATAATGTCAGTTTGCTTCAGCCCCTAGTAACCTCAGGACTTGGTTTAAAAATAAAAAGGTAGACAGCTAATAAGTTTTCATACATAATGTCAGCCAGAAAATATTTGGTGTCAGGTAATACATAAAATTAAAAAGAAGTTGAGCTTTGTTTTCTATTTATTTTATTTGGTCGTATTTGGGAATAATTTGAACAGTCTGAAGTTCAGCTTGGGTGTTTTTTTGGGGGAGAGCCCTTCTACCCCATTTTAATTCCATTTAGAAGGTTGTCCTAAAGTTGTAGTTTGATCCATTCATAGGAAGAACTGTGTATCTGTATTTAAAAGAAGAGTCACCAGGATGTGCCCTCCCAGATGGGAAATTTATTTCTGACCTTCCTATTTTTTTACAGCTAAAAGCACAGAAGGGACAACCTTTGAAATCATCTGATGTTGGTCATTTTAATTTTTGTACCTGTTTTAAATTTTGTTGCTGTATTTACTATATTGTAAATATTTTGTTGAGGGTACCTATGTATTTTTGATTTGCCCTTGTTTCAGTAATTCAGGTGTCAACTGCTTCCCCTAAAAAGCACCAGTATGTTAAGTTCTAATGTCATGATCCCAATATGTGTTACTCATCTTTAATCCTGTTTTCATTGTTCATGTGTACAGCAGTATTTTTAATAAAGAATACCAGAAATAATGTGGCCTTATTTTTACATTGTGAAGCTCTGAAGTGCAGGGCACTTCAACTTTGGTGGTGGAATTTTATTTCATTTGTCTTGTACTTCTTTTGTATTCATTCTGTCTGCAATGCAGAGTTTAAACAAACAGGAGTCACAAATTGTGTTTAGTGCTTGCCACTTAGAGTGTATCAGATGTCCTAAAACTGAGAGATACTGTTCACTAGAAGTGTATTAATGCATATTTCTGTAACTCCCAAGTCAAATCCCATCTGCTTCAGTTTGATCAGCTCTGCTTTCCTCGATAAGCCCTACTTTTGAAAACTCTGCTCAAGTACCCTTACTTCCATATTTTTTGAGCTTCTTTTGCTCAGAAACAAAGTGTATTAATTTCTCTGAGAATTTGCACATGGAGTCACAATAACTTATTTCACAGAATACTTTTCTACATTTTTAACTAGCAAAGGTTTGATGATTTGCTGGTCAGATAGAGTCTCCTATATCCATCCAATGCTGACCATGCTTATGGAAGATGTAACTTTATGTAATATATTGTGTATTGTCAATAGTCCTTGCACATATTTAACATTATCACTGAAATTGCAGTGTTTTAGGAATGCTATTATATAAGCTACATTTTTTGATTGATGCACATATCCAGTCTCCAGTTTCCTCCTTAGTAATATGCAGCAACAGCTACACAACTCCTCCAGCAGTTGATGATCCCATTCTGCTTTCCCAGAGAAAGCTTCATCTCCAATTCCAGCATTTGGAGAGCCCCTCAGATTGAATGCTGTTTAGCAGAGAGCACTTGATTGAACCTCTCTCTGGAGGCAACATCCTCAGCTTCAGATGGATGGGGTGGGGATTCTCTGAAGAAAAGAGTCTCTCTGCAGGCCTAAGGTTCTGCCTCCTGTCACAGAGCTTCAGAACAGGCTTTGGTGAGGACACCTTAGCTCTGTTTGCTATCCTTTTCTCTGGTGTGCATTGTCTAGCTGCTGAAGAAACCAGGAATGGTGGGTGGTTAGATGGATGTTTGTCTTCCCCCACCATGAAACTTTGCCTCTCCCAGAGGCTGGGTTGAATTTTTGTCTCTAGACAGCAGTAAGCTCTAGGAAGTATGCTGAACCTAGGGAATGTCACCCACACAGGGAACAGTGACAGGTGTCTGTCACTGTAGCTGGTTTGCTGTGTGGGAAATGTGCCTTCCTTCTGTGTGATTATTCCATGTTCTCCTTTGCTCATAAAATCAGCCTGTGGGATGGATGTGTGCCAGATGTTTGTGCTACCCAGTGCTGACTTGTGTGCCACAGCAGTCTTTGACACTGGCAGAACTCTATTTTTTTTTCAAAAGCAAACTTTATTATATTAATTTAGTAGTCAAACACATTATATAAAGACAGAAAATGCAAGACAAAAGAGGAGTTCTTCACATCTGAAGACACTTGAGGGTTCATACAAAAGTAATCTTTTGTAGTCCAGTTTTCTTAAATATTTATGCTTAAAAGCATATTTATATATTTACACTGTGCAAACACGTCCTTTGAGATGCATCATCCTGTAACTATTCTTGCTCAGTTCTAGTAACAAAAGAGTACTGAAATTTTGTCTTGATCAAGGTCAAATATACTTTACTAACAAGAGACAGTGCGATAGATACTTAAAACTGATGATCTCTTGTGCAGAGATACTTAGCTCAGAAGTAGTGGTACATATTTATTTTGCTTGAATATCAAAGATTGGTTTTATTTATAAATATGCAAAAGGTCATTTGCTTTGAAGTCTGTTAGTGGGTTACATTCACAGCTGAATTCTGAGACAGCAAGAGATCATATAACATGTAGCATTCAAGGTAATACATATTTTAGTGGACCACAAGAAGCTGACATTGGGCTGTAATTGAGTTGGCAGATATCAGTGCTGCTGTGTTAAATGTCCAACTCCCATTTCAGTACTGCATTCAAAGGTGAAAGGGAATGGGTGTATCCTAATGCTTCTTGAGCAAAGAACACTCATGACCTTTCTGAGATGCTATGCAAAATGTGCTGTAAATGAATGATACATTTTTATTCCTGTACGTACTGGTAACTTAACATGGAAATTTAGGTGTCTTCATAAAAAAGCTGCCCTAACTTTACAGATTGCCTTGTAATTTTTAATTAATCTCTTCAAACTCTCTAGTGATCAATTAAAGTTTGTGCAGTCTAGTAGCCATTCTGTCTTTTCAGACATATTCCCATATATAAAATGTAATCAGTGCAGTGTTAGAAGGTCCGTGAGGTTTTGTGGACAGAGCTTGGCTTGAACCTATCTGCCTTGTGGTTTGGTTCCAGTGTGTGTGTGTCAGCTTATGACAAAGTGCAAAACTTCAATATTTACTGGATTTCAACAGGATTGTCCAAACTGAATTGGTTATGTATTCCCTGTTGTTACAGCCCTGGATCTGGTCGTAGTTCTCCTCTATCCTTGCTAATTGTATTTAGCAACCCATTTTAAATTCTTGCCTTGCAAGGCTCCCTACTGTGTCTGCCATCTGGAGCAGTAAGATCCATATAATGCCCCATCCCCAATTAGCTTATTCAGCTTCCCCATAGCACTAGCCCTCCACAAGTTTCTCAAAGTAGTTTTCATTAAAAATATAGTTTGTGGTCTGTTTCCAGTTTCTATCTTCTTGAAGGCTCCTTTATTTTCTAGCACAATACATACTCCAGCCATGGGATGCGAATACATCAGTGCCTGGTGCAGATTGCTGGCTCTCTAGAGCTCCCAGCTGCCTCTCCCAGTCAGGACAGAAGTGAGTCTGAGCAGAGGCTGTAATAATGGCTTTCCAGGTTTTCCTGGATGCAGAAGCACTCAGCATTTTTAGCAAAAGCTATTGGTGTTGAGCATTTGGGAAAGTCAAGGTTTAAGCAATAATATTTTGCTCTATTGTGAATACTTGTGCTGCAGTCTGTAGAAAAGCAGATCTCTGGGATTAAGCCAATGATAAATTCTCAAGTTTTATGATAATTGAAATAATTTGGATGAGAGTTTTTAAACTGACAGTGTTTCCCCAGAACCTGTGTGTTTACTTGGCCTAGAAGTACTTAAACGGGTGGCTGAGAATAATGGACAACAGAGTTGTAGTCAGGAGGAGGAGAGCGGCTGGCAATCATTTTCTCCAGCATCGCATAACCACAGGTGTGTCTTCGCTTGGAGTCACTGAGCTGGTCACAGCTGAAACTGCAGAAGCTTCTTGGCTTGGTTACTCCAGAAAGCACTGACTCCTTGCTCCTGCTGGCACCTTTAATGCTGTAATAGAGCAGGGTCATTGTGAGCTTTCTTACCATGAAAATATTTTGGTTTAGTAACTTGAGCAAAGCTAGGTCACAAGTTAATTCTTACACGGTGAGAGGGGCACTGATGCAGATGGACTTGCTCACAGGGAGTGCAGAACAGAGGAGTGAAGGAGCCCTCCTGAGTTCCCTGTGAGTCCCTTTAAACAGAGGTGCTGGGAGTGCACATCACTGTTAGAAGTGTTCATGCACTCTGTCAGTCTTGGTGGTTGGGGGGAGTACCGGACTGCTCAGCCTAAGCTCGAATTGTTCATTTGTGGCAGGTGCTGGGGAGTGAGACTTTATTGCAGGGTCACGTAGTGGGGAGTGTCTGGCAGCTCTGCTGTGGTGAGGCAGTGTATCCACATACCTAAATGTTCCTAAGGGAACAGGGGTTTTTGAGCAGGACTGAAGTGGTGGAAGGTCTCAAACCTTGAGGCAAAAGTAGAAAACTGCTAGTGTAGATGTTCCCGAAGCCTAATGCTGGGATAAATTTCTAATACAAATGGCTGATGTTTGTGAGGAAGGGGATGAGGTCTGGGTATCTGCTCTTTTTTGGCTTTTGGCAGCTGCCATGAACTGCTGGTTGGAATTAGAATTTTCCTGTCCCTTAAAAGGACCAGTTATCCTGTAGGCTGCTGTTTATAAGATGTCCTTTACTAAGAGGGGTTTAATGTCTTCTGGGCAAAGCCACTTTTAGAGGCACTGTTAGCCTTTTGGCACTTTCTCACCCATATTCAGAGATTGCAGTGCTTCAAATAGCTCTTTCAGTAATGAAAATCAGGGCAAAGAGAATTTTTACACCATTGAACTTGAATACCAAAGATTTATCTGTAGACAAAGGACAAGCCAGAGCAGTTTTCCATCACTGTTTACATGTGAAATCCTAAAGTAAACATGTTGGACCACAGTGTCTAAAATTATATTTCCTCCCTGTATTTTTATAAGTTCATGGACAATCCACTCCTCTTCGTTTATAAGGTCAGAAACGTTGGCAGCCCTAGTCTTGAATTCCAAATAAGACATTCAGAGAGCATCTGTTGAGGCTTGCAGAGCCCAGGGTTTTGTTTTTCATTTTATTTTGCATTGTTAGGTCTTTAAGTTAACTACAGAACTAGTGGCACAGGACTGTTACAAGTTCCTCTTAGAGGTCACAGTTTCTCAAATTCTTAACTCAGAAGGCTATGTGGTTTTTTAAGGAGTGTGGTCTCTGTCTCTTCTTCTTACTGTAGGAAATTGGAAGGTCTCCCTAAGAAGACCACCCCATTACATTTATTAGTAGATGAATGTAGCTCCTGAGGAGGAGCCCTTGTGGTGAGGATTGCAGATGCATCCCATATTTTTATATTGCATCTGTTGGCAGATGGAGAACTACTTGCCTTGGGATAAATTCCATAACTATGACAAGGTTAGTCACAGATGCAATGGACTTCTTGTGATGGGTTTAAAGAGAAATGCCTCTGTGATTTACGTTGTAATTGTGAGCCTTCAGGGGCTGGCAAAAGTGGAGTGTGCATGACAAGTTGTGAGTTTAAAAACTGTCATGCTTTGATCCTTTCACCATCATCAGGCTTTTGCATCCTGAGATTTTTCTTGTGAGCTAGACTTGGCTTCTGCTTTAATAAACCTTTTTACCAATAGAGCTGCATCTATTAATTTTATCTGGAGTGCACTGCTGTATCTGGGCATGCATTCCCACAAAAAACTTTGAGGGAGCTCAAGGGGTTTGGGCATCTGTGGTCAGGCTTCATTTTGAGTCTGAGTTTACAGTCAGTAAAGGCTTCTGTAGCTGTGGACTATCTTCTTGCCAATCTAGGAATGTAAATTGGAAACTGTTTAGTTGGTCTTTAATTGGGATTGTTTGTTGGAGGAAATGGCCGCTGGTTTTTTGCCATGTTCAGGACCAGAGTGAGGTTAGAGGCTGGCTGCAGCTCTTGAGATGCTTGTTCCAGCTCACAGGAGGTGGAATTCTTGCTGTTTTTCTGGCTTTGTAATTTAAACTGACTCAAGGGTTTGCCTCAGCCCAAGGATTTTGGCTTACTTGTGTTGGGCTTTTTCACCACTACTGAAAAGCTAGAAGAGGGTTGCACTCAGGATCCTTTCTTCCTGCAAAGGAGCACAGCTCAGAATACTGCCCCCAAACCTTTCTACCAGGCTCTTTTACCTGAGGCCTTATATTAACAAAAACTCACTTCTCTTCCTGCTGCTCAGAATATCAGTTTTCATCTCAGTGGCATTAGCAAGTCCAATACACATTGCAGCCATTTCTGTTTCTTGCTCCTGGCCACCACCTGGGCCTAAGGAGCTCACCAGGTTTCACTTTCCTGTAGTGAAACCAAGGATGAGCTGTGGCATTAGTGCCTTTCCCTAGGCAGGAGGAGTGGAAGCCCAAGAGGAGGCACCTCACCAGGGTCAGTGGGGTGCCCCTGCACTGTCAGGTTGGCTCCCTGCTCTGTTCTGCCCTTGGCCTGGCAAGCACTGCTGCACATGCTGGCTCTCTCCTGCAGTCAGTTTCCTCTGAAACAAACCCTGGGGGTGCTTCTGGAGACAGGCAGGGTGCTCTGGGTTTGGCTCCTACCACACTATGCTGTTCTTCAGCTCTGCCCAGTCTGACGCTTCCAAGGCTTTGTTACAGTGAAGGGATATAACCACCATAGGCAAGCTGCTGCCAAAGGAAGGTGAAACTCTTCCTCAGCCTGGTGCTGGCACCAGCTGCCCTGACAGTGAGCTGCTACTGCTCACTCAGAAACTGTTCTGACAATCTGGCAACCTGAATCAGCTCCCTGCAAGAAAAGCCAAGCTGAAATGTCAGTATGCCTGCGATGCAAGGGAAGAAGCAGGAATGTACATCTGCTTAGATCAGTTTCCATGTCTCAAACCCTTCCAGGCTCCACCTTGCTCAGTACAAATTTTAGGGGTATTTATTTACTGTTCCAATTAATTTTAAGTAAAGGATGCTTAGCTAAGATGCTACCACTTTTTTTAGGAACGCGTGGTTACTGAAGGGTCATGCCTGCATTCACATCCATGAGTGCTTTTTGGCACAGTGCTGCAGTACCGCTTGTTTAGCTTGCAGGCCAGATGACCTTGTATGATCTCAGTCTACCACTCTGTTTTCCCAAGGATTTACGTTCTAGCAGCCACTGTTCAGTTCAATTTTTTTTTTCTTATGCAAGCATTCTTTTTTCTTCTGTATTTGAAGATGCCCCTTAAAGCACTTACAGGGGGATGCTTGGGACACACTCTATGCAAAGAAAAAGGCTTGTCATAAATTTCATTTAGGGAGGTTGCCATGTTGTCTGTGTGGCTGACAGCAGCCTTCAGAAAAACATGGAGAAAAAATGAGTTAAACCACATCTAGAGAACATTGCATCCTTTGGAACCCTGTAATATCCACATACACTCTATAGTGGCTTCTCCAAAGACAGCCTGCCACAACAGAGCTGAAATACCATAAAACTGCTCAGGAGCCTATTTTCTGAAAGGTCAAGGCAGGAGAAAGGATTTCCCAGCATTTGTTCGGAGTGGTTTGTGTTGCCCTGGCTTTGCCACGCATGAGCAGCTTTACCACTGCAGGCTGCTGCCAGCAGCGCGTTCATCCAGGCCGTGCTTTCCAGCCCCGTGAGCGCGCGCTCTCCCACACGTATTTCTGTCCCACACGTATTTCTGTCCCACATGTATTTCTGTCCCACACGTATTTCTGTCCCACATGTATTTCTGTCCCACACGTATTTCAACCAATGCCCTCTAGGTCACTGGAATTTGTCGTGGAGCAAGGCCTCTGCCTTGACCGCACGTTTCAGGCAGCTCTGATTGTTCTTTGAGACAATGCTACACCTCCCAGGCTGCCCAACTGCAAGGCACTGACAAGTTTGGCGCTGGCAGGATGGCAGGCTGGCCTTGACCTCCTGCCAGCATGAGATGAACAATGGGTTGGGTCTGGGCAGTCTCCGGGCTGGCTGAGAGCAGTGAGCTGAAAGCAGGACACTGCCAGCTTTGCAGCGGCTGGGAGCTGATACAGTGCCGGCGCTGAGAAAATAAACACTTCCCATTTACAGAGAGTTCATGTCAGTGCAACCCATTTCTTAGAGCAGCCCTAGTTCCCTGCTTGGGCAGCTGTCAGAAATTAGGTGGAGGAAGATGGCCAATATATTCAAGTACTTAAAGGCAGGAAGAGAAGTGAGGCCCTCACATCCATCTATTGTAAAGTTGCCACTTTAGCATCCTGAGCCCATGGGTGTTAAATGGGCCGTGCTTAGCTGAGTCATGGAAAAGAAGGGCAAAAACAAGCACAGGGGGCCTTGTCCCAGATGGGGTGCCCTTGGGACTTGCAGAAACAACTGCAAATCCTTCACAGCCACACATTCCTCCTCCCCTATTATTAATGGCTTGTTTCTCACAGTTACCTGCCTCCTACCTCAGTTCAGTGCTCTCTGACACTGGCATTAAATTGAGCATTAGGTGGATCAATAAGTGCTAATAAATCATATTGCTGATGTGCATCGAAGGCATTGAGGCTTATTTGCTTCTTCAAGACATTGACTGCTGATTAATCCAAGCAGGACACCTCAGCAAGAGTGTTTGCAGGGACTGGGGCCACCTCCGCTACTTTCACAAGGCATTAATTTAGCACAAGGACCTTGAATTCTCCTTTGCCATCTAATACCTGAGAAGAAGGGAATGTAAAATACAGACCCAAAGAGTGTCCGTTTCTGCTTGCTGCCTGTCCATGTGAAGCGTTTCAGTTCCTCTGGAGCCAGCACCATCCCACTGTCTGCTTGATAATCCTTGAAGAAAAAAGAGAGATGCAGTCCTGTGAGGTGTTAACTCTATTTTACAAAGGACTCAGTTCCTCTTTGGTCTGATTTCCAGCATCCTTCTGGTCATTGATACTGAGACAGCTCTAGGAGACAGCAGTGTGTGTGCAGAGGTATTTAGCGGTGTCTTTCCAAACCACCCGTGCCTTGGGGTGCAGCAGGCAGGTAATGTTAGTGCAAATCCAGGGTGCTGGAAGAAGAGTGTCTGCATGCAGTCTGAGGCTCTGGCCAGCCACTTGTTCAACCCTGTGAGGACCACTGTGCCTTTCCCACCTCCTGCTGCTTAATGCCTTCTACTGAGTCACTAAAAGCTTGTCCCGGACTCTCGCCCATGCCTGTCCCTATGAGGATTGGGTGTGTGTCCCATTGTTAGACATGGCTCCAGCTTGTCCATCTGCTAACAGGTCTTGTTCCTACCAACCTTGCACACCTACTGGAACTTACCACTTCATGTCAGGGAAGGAATGTTTGCAGCCCATGGCATGGCCAGCAAGGGTCTCCGACCCTAATTTGTAGGGAAGTGGGATAACCTCTTGTTGCAAGTACAGCTAATCCTGCACCTTGTATCAGTTAGAGCTGACCAAGCAGTAACCCCCCCACCCTGATTATCCCCGTATAAAGCTGTCACATAAATAACAAGAAATACCTGGCATATCATTTGGCCCAGGGGTCACTTACATTAAATACAAGCGTTTCCTTCATGGGAAGCTCTTCAAATGTCTTTATGCGCTGAGGGGGGGTTATTTTGAAAGTGTTTATGTATCTGTTCAACAAGAGAAGGACAGTTTTTGGTGAGTATGAAGTGCACAAGCAGGAAGTGTTGGGTATTTCTCTGTTTTTTTGGGCAGCTACCAGCTATCTTCAAGGTAGGTCATGCAAAAGGGACTTGTTAACCAGACCCCACCCAAATCTCATTCCCCAGTCCCGGGGTATGCACAGCCGTGCCTCTCACAGTGTCTGAGCCCTGTGACGTGAGCAGGGGCACTCCAAAGAGCCACAGCAGTGAGTGGCTCAGCAACTGGCCACCTGTGGGCTGTCTCTGAGTGTTTTCTCCCACCCAGGTCCAAACTGGGCTATGCAGCAAACTGCCACCCCCAATGAACACACACAGTCTTATTCTTGCTTATCTCACCTGACATTTTCAGTGCTTCCACTGCTTGAGCTTGTAACAGGAAAATTTTCATTGCACAAGGCATCAGATGCAGAGGGAGACCCATTTTCTGTTGTAAATATTGTGCTGAGGGGTATGTAGTCTTTACCTTCCTAGATGTAAACAAGAAATAAAAGCCTTATTCCTGGGTCCATGTGGCCAGTTTTCCTTGCCTCAGTGACAGCATGCGGTTGCGACATTAATACCTGCTGGACATTTGCTTGCAGCAGGTCACCCAGCTTTTTCACCAGCTCAGAGAACCGTGGCCTGTCATTGGGATTGCTCTGCCAGCAGTCCAGCATGATCTGGTAACTGTGAGGACAACAGCAAAGTGAGCACAGGGTGGGGTTACAACTCCGTTTAATCCAAGGCAGCACAGCAGTCTGACATCTTGTCATCGATAGACAGACATAGGGAGGTAACTCCTCAACCTGCTTGGTTTTACAAAGATTCTCTCTAACACCATCGAGGCATTTTCGAGGCATCTAAAAGTAAGCCACTAAACTTCCCACAAAACCAGAAAACCTTCGTGCAACACCCCAGAAGACGACATCAAAAGGATAATTCAGCCAACCAGTCATACTTCCTTTTTTTCATTCCTAATTAAGCATTAAACCTTTGTATTAAACATCTATTAACTGGCAATGTTTAGGTTAAAGTATCCTAAAGGCATCCTAAGATGACTTATATGGATGTGTCACTTCCTTGTATTGGTAGAGCCAAGCTTTCCTTCCTGCAATAAAATATGTGGAAGAGACAAAAAAAAAAGCTCTTATCTACTGTCACTAGGATAATAAAATTAGTCAATGGGCAATACTCCCAGATAGGCATGGCTGGCTTGCATCCTTTTCTTCTGCTAGAACTATTTTTTGGTAAGTGTTGCTATTTAGAGCCATGACATAGCACTCGGGAAGGCACCAGGACACCCACACGTACTCGATTTTGTCTCCAGAGGTAAAACATCCTGGACACGTTCATGGTCCTCAATGATTTGTGTCACGGGGTGAATGTTCAGTGTGCTGCATGGGCCTCCCAGGCAAGGTACTCTGTCCTGGCCCACCTTGGTCCCCAGAAAGGTGTTGGCCCTGCAGCAGCAGCTTGAGGCTGCACCTGAGGGCAGGGGAGAAGGGAGTGACGGCTGACATGGCAGTGAGGACTCAGACAACCGGGGCGGGGTGGCTGCGGGTCCCCGTCACCTTCCTCTGCCATCAGACACCATGCACAGGAAAGGGTGGACCCTCCTTACCCGAGTGACTGCAAGGAAGCCTCCACTGTCACTTCCTAAGTCAAGACGATGTTAATAATGTCACATTCCTCCGGCACTTATCTCTGTGCATGTCGGTAAATATTAAACCTAGCAGGGAATGACCTTCCTCCTTCTCCTCCCCCTTCTCCTCCTCCTCCTCCTTGCTCGGCTTCCCTGAGAGCACAGCCCAGTGGTGCACTGGGCTCAGGTCCTTGTTGCCCCCTACTCTCTGGGAGAGCCAGGGGCCAGGATGGGGGTGTACAAGACGATACCAATGGAGGATTGGGTTGTTTTTCCTTAGGCTGGCACAGGGTATTTTTAGAGGCTGGAACATCATCTGTAGCAGCCCAGGAGGGCAGTGGTACCTAAGGCAAGCAAAGGCATCTTACATCTCCTCGGTCGCTTGCTCTGGGGCTCGCATTCTTGTGCCTTCCTTCAGCCTGCTGCAGAAATCCTCGTCTATTTGGACTCCGGGGTAAGGAGAGGCACCTGGAAGTGACATTGGGAGAACAGATACATGCCTTGAGTACCTGTGGCCTCACTGTGGCCCTGTGCATCTCCCTCAAACTCTCCCTGGGGGTGTGCATCCTCAGGTTGCAGAGCTGGGGGCAGGGAGTGTTCCCCCTGCAGGGTCTGGCCCTGCTGGCTGCCTCAGGCAGGGAATTACAGCTGGTTGTGCTCCAAGCCCCAGTCTTTGGAGGAGGGGGCAAGATCAAGACCACAGCTATTGGTGCTGCTTTCCTAGCCTGAATAGAAGAAATGCACATGAATTTAATTTGAACACTATCCCTTGAAAAGCCAAGTCTGATCTTTCTATTGCTTTGGACTACTCCAAAGTCTAGTGAGGACAATATTAACAAACCCCAAATGCCCCAAATCACCTTGAAAAAATTGAAATAATTGTTTTAAATGAGGTCACAGTGCATTTGCATTGTTTTTCTGTTTTCTGTGTTTCTCAGATGCAGCCTGATTGTATTGTTGGTATTTTTTTTTCTGTAGACAAAAAAAAGTTCAGGAAAAGGGAAAACGAAAGGAAAAAAAAAAAGGGACCTTTCATAGAGTCAGAGTCACCAGGTTCAAGGAGCTGAGGCTTTAAGAAAAAAATAGCAGGTATTATGAGGCTGACCATAAAATCACTAGAGTTGTTGGCAGGCTGACCAACAACATGTATTTAAACTAATAAATGATTGATTGTCCTGAGAATTGTATAGTATTGTTTCCTCTGCTGTTCGCCTCTTTTGTCAGCCTCTGTGTTGAACTCAATTAAGATTCTTCTATTCTGACAGTCATTGTTGTTCCCACTCAGTGTACATCTTGTATCCTGCCTTTTCCACATGAAGGAAAGGGAAAAAAAAAGGCTTCACCGGGTTTTAATTTCAGATTGCATGCTCTAGTTCATTGTGCGGCATCAGAGCAGATGCTTTTTGCCTGCTGTGTCCAGTAGCCTGGGTGAGGGGGGTGCTGGATCCCTCCTGGGCTGGGGGGACCTCCTGGACTTGGGCTGGAAATGGGGGTCACAGGATCTGAGACATTCAAACTGTGGGTTCGGCTCCCTTGCTCCCACAAGAGGGATAAGAAGCATTTGAGGGAGCACTCAGCTCATGGCACTTGGAGTCTTGAATGCTGTCTGTGGCAAAGGGGGTGGTGCCTTGGTCTTGGGCAGCTGGTGACCCAGAATCACAGCTCTGTGTCATCCTACAGGGTTCTACAGTCAATTAAAATGCTTTAAAAACTGCCTGATTTTCCTGCTAGTGCCATCAGTCAGACAAAGCTCTGTGACTGCTCTGGCTGTGCTGCCCTGCATCCTCTGCCAAGACTTTCTACAGGGAAAAGTGGGAAGCTTAGTGCCAGCTTTTGTCCATGACAGAAGTAAGTAAGGTAAGGTTCTCAGAGAGCTGTGCTATCCTTTGAGGCTTTCAGCTTGGCAAATAAACTTTCAGCGCTCTTAAAAGCACCAAGATTTCTAGTTCACAGGGGCATGATAATCCCTCTGCTTCTTATTTAGGTCTTTTTGGAGCACCTGCCAAAAGATCATTGAAGGTAAAGGATGTTTTCCCCAAGCTGGAGTCCCCACTCTTGTCAAGCTCCTGGGATGCAGAGTTAACATACCCAAGGAAAAGATCTCCCACAGCAAGACCCCGAAGGACCACACGTCGCTTTTTGTATTGTAGATTTTATCAAATATGGATTCAGGAGCCATCCACTTGAGAGGAAGTCGAGCCTGGAGTAAAAGGGACAAATCTGACTATTATTTTCAAAGCCTGAAAGATTTTAATCATAGATGAATCAACTATATATTGTTATGTAAATAATTACCATTCAGGCAGGAACCTGTGGGATTTCCTTACAGGCAGTCAAGATAAACCCACACTCATTCATACGCTTAACAAATTGTTGGAGTAAAAGGCTGTTTTTAAAAAACATGTGGCACAAAACACCAGACATTGGAAACCTGTGACCAGGCCTTTTCTTTACAGGGATGTGGGAGTGTGTAGGAGCAGAGGTCCCTTGCCAGCATCATAGAGACAGGGCAGAAAGCCCTGCATCCAAGCACCAACCATTCTGTAATGATGCTGGAGATATCTGGGGGGAAATTTTCCGAGCCAGAATTGCAGGAGCACATCAGCACAGCTTGTTATGGTCTCCTGAGCAGTACCAAAGCTGTGTGAACATTTCCCAGCTACTTTGCAATGCTGTAAACCCTGGAAGTTATTTACAGATGTGGGAATGGCTGGCAGATGGGTGAGACCTCCAGAAAGAGACTCTCTGCATGACTGCAATGCCCACACCAAGTTCCCACAGCATGGGTGGGTGCCAGCACAGTTTGCTGGCCCAGCCCTTCACAGCAGGGCTGGCAGGGCAGTCACTGCCCGCTCTCTGCAGTGAGGGCAAAAAAACAACAAGTAGGTGCTGGAGGAACAAGTCCTGCTCAGCTGCTCAGGGCACCAGGAGCACTGGGGGGTACACACCTGCCTTTGGGGGCACTGTTTTCCTTGCAGGAAATTTGCGGAGTAAGGGGGTTATGGTGAGCCAGCCAAGAAATGTCTAAAAAACCAAAGTATTAACAGGGCAAAGCTGTGAAGAAGTTAGCATGTCTAAGCCTTATGCCTGAGGATTGAAATGCTTCCCAGACCCACAACACATCTGGACAGCTCATCTTCACACAAAAACCAACAGCTTCTGAGCTCTTAAATTCAGGGAATGTGAACATCTACAGAGCGTTTTGGTGGACAGTTTGAAATGACATGTTATAAACATTTGGGTAAATAAACAGCATCTTGACTTACATCTCCTTTTCTCACATAATCAGGATTCTTATAAATATCTCTTGCAAGGCCAAAATCACAGATCTTCACAACATTGTTCTCAGATAAAAGGATGTTTCTGGCTGCCAGGTCACGATGAATGCACTACAATAAAACAGTTTCACAATCAAACTGCATTTCCTTATTCCTGCCCACAAATTTCCTGTCTCTTATCCTTTTAAAATAATTAATAATAATAATAATAATAATAATAATAATAATAATAATAATAATAATAATAATAATAATAATAATAATAATAATTTTTTAGGGAAGTTGCCTGTAGTTTACATGAAGTTACTCTTAACAGCAGTAATTTTTTTTTAATTATTAAGTCCAGAAGGTGACAAATTTGTAAGCCCTTTGACATTTGCAGGGAAAGAGCTGAATCATTTGGAGCTCCCTAATATATGTTGAAATTAAGGAAAAACCTACCACACCCAAAAGATCTTCCCCAAATGAATGAGCTTGACCCACTGCCTTCAGTCATGATCCTGTGTTTATGGACTATGGATACTTGAATAAACACAGTTATATTTATAATGCCAAGAGGAAAACAGCTCTTCCTTTGGGACCTCTCCCAAGGAAGGTGTCACTACAATGTAGACATGATTTCACCTCTGAATCCTGTCCTTCTGCAGTGAAAAACCCGCAGTGCAAAACTCACCTTTCTGGAGGAGAGGAATTCCATGCCTCTGGCCACCTGAAAGCTGTAAGAGATCAGGTCCTCCATAGTGAGGGGCAACTTGTACAGGTCATCAGCATCTGCAGAGGTGGCAAGCAGGGTTTGTTACAAAGACAGCTCACAGGCTCTCTTTTCCCCCTTTCTTACAGAACCCATTATTCCCATAAATTCAGTCTTTTTGGTGAAGGTCAACCTACTGTCATTGGAAACAAAAATAGTGCTTGCTGTACACCCCATGCTTTGGACACTGCTGTGTTTTCCCCAAAGATAAGGAGCAGTCAGAACAAACAATCACACATTTTCCTGTCAGATTTTGTAACCCTGGAAATAATCTTTTTTTAAATCTTTTACCCTCTGGACATGACCCTCTGAGCATCTCCCACGGATGTTTATTAGGGTGATAAATGAGGAAAAAAATTTCAGGGATTCTCAGTATGTTGTAAAAATATCACAGTCCGTGTAGGGACAGGAAGGAATTAATACCTACCCTCCTCGTCCTCCTCCACATCAGTCAGACTTTTATCCTCCTGGAACCCAGAGCTGGCCAAGCTCTCCCTGCTGGTGACACTGGCCAGCCTTTGTTTTTTGCTTTCCACTGGCTCAATAACCTTTTTCTCTTTCATTGGCTCTCCCTGCAGAGAGGAGTCCTTCAAATAAAAGGAGGAGAAGAGGTGCAACATCAGAGCAGTGGGAACCAGGGCAGATTGCTGATGCCTTTCTGCCAGGCTGGTGGTGTCTGGTGTGGGTGGTCACATCTCTCACGGGTGGGGCTGCCCAGTGCCATTGTGATGGGCAGGGGCTGGTGGCAGAGCTGTGCTCCACCAAGGCCATCATCCCCAGAGGGCAGAAATTTGGTGTCTTGGGAGCACCAGCCCATGGCTTTAGGATAACAAGGGCAGTGGGCCATCTGCCACAGTGAGGATTTGCAGGGTGTGTGGATGGACCTGAATGCTGGCCTGTGCCTCATCTCAGCCGGGCCCATTTCTCTCCAGCAGACAGAGAAGGAGCACAGAGTGGATTGGGAAGGTTGTGCCCACAATGGAGGTATCCCAGACCTCTCAAACATCAGCTTTTGGTCCCAGCCTGCTTAAGACGTGTCTCTATGTCCCTGCACAGGGTTTGGTGTGGGCTTGTAAGCCCTTTCCATGAGGAGCAAAGGCACTTGGTGTTTGAAACAGAGCTGCTGTTGGAAGTGACTGCCTCTCTTCAATGCCTTAATCCAATGCTTTCTTCCTATGGCCAATCTTGAGATGGTTTAATGGGACACATGTTTGGAAGAAGCTCTCTCCCTGCTACCTGTAGAGCAGCCTGGCTGCCTGCCTTACTCTTGCTCCCTCTTACTTTTCCTCTTATCCTGCAACCCTCTCTGCTCCCTGTGCTGCTGGTGCAGAGCCAAACTTCCACCTCCTTCCTGCCCAGGCAACCTTCCCAAGGGTGCTGCAGCACTGGGTGTGGGAAGGGGGGTATGGGAATGACTCCACTCAGCACGGACCCTGCCCACCATGCTCTCTGCTGAGCATCCCACTCCAAGAGCCACACGCAGGAGGAGCCAGTTGCTGTGTCCTGTGTGGAATGCAGCACGGACAGCCTTGGGAACAGAGACTCAGCAAAGGCCTTTCAGAGGGGGGTGTCCTCTCCAGTGGGCTCTCCCACAGAGCCCTCCCAAAAAATATCCCTGAGATGCCAATGAGCTTTTGGTGCAGCTGAACAGAGGTTTGGAGACCTGCTGTTCTGTATCCAGGCTCCTACGTCTCTTGTTAGAGCCCTGGATCATTTGGAGGATTTTTTCTGGAACTATTTGAATTTTCTGGGACATTTGGATTTAGGTTTGTAATAAGAAACATATAATGAATTTGATTCAGAAGGCTGTGGGATGTGAGGACAAGACTCTAACCTCTTTTCCTCTTGATAGCTCTTCTCCTCACACAATAATAAGATTACTTGTAAATCCCTGAATATTAGGGTGTCTTGGGACATGAGATTTCATTGGTATTATCTTGTTTGTGCTCCCAGCAGTACTGAAATAAGTGGGCAAAACCACTTCCTTTGGCTTTGCTGACCTCAAGCTCACCAGGAATGGGTTCATCAGAAGCAGGGCAGGAGCGTGTGGGGACACTTTGGATAGGATCCACTTCCCCTTGCTGTCAATGGCTCCAGCCAAATTAATCACAGCAGTCTCCTTGCACAGTCAGGGAGGGAGAGGTGAATCCTTTCTTGGCACAACACATCCCACACCAAATATTAGTACAGGTCAGGTGAACCCAAAAGTAATTTCTTTGCTTTGGTAGAAGAGAGTCTGAGGGGACCAGCTCTGAGAGCTGACACCCTCATCACCAGCACTGACGTCAGGTAGGATGAACCCTACCAGGACCATCTGCCTCCTCACCTTGCTAGGGCAGAAAAGATTCCTTTTGCTCTTCAGGTAGTTTGATAAATTCCCATACTTGCAGTATTCAACAATCACCATCAGAGGCCCTGGGCAATTAAATTAAAAGAAGAAAACACCAAACATTTTGAGCAGCATAAAGCAATAAAAGGTATAAAGCATCAGTTCTGAGAAAGAATCTTTCATGCCCTCACTACAACTTCAGTCCAGAATAACTGGCAACACAGCCTAAGAGCTAGAAGGCTGCTTGAAGAACACTGGACATAATCAAAATAATACTGCTTCTGGAAATTAGGGCAGGGCCTAATTTTGGAAAGCTGGGTCTTGAGTCTGGGTCCTGAGGGACGCTGTGTTTCCTCTTCGGGCAGTTGAGACTGGAGTCCCACAGCCCAAACACACTTGATGAACTAAAATAGGTGACATATCTAAAACAAACAAACTCCCATACTGGTCTTTTGATTTTCTTGGTGTGGTATCATGGAGGATTTTACGACAGCTGCATTGTGATTCATAGTTCAGGGCCAGCAGCTGACACCCCTTGTTCCCAGCCTCTCCAGATCATGTTTAACTTGAGCTTGAGCAGTGGAGTTAGTGAGATAAAGGACAGCAAGTGGCATACTCCTAAATTCACACTTCACATATTAATCCTAAAAGAAAGTTTAAAGAGAGGAAATGTTTAAACACTTCATTAAGTGACTGAAAATCTCTCTTTCTTTTCCTCTTTTTTTCACCAACTGCAGGATAAGCTCAAATATAAAAGTTACTCACTTGACCTCTGGATGAAAAACAACATGGGTCACTGGCTGTTATTGGGAGATAATCCAAACCCATTTTCAGAGCAGTGCAGATTTTTTTACCTCCATTTTTTGTGCAAGCTCCCAACAAATTCACGATGTTGAGATGATGACCAATGTGGATTAGGATTTTCAGCTCTGTCATCAGTGCTTTGTACTCACTTGCTGTGGCCCCTTCTGTAAATACAAAATAAAAAGTCAATGTGAAAAGACAAAGTACTGGTCCTGCTGAGCTTTACCACTTCTCGTTGCTTTCCATTGAAATAATCTCTGTTACTGGATGTACTTCTTGTATTGATGTTCTCTCTCTATGTCTCCCTGCTCAGCATCCTCTTGGTTGCAATTAAACCCATAAAAAAAGTCAAGCACTCAACTTCCTCCCAGTAGGCACTATCCTATTTAGAACTGGGAGATTTTTTTTTTCATGAATAGTTCTGATGTTTCAACCAAAAAAATTGAAAGAACAAATGAAAAGGGATTTCAATATGATAATTAATTCTATCTAGAATTGGCTCCATCTGATCTGACTTCAGCTCTCTAAGGGTTATATGCTAGCCCGAACTAATCAGTGTTTTAAGGGGCCAGTGTCAAGAGCAAATTATTTCAGAAGCTGATGTAGCCATCAGGTTTAGCCATCTGTATAAGGGAAAGATGAACTACCCCTGGGTGATGTGTGCCTGGTTCTGTTCATTATGTAGCAAGCCTGGAGATAGACCAGGGAAGTAAATATTAACTGGTTAAAGTGAAGTGACTGCATCTCACCCTTACCAGTCATGGTCAATAATAATAGGAATGATGTAAGAAGCCCCTCAAATAGATCCAAAACATTCTATTTCATGTTGAGTGAACATTCTCATTCCCACTGAGCAATTTTTTTTTCCTGCAGGATTTGATTTTGTTAAGAAAACAAGAAAATTCAAAATTGCTTTGTGTAGGCCCAAAAAGAATTTTTAGCTTAGTGACACCAAGAGCAAGAAGAACAGTCCTGTGGAAAAAACCCTTGAGCTGGGTCTTAAAGGGCTTGGTTTCAACATCTGAATGGAAACAGTTTTTCTTGGTGTCCCAGACAAAACTTGTCTTCTACTTGGTGATCTGCTATTTGCTTGTATGGGTGGTGACACCTCTCCTCCACCACATGGGAATTCTGTGAGGATGAGGCCTAATGAATGACTGCAGAGTTCCTGGATAATCTAGTGAGGACACAAGGAATGAGGCAGATCTCCCCACGCTTTGGGTGAGATACTAAAGATACCTAGAGAGGATCTGGTCCCCACTGGCTCTCCATTGTCAGCAGAGCTGAACAGGACTCAGCTCCCCGTATGCAGGAGGAATCTCCATTCCATCCTAAGGAATCTGCCTTAGGATGTTGTCTCTCACCACTGCCAATGAAGGGCATTTGAGTGACTAACTCAGATACAGGCTCTGCACATGCACATGCACATGTGCATCCCACCAGGAAGACTTCTTGTAGCTGCCCTCTGCTCCCAACCATTCCAGGAGCACCCATGGCTCCTTGGTGGTGCTGGCTGGCACAAGAAGCCTGCTGATGGGCATAAAGAAACCCTTAACCCAGCAGTCCACTCCAAGGGCTGGAGTTTACATGTAGACATCTCCTGATAAATGACAAGTAGGCATGTGTGAAGCTGGGAGCCACTGGCTAAGATGGATTCATTCAAACTATTCCTAAACAGAGTCAAGGGAGAGCATTGGGGCTCCAAGCCGTACTGGCAGATAGGGGATGTGTCCTGGCAGAGAAACAACACCAGAAATTATTCAGGGATTAAGACAGATAAGTAGTGCAGAAAAGGCAACCAAGTACATGGGAGGGATGCCACAGGAATTTCAATCACAGCTGCTGCAGGCTAAGACTGAACATCATCCTGCTTGCTAACATCCCAAGAGTCCTCTTCCAATTAGCGAGGGGGTTTTGTCCTTTCTGCTCCAATGAGGAAGGTGGCAGTGAATAGCTGGGGGATGATTTTGATGAGCACTGGTGTATGAACAGTGCTGGCAAATCCATTGCACAACCTGGGTGTCAGCATCCTGAGCACTGTGTGATGAGCCTGCAGCCAGTTCAGAGGGGGCACAGCTGCACAGCACCACCGAGATTTAAACTGCTCAATAAAACTTGCTATAAAACTATTAAGCTAAAACTGTGTTTAGCTTAATAAAAGAGGCTTCATGAAGAAAAATCATTATAAAATCTAACTGAGAAGGTTAAATGAGATGTTAAGTCAGGCATATGTGAATGAGACATAAGACATCTGGTTTTAAGAGTAAGATGATCATTCCTTGGAATGAACGACCAAGGAAAATATGAAAGCTTCTATCCAAGTGTCTTTACATCAGGGTAGATACCTTATACTTCAGCTAAATTTCATTTACAGCATTTGGTATAGAGTCAGTTGAGCATAATGGTATGACTTTTTACTGAGAATGCAGTTCTTATTTCATACTTCTGCCATTTCATTTGTGGTGGTCCTGCAACTTGATTTGTACACATTTTGGAGGCTTAAAAAAGTTACTGGGGAAAGCTTTTGTTTTTGGCAGAACTGAATAAAAAAAATGCACCACTGTATAAGGTGTCATTTTTTCCAATGCAGCTTTGCAGCAAGATACCTTTCAACATTTTCACAGCAACTATTCTGCACGTTGGTGATTTCCTAATTCCAAAGGCAGACGCTTGTACCACCTTTCCGAAAGCTCCATGTCCAAGAGACTTTCCTGTAAAGAAAATAAAGTGGAGAGATACATCTTGGTAAAAAAAAGGAATCCTGTCAGCAAATGGCTTCATAGATAATGAACTGAAAAATGTACTTTTCAATGAGTCCCATAGGTACATTTCCAACATATAGCTGGTTTAGGTTTTGTGGTTTATTGGGTATTTTTAAAAAGTAAGCAGTCAAACTAGAAGACAGAGTCATCAGAGGGAGCAAGTGATAGGAGTGAAAATGTCACTAAATGAAAGCAACCATTCGTTGGAGGTACACTGGCTTCAAATTTGATTTTTTCAGCCTAGTTCTGCCAGAGAAGGATTTTGCTCCTCTTTTTCCTGAGTGCACTGCATGGTGCAGCAGTCTGTGGTGCTGCCAGTTATGTCCTCAATAACACAGACCCTCTTCCCCTCTGACAATGTGTTCACATGGACAGCTCTGGCTGCCTCTGCCCTGCTACAGAGGCTGTCAAGGCTTGCTCAGGGGAGATCTTGTCAACCCATCAGCTCTAGCAATAAGTTTTATTTCCAAATAACTGTTTTCAGATTACTTTTGTGCTTCACATTCAGCAGAACCCAGGTACCAAAGTGGCTAACAAGAGTATGGCACCAGGTTCTGCGGTGTAGAGAAGAGCAGAAAATAACAGTCAGCTTTTCACATAAAAGCAAAGGATAACATGTACCAGATATTTGTTTCTCAGATATGCACATGTGGCATGACCATCTCCACAGGACAATTTCCTGTTCCTATGATGAACACCTGTTTGACTAGCTCTCAGGTGGACATCTATCTTGTTGGTATCTGAGTGAGAGATTAATCCCACTCAAATACTTGCAAGCAGAGAAAAAGAGCTGCTGTCTGTACTAGTTTAAATCAATACTGCCTTTTAAGTGCGTATATTGTATCTAAACTGTAATTCTCAGCATGTCTGTCAGTAGAAGCAAATAACATATGTTATAAAAGCAATGGAAACATGAAGTGGATTACACTAAGCAAAAAAAAAAAAAAACACCCAGAAAATTATTTCCACCCTAGATGTGCAAAAATGTTGTCTTTTTTTACAGCAAATTAAAGCCACAAAGAACTTGATCTACATGACTGAAAAGCATCAACAGACTGACTTTGGTTTGTGAAGGGCTTAGTATTTGATGGAGAAATACAGATGAATCAGTGTGCATCTAAAATCCTACTGTAGCCTTTTTCAGTAACTGGATATAGATTGTGGAAGAGAAGCATCATTAAGACTCAGGTCTCAGATTTTCTTACTGATGTTTTTAGTCCTAAACATTTTGACTGTCCGTGGTTTCTGCACAAAGAACTTGCAGTTTGAGGTCCTATAAAACCCGCCATACCTTTGTTTAGTCCATAGCTTCAATCTGTTTCCATCACTGTTAATGCACTTCCCACATTGTGATAACCTACTTAGTCACCACTTGGAAAACACAGCGGCTCATAAAGCTGCACAAAACTGCTAACCTTTCAGAGAGGAGAATGAGCACTGGAAACAGCACTTCCTTCTCTAAACAGTGGTGTGATTCAATGGGAGACTGTAACAACACTCAGTCTTTGCTGCTCTGCTGCTGCTTGTACCATGCTGAATAGTAGCACAGGACAGGGCTGCTTTAACTTTACATCATGCAGCTCAAAACTCAACACTTTAGTATGCAATTGTGGCTATGGCTGTTCTTGCAAATGTCCCTTCTGGTGACATACAAAGTAACTACAAAATTATTAATCAGAGGAATATTAAGCTGCCCAACCATCTGAGCAGTCAGTTTGTCATAGCCTTTGAGCAGCTACACTGGATGTGTTTGGGATAGTGCTCAGATGTGTAATGCTGCAGCATTTAGATCCAGACCAGTGAACCAAAGTGTTCTGCTTAAGTTTTCCACACTTGACTTGGATTTACTGGGCCTCTCAGAATGCATTAAAGTGAACATACGCCTCAGTCAAGGAGTTTTGGATCAGGAGAATTTCCTTTCAGTCCCATTTTAGCAGAGTCCTTCAAGCATGTCAGTTGTTGCGCCTGGAGCCTTAGCAAAAAGCACTTGCAGGCACCGCATCCCATGCCTGTGGGAGGGCACAGGCTCGAAGATGTGCTTCATTTCTCAGGTTCTTTGCCTCTGCTTGAGTCATCTGGGTTTTCCCCACGGGTGGCTTCACGTTTTCCATTATGTTACACAGGACAGCTGTGCACGTGCAGGAGAGTTGGAAGCGCTGTGCTCAGTGCCAGCGCTGTGGGCTTGCAGAGCACAGGAGGGAGCAGGGCTGGGGAAGCCCACTGCCCCCCGAGCCTGTGACACTGCTCTGGAGCCAGCAGCCACGCTGCCCCGGGCCCTGCATCCCAGCATCAGCACTGTGCCACCTCTCCAGGCCGGCAAGGTCAAGCCCAAGCGGGAGGGGAGAAAAGTGTGATGGCTCAGCTAACGCAGCGTGTTATCGCCGACCGCACTGACAGTGATTTATGGCACCAGCCTTTTCTGCCTAATGAAAACATGGCATTTACTCTCAGTGAGGCTAACCTATGCTGAATGATAATTACCCTGACTTCAGTGATGCCCATTTGAAATTCCCTGTAATGGCTGTGCCTCTTACAGATGAAAGGAGAGTCCTGTTATATAAGCATTGTATTGCAGCCGTGGGCTGTGCGTATGCATGTTGGAGAAACACACAGCAAAAGAGATGTGGGCTGAAAGGAGAGACTTCTTTGCAAAAGTTGTAACAAATATGTGTCCTGGAAGATAAGTAGGTGGAAAGAGAAAAAGAGTCGCATCCAATGCTGGAAGGGGTTGCATTTCCAAGTAAAAATATTTTTTAAAAACCATAGAAGCACATTTTGTGTTTGTGAGACACTAATCCTCAGAGACTGCCAAGGTTACTCAAAGACGGAGCCAACTGCCATGTAAGCAGGACTTGCACTGAACTAATCTAGCATACTGCACATACACAACTTCTTCAAATCTGGTTCTCATTCATTGTCAGCATTCTTTATTTGTTTACACCAGTTCTTCCACTTTTAACTCATTCTCTGGTCATCGTTCGTCACCTCTGGACTCCAAACGCTAACCCTGAAAGGCATGGGTTTTTCCTTGGTGTTTACATTCCATTTCTGTTTGTTTCTTTCCCAGTGGTCACATTGTCTGCACATCAGGCTCTTGGTCCATTGCTGTAAGAAAATTGTCTGAAGATTGAAGTCACTCCAGCACAAGGTTCCAGCATTCCCAGAATTATGTATGACAATTATAAATCGAGAGAAATGTATTTCAGCTGTGCTTATCCACATCTGGCCACCTTGTGTCTTCTGGCAGGCAAATTCAGTGTGATCCTAATTTTGCACATGTTAACCAAGCTCTGTTCCTGATACCCAGGAGACAGGAGGAATCTGTTACAGCTCCTAACTAAAATGCAAGGATTTTCTAGACCTTGCTGTAGGACAAATGCAATGCATGCCTGAAAGAACAAACAGCACTATAGCAACGAGGCTGAGCTTATCACTGACATTTTAATGTTGACCTTCTTGCTAAAATCTGTGTGGTTTCTGGAGGGATTCATCAACTTCCAAATAAGGTCCCTTCCCCCTTCCCTTCTCATCAGCCCCACATGAGGCTTAATGAGGAATGGTCCCAAACCCATGCCTTTGCTGGGACATCTATTGGGGACCTGGCTGTAGGTTTAAAATGTTCAAAGGTATTTATTTATTTATCTGTGGACTTACATGTCACATTCTTGCTCTTTATGGTGCAATAACAGAGTATTTATAAAACTGCAGCACAGAGTGACAACAAGGAGATTCTGCTGGAAAAAGAAGGAGAGGGTGAAAAGGGAAGGGGTGCAGGATGGATTATGAGGACCCATTTCTGCACAGGTCATTTTCCAAGTTTCCAAGTTGAAGAAAGGGAAGAAAAACATAGAATCATAGAATATCCTGAGTTGGAAGAGACCCACAAGGATCATCCTTGTGGATGATCCTGGCCCTGGACAGCACAATTCCAAGCAACACACCATGTGCCTGTGAGTGTTGTCTAGATGCTTCTTGAGCTCTGCCAGGCTGGTGCTGTGACCCCTCCCCTGGGGAGCCTGTTCCAGTGCCCAACCACCCTCTGAGTGAAGAACCTTTTTCTAATATCCAACATAAACCTCCCTGACACAACTTCAGGCCGTTCCCTCCGATCCTGTCGCTGGCACCAGAGAGAAGAGTTCAGTGTCTGCCCCTCTCTTCCCCTCACAAGGAAGCTGTAGCTGCAGTGAGGTCTCCTCTCTACTCCTCTTCTCCAGGCTGAACAGACCAAACTACTTCAGCTGCTCCTCATACAGCTCCCCCTCCAGACCCTTCATCATTTTTATAGTGAATCACCAAAACTACAGTAAATGCCAAAGGTCAGGCTCCCGAGTCTAGAGAGAGAAACATCGAAGTTGGCAGTCTGATTTGGAAATTTTTGGTTGTTCGTTTTGTGTCATGTTTTAAGTAAATAATTTTCCAAAATATAGAATGCATCATTCTTGTCTATATTCTCCTTCTGTGGCAGGGTGGCCAACCTAATAGAAGAGGGAAAGGCTGTGGGTGTTGTCTGCCTGGACCTTAGTAAAGCCTTTGTCACTGTCTTCCACAGCTTTTTCCTGGAGTGAACAGATAGATTATCCATGGTTGTACTTCATCTTGAGGGTCTTCTCCAGCCAAAAGGATCTTGTGTTTCTATTTTCTCTCTTCTACATGAAGTCCAAATATACATGTGAAAAGTCAAGTAGACATGGTCAGTCAGTCCTAAAGGCTGAAATTCATTCACAGATCAGTGCTCTCAGCGTGGAATAGATCACACCAAACCTGGCAGTACACTGTGCTGAGTGCCTAGAACACATCCAGCTCCTCTTTACCCATAGTTACAGATACATCTTATTCAATCAATCCAAACTGTAAATGAACTATTCCAATATTACCTAGTTGGAGCCTTTCTCTTGCGATTTCCCACTTGCTGGCATCATAAGGTAGACGTTCACATTGCTCATCTAAGGGGACTTCATCAGGATCCATGATGATTGACAGGTAATGGTTGGTCTTCATTTCAGAGGAACGAGGCTGGAAAACAAAGACATTGCAGAATGGAAAAGAGGATTAAAGTACCTATCAGCATCTTCTTGTTTGGATCAAGGGCTCTCATCTAAGGGGACTTCATCAGGATCCATGATGATTGACAGGTAATGGTTGGTCTTCATTTCAGAGGAACGAGGCTGGAAAACAAAGACATTGCAGAATGGAAAAGAGGATTAAAGTACCTATCAGCATCTTCTTGTTTGGATCAAGGGCTCCAAGTTCATTCTGTTCACAAGGCTGTGTGTTTCACGGCACACTGGATGGTTTGGTTAAGCTCCCTTTGGCTTTTCTATATATTGCAGGAGTTTTTATATAAAAGAAACTCCTTCCTCTAGCTTTCCTCCCATCTGGACATACCAGTTTCTTCAATGAAATCCATGTGGGTCACTATTAACATATGGTGTTATGACACAGGCCCTTGCACAGTCAGGAGAAGTACTTTCAGCAAGTGACTAAACATTGCTGATAAAAATAACTTTCCTTCATGATTGTGCAAAGCAAGAAGTGGCCACATGCAACAGATGGAGTTCTGCTGCCAGTGTTTATTTGTTCCATATATCCCGCAAAGATAGGTCATATGTGGTTAGAAATTGTGCAAGACAAGTCCTCAGGACACTGGACATTGTACACTTCACAAACTGCTGACAAATTTGTAGGATTTTTTATTTCTTTGGTGTAATTTCTGAAAATTTTACTCAAACCATTTGAGTCTGGAGGAATTTACTAACAGCTGGACTCAAATGCGTGTTTTAAAACAGAAAATTTCAAATTAATTTGCCAGTTTAGTTTCTCCTGAGCAAATGTATTATCCACTTCACATGGGGAATACAAGGCAAGATTAATCTGATCTGAAAGTTTCCTGCAGTTCATCCATTTTGAAATGTATGTTCCTTCAAAGAGCATCAAGATTTCCATTCTAATCCACTGGACTTTTCTTGACACAGGAGTTCTTATCTTTCTATAGGAAAGGTCTGGTGTTTATCATCATTTCCTGGCTATTAGTTGGAAGAACTGAACCTGAAGGTGTTGCTTTTCCTAAACTTGTGGAAGTAGCACGTGGACAAAGACATACAGATACCCCAAACATACAGATATAACCACATACTCTGTTTTCTATTATTTGTTTCAACTGCCTCCTCATACTTTCAACTTCCCTCCCCTACACTTTGGAAATATGTTCCTAATACCTGCATTTCTAGGCATCTTTTTAAAGAAGGATATTCCCAGCAGTGCATGCCTTGATTACAAACACAACTAGACTAAAATAACAGCAATTAACAACTGCTCATCCTCCCAAAACCCATACATTTTGTCCCAAGAAGGATGCACTGCTTGGGAAAAAGGCTTAAAGCCTGTCTCCAAACCATCCACTAAGTCTGGAAAGAACATGGATAAGCGGGATATGAGTGGAAACAGAAACTTTTGTGGTGCTCCAGAAGGGGCATTTCTAGACAGAGATGTGTGTACCACAGTGCTCCTACCCAGCACATTAAAAGAGCTTTGAAGTGGATCCATTCCAGAAAAAGCAATAGAGGAGTAGAAAAGTCAGGCAGTTTCCCACAGTTCTTTCTTCAGATGCACTCAATATCAAAGTTTTGGCACAAATATAGATTTGAAGCAACATTTTCAATGATGAAAAATTGTTAAGGATATAATCTGTCCCTGTGTGCATCACAGAGAGGTTTTAAGTAAATGCTCTTGGAGAGCATATTTTTTTTTCTGTTGTGGCAACATAATTTGTATATAAAATTTAATTCAGAGCTAATTCCAGTCATAAATCTTTGAGAGTAAGGGTTTATAAGAGAAACACAGAGAAGACCATAAACATAGACTAACACTAGTTGGAAAGTTGCCTCAACATGTCACTTAGTTAAAGTCCCTTGTTATACATGATATTTTTATTATCTGATGATATTTTTATTATCTTCTAACAATCTAACAAGTTTTGGTCTCATAAAAAATAAAAAAGATCTGCAACCCCTTGCTACACTTAAAGCTTACTTTTCCCCAAGATTTGCAGTCACGTTATAACTTGCTTCATCATTACTGTTGAGCATTCAGTACTGGTCCCTCTTGCCTTGTAATTTCCCTTACAGCTATGAAGTTTCTCCACAGTTTCAGCTGACCTCTGCTTTCCTTTCCCCCAAACTCCCACGCATTTCTCCTCACCAAGGCTTGCAGCAGTAGGAATGCAGGCAGAGTGACTGCTGCCATACTGCCCTGATTTGGACTGCTTTCCCATCAGTCAATAAAAGTTCTTAGTACCCAGCCCAAGACGCTGGCAGGCCTTAATGCAGGTTGAGATGACATGGTCTGTCAGCCAGCTGGGACATGCCCAGCTGTGGTGGCTGTGAGCAGATCCCTGTGGTGCTGTGCTGTGGTATCCTGGGCTGGTGGTGGAGTGGGAGCGAGGAGAGGGAGCACGCAGCCATTTCTCAGCTCGTGTCTTGTAGTGCCCCAGTACCTTCCCTCAAATCCATCTGCTCCTGCAGGTTACACCGAGGAGTTTGATTTTGTGCTTGGGAAAGCTGCCATGGTTCAGCCTGCACACACTACACAATGCAGACAGGGTGCTGTCAGCAAAAAGGGGTTTTAAACCATCCCAGTCAGCCTTGGACAAGAGGGAGGGTCAGCTGCAGGGGCAGTTAAATTTGTCATGTTGGTACAGGATCATCTGCTCTAGAAGCTGCACCATCAAAACTCCTTCAGCAAAATATCACTTTGGAGGTGATGTAATTGTACCAGACACTGTGCGAACCAGACCCCAGCACATTCTGTGACGATCTGTCATTCCCACTCACTCAGATCTTCAAAGACATTAGGATGCTAAACCCCCACAGTTTTTGTAAGGGAATGAGGATGCCTTTGGTGTGAGTCAGGCACCCAAGTGAGCCTCAGAGCCTTGTCCCCACCCAGACTTTTCTTTCTGGCTTACTCATGCTCAGGCTTGCAAGTCACGGCTCTCCAGCATCCATCAGCAGCCTGGTTATTTCACCAGGAACAAGGGTGAGCACTATCTGAGAATCATAGGATATTCTTAGTTGGAAGGTACCCACAAGGATCATCAAAGCTCAGTCCCTGGCCTTGCGCAGGCCAGTCCCAAGAGTCATGCCATGTGCCTGAGAATGTTATCCAAACATTCCTTGAGCTCTGGCAGACTTGGTGCTGTGAAAGTGAAACAGAATTTTTCTTTGGTAGACCTGACAACCCCAGCAGCCTGGGAAAAATTTTCTGACATGAGCAAAGGGCTGCCAAGGAGAGACAAGTGCCAGAGGGCATCCCACCAGACATCCCTGTCTGTTCTTACCCTCTTAAGCTTGCGAATGAAGAGGGTCAACAGGAGCCAGAACAGCATCGCAGCCACACAGGTACAGGTCAGAGTTATCAGCTCCAGGTTTGACCTCTCTGATATGCCTGGGAAAATCAAGTGGGAAACATGTTAGAAAATGACCTGCAAAGCAAGGGTACTTCATAGTTGGTTGTTTTTTTTGGTTTTTTTTTTTTTGCCATTAAAATAAAATACCAGGAAGGACCAGCTCTTTTCAATGGGGTATTAATCTCTGTTTGGACTGGCTCACAGAGCCAAAAAAAAAATCTCCTGCAGCCTCAGGAGAGGACAGAGCTCACAGAGGGGATGGCTCTGCTGAGGTGGTACTGTGGGGTGAGAGCTGCTGCTAACGTGCTGGAGAAGCTCCTGGGAGGTTTGTGCTGGTGTAGGCACCAGTGACTACCAGTGTGACCCAGGGCACGTTGCAGAGGTGCTGCTTGGGGTTTGCCGCCCAGGACCTGATGCCTTTCCTTGTGCACTTGTCAGAGATCTTTTCCCTGCTGGTGGCTGAGCCCTGCAGCCTGCACCTCCATCCCAGACATGCTGTAAACCCTCCAGCCCTCACCAAAACCATCCCTGGGGGTGACCTGGGGATTCTCTTGGAGACTCATGGTGATGCCAGCAGGAGTCCATGAGCTCTTTTTCCCATGGCTTGGATGGATGTGATCTGTCACCTGGGGACTCAGCTCATACACAGCGTGGAACCAGGGTCTTGAGCCTCATTCCCACTGGGCAGAAATCCAGGGCACATGGCCTAGCCCTCCCTCCAACCCCCTGCTCCCCTGGCAGGCTCTGTGCCCTCCTGCCTGTCACACCAGCAGCACATGGGAACACAGGACCCCCTCCTTTCCCAGCAGCACCCCACAGAACCTGGGTGGCAGGGAGCTGGGAGGGCTCTAGAAACCAGGGAACTGATTAAGCACAGAAAGAGGAAAACAAAACCGGCCACAACTGAAAATGAAGCAGCAAGAAAACATGAAGATTAGAAATCTGGAAAGTATTAGAGCCCACTGACAAATCTTTAAAAAAGCCAAAATAAAACTCACTTCAGACTGCTATTTAGGGATTTGTAAAACAGATTCAGAGCAGTTTGTTTTGCAAATCCTGTGATTGCATCAAAAATCCCACACTTCCCACAATATGTTTTCCATCGGATTGGTAGAAAATGCAAAAAGAACCATCATACCCTGCCTCTTATTCTGATATACCCTCTAGAGAGGGTAAATGAGAGGACAAGGAGGAGGAATTCTGAACATGATTTCACAGTAGTTTCGTCAACTTGCAGAGTTTCAGAGCCTGGCAGCTTGATGTTTCTCCTGACAAATGAAAAAGGTGCAATTGTGTTTTACTGGTTACTTTACTGGGTAATCCAGAGGGATGTTCTGCCTGGTTTTAGGCAAAAGGCCACAAAGCTTTGTTTAGAGGATGTGTTGCTTAATTGGCATAATGTATTGCCTCCCTAAAATGATAATCAGATTTATATTCATGTCCCATATCTAAGATTTCCCTGGGATGTCCATTCTGGAACTTTGAGAATAAAGCTCATTGAGGAAAAACATGGCTGCAGCTATGAATGGAGGTACAATAATCTCCAGAAATACCAAGAGAGTTCTCCTTTCACAAGTATTTTTTTCAAGTACTTGATTTAGATATGGAACATAGTGATAGCATAAATACCACAGCCCAGTGCTGCTTGCCTATTCTCTGGCATCTGCATTTCCTTTTATGTTTGGATAGTCTCCTCTTGCTTCTGACCAGCACTCCTGCAGATGGCAGATAATAGTTTCTGATACCTATTCAGCAAAACCTGGCGGGGGCTGAAGGTTCATTTGTTGCCACAACTTCATACGGCAGGAGACAGAACACCCACGAGGTACAGCCAGGCCTGGGGTGGAAGACAGAAACTCTCTAACCACTGCGGCAGCTGCCCAGGAATCAGCAGAGATGTGAAGGTGCTGTCTTTGAAATGTTTGAGCAAATGTAGGCAACCAGAAAGTGTTTCTCCAGCTGGGCTGGGTTATCAAATGCTAGAGTCCTAGTCTTGCTGAAAGCCTTGAAGTCAGAGCTCTCTGAGTGTCTCTCAGCAGGGCAGAAAAAGGTTTAATTTGAGGCAGAACTGGCAGGAACACTCAGAAGAGGCCTTAGGATTAGCAGAGTTTGGTGAGGCTTTAATCAGTGCTAAATCCCTCTCTCTGCCTGGTAGCTGAAGATTTCAGGCATCCCCTTACACCTCCATCCCAGAGCTTTACTCACCTCACACCTCATTCAACAAAGACTTTTCCCTGTGTGCAGCTCTGTCCCATCTGCCTGACTCTGCCCCAAGCAGCTGCCCCCTTTTTCCCCCTTTCTCCCCTCCAAAAGCCCCCCTGCACCCACCCCATGTCGGCAGGACTGCAGAGGGGTGAGTGAAGTGTCACCAGCAGCAATTTCTCTCTTTCAGTAGCAACAGAAGCCACCAGAACCATGCAAGTATGCCAGGATGAGAGCCTGGATTAATGTGCTGGTCCCTCCAGCTACAAGCTCAAGCCTTTGGCTGGTATGGGCTTTCTCATTAGGATTTCAGCTCTAAACACCTAAACACTGTGGTGCAGCTCAGGCGTCAACCAGGGAAAAAGAAATGCATCCCTCACCCCTACCCCACTGGGATCTACTCTGTTCAATCCATGTGATCTCACAATCATAGCACTGCAGCACTGGGATGGGTGCTCAGAGATGCTGAGGAATGTCCATCCCCAGAGTTTGTCATAACTTAGCCAGACCATCGGCGATGACCCTTGTTTGAACTGAGGTTGAACCATCGACCACCAGGACTCCATTCCAAACCTCTTTAGTGGAATTCTGGGGTAACAGGAGCCTTAGTGTCCCCTGATGTCCACCTGCAATCTTGCAAACTGAAGTCATGACCTGGGCTGAACTTCTTTTAGTAGCTGTGGGAATTCCAGATAAACTTCATGGAGAAGTTCCTGATGGCTTCAGCATGACTCAAAAGGCACAACATTTTGAGATACAAAGTCAGAGAGGTTAGGTAGGTAGGTAGGTAGATAGGTAGATAGATAGATAGATAGATAGATAGATAGATAGTAAAGTTATTTAAAATAAGTCATTTAAATAGAAGTTATTTTAAAAGCTAACACCATTTTCATAGTGTCAGCATTGTTCAGTGACTACTTGATAAATGTTTTCCTTTTCATCAGCAGGATTCACATTAAGTTATCAAATATCAGCTTTAAGACAGGGCACATTGTTGTATTTCTTTATATGTCCATATTTCAGTGAGCATAAATTGCTCCTTCCTTTATCAACTCATCTCCTTCAAAGCAGCACCTCTGCAACTAACTGTATCCCTGGGGCTGTGAGGGTCCTCAGTAGAGGAAGCAGGAAATGGCTTTCATGGCAGCTCTGCAAGCATGTTGGCCCCCCTAGAAAAGCTGCCCAAGAGTCTGTGTTCCCCACATGCCCAGCAGCATTTCTCCCCAGACTTTTAGGGGTACAGTCCCCTCTACCTGCTAGGTGCTCTGGCAGCCATTTGCTGTTTCTATTCTGTCCTTGCAGATTTGGTGCCTCTTCAATTCCTCAGCCAAGAGCAAGCAGAAAGATTGCTCTGATATGCCCACAGACATGGCCCTTCTTCTCCACAGATAGCTCAGCAACCCCTGATTCCAAACCAAACAGAGCCTGCAATAATTTCAAAACAGCCCTTTGATTCCCCCACCCATTCATCCATCTCGGACACAAAAATAACACATTGTTTTATCTGTGAGTATAAGAATGTTTTCTCAGAGGAAATAAAGAGAGCAGACAGTTTCCTTCCTGACTCATTCACAAACTACTCTTCCAATCTGCTAAACGTGGCCGTCGACATGAGGCACTGCTCTGCTCCCTTTGATCTGCAGCCCCGGGTTCAGAGAGCCCCAGGACAGCGGCAAGGCTTGGTGCTCACAGCAGCAGGCACAGGGCCTCTGTTTCTCAGAGAGACAAGAAAGTGGCAAAGCTTAGGGAAAGCCTTCAAGCTCTGATCTTGTCCCTCCAGGCTCAGGGATGAAGTAGGAGGCTTCCTTTCCTGGGAGGCGGACAGACATTCCAGAGCAGTGTAGGATTGAGTAAAAAAAGCTCTAGTGATGTCCCTTCACGTAGTAGGAAAAGAGTGGAAAGACATTTTCCTTGATCAGAGTAGATAAGACAAACTGTCTCTCTTTTCATCATCCAGTCTCAAAGCCATAAATTTTAATGTGGTGGTCTTCATCTCCTGCTCCCATAGAAGTCGTACGAGAACATTGCTGGTGGTCCCTCAGGACACGTAACCACAGCAGAAGCCTTCCTGGATGCTTCCTTTCCTCTCCTCTGGACTAGGATATATGACTTCCTAGAAGCCATCTGACAGAATGCTTGTGTTGTAATAAACAGCCAAGCTTCAGTTATGTAAAAATCAATACAATAATGAATTACATTGTCCGGGACTATGAATTAGTAGGATGATTTGGACAGCAAGCAGCTGGCACAAGTTATTCATTTAGCTGTTACAGCAGCTGTAAAACCTTGGTATTATCAAGGCACTTAGAGAGAGGCGATCCTGCCTCTCTACTCTGCTATTGTGAGACCCCATCTGGAGTGCTGCATCCAGCTCTGGGGCTTCCAACGTAAGAATGATGTGGATCTTTTGGGGCAAGTCCAGAGGAGGGCCACAAAGATGACCAAAGGACTGAAGCACCTCTGCTATGAAGACAGGCTGGAACAGCTGGAATCATTCAGCCTGGAGAGGAGAAGGCTCCAGGGAGACCTTTTGGCAGCCTTCCATTACTTAAAGGGGGTCTAATAGAGAGATGGAGAGTCACTTCTTCCAAGGGCATGGAGAGACAGGACAAGGGAGAATGGTTTCACACACAAAGAGGACAGGTTTAGATTAGATATTAGGAAGAACTTTTTTACTCTGAGTGTGATGAGGCCCTGGCACAGGCTTCCCATGGAAGGTCTGAGCGCTGCAGCTCTGGAAGTGTTCAAGGCTGGGTTGGAGGAGGCTTTGAGAAACTTGGTCTGGTGGAGGTGTTTCTGCCTTCCACTAGAGCAGGCTGGAGCTAGAGGATATTTAAGGATCCAAGAACTCAGACCATTCTATGATTCTGTAATTATTCATAAGGGGATAGGTTTTTAACTCCTCAATTTCACCAGTTAGGCCAGCCCACACGTGCATACACTTATCCCTGACCTTTTAAAGCAGAAGCATCATTGTATCATTACTATTAACTCCAACTGCAAACACATGGCAAAAAATCAATACTAGTTGTAATTGTCTTGTCCTGCAGAGTATCCAAATAGCCAGAAGTATTCAGACACATTTAACAATTATATGAGAACATCCACAAACATATAATCTCTGCCTAAGAGGCCTGGTTATATTCCAATTGTGTTTTTAAGGAGCAACTAAATGCATCCAGGACTACTTACTTAACACCATGTCAGTAAAATAGATTATGTCAGATTTAATACATGTACAACATTGAGCTATATGAAGAATGTCAACCTACTTCTCTAATGTCATAATTCATGAGCCAAAAGGATACTCAATGAAATTGAAAGGTCACTTAATAAACTTTCTTTTTATTTAATGTAAAATTAATTGATTTCCCTGCCACAGGCATGAGTTAAGATTGTCAGAAGGCAGAACAATGGTGGACATTTATGATAACTCAAGTAATGGTTACAGAAATAACTAAATCAAACTACTTCCTTGTAGTAGTACCTTTGCATATGTAGCTATTGCTAGGCTAAAGTCTTCCAGTCTGATTTGGCAATTCACTTTACACTGAAAAATAAACAAATCAGAACATCCCAGGCCTCTAATTTCTATGGGATTAATCTGAAATGGGAAAATATGTGGGTAGGGGAGTGTTACTTACCCTGGTTTTTGTTTGTTTTGCTGATACTAAATTTACATTTGTCTTCTACCCTGACCTGATCTTTGTTGGGTTGAAGCAATTCTTCTTTTTAGGTCAGTGTAAACACACTCTGAGTTAGCATTTCCTGCTGGGCTTCCTTTCCAACCTGGTATGCTTCCCTTGCTAGGACTTCCTTCAAATTGCTTCAGAGATCACCAGAGGAGTCCCAGGTCATACCCCTGCCCTTCCAGCCTAAGAACATCACTCTGGAAGGCTTGCTCTTCCCATTTAGTGTGGTGCTTTACCTTGTACCGTGACATAAGCCGCACTCTCCACGGACCCTTTCAAGTTGGTGGCTATACACTGGTAAAGTCCTTCATCCTCCTCTTTTACTCTTTCAATAAACAGCATTCGGCTTCCAGGCCCTAAAATTATTCCTGTGAAACGAAATATTTTGCAATGAGAGGCAGCCAGGATATAAACAAAACCTGGCCCTTGTGTAATAGTATCTGCTTCAAGTTCTTCTCAGAAGAAATCTGAGCCACAGACTGCACGGCACAATGTTGTCTGCAGGAAAGCCAAGTGCACTTGGACGCCTGTGAGCCTCTTGGAAATCAGTGTTTACAAAGCACTTGTGTGAGTCAAAAAGCTCAGCCTAAGGGAATGGTCTTGGAAATACTTGGTACTGTTTGTGTTGATAGCACTGTGCCTATGCTTTCATCCAGGTGAGCACTTTAACATGTCTGCAGCTTTTGGAAAAAGGATAATCTGATTACTGCGCTTACAGACCCAGGTCTGCCCCAGAAGCAACTCAAGCTTAGAGCCCTTCCAAAGGCCCTTCAGACTGTCCCTATGGGCAGCAGACTTGCTGCACATCTCACCTGCCCATGTGGTGTGGAACGATGGGCTCCTTTACACAGGGGCTCCAGACAGTGCAAAGAGAAATCCCATGAGGGAATTACCTGAAGTTTTAAACATCTTGTTTATTCCAGATAGGTCAACCCAGAAGGCAGCCTGGACAATACTCCAAGAAGCAAGGAAGAGGCAGGGAGCAGATTTGGTCTCAGGACTGCTGCTAGGGCACCTTCTAGCCAGGAAATGTGCAGTCAAGTACGCACTTGTGTTTGGCTCCATCAGAACCACAGTCCCATCAAAATGTATTCCCACCATCTATTTCAGGCACCTAACTGAAGTGCTCTGAGCTACCCTCTGGAGACATCTCCCTGGCTCCCAATTGTATTTGTTGCATTACCCCAAGTTAGACACATAACCTTCAGTTTGGAAGATAGTGTTATTAATGCACACTACAGCAAGGTCATCACTGTAAAGCTTCATGGAATCTATCTCTAGATTAAGCTTAGTGCCTGCGCTGGAAGTCTGCATGGGCTTATAACTCAGTTGGAGAAACCCTCAAATTTTTTTCCAGTTGTTTTTATTCACGCTATTGTAATTCCTAATAATTCAGGACATGACCATAACTACGAACTTGCTAAAATGTTCTGTAGAAGATTACACTTTGAATTCAAGTTCCAATGCACCAGACCTCCTTGAACATTTTTGCTGAGTGTTTTAACACTATCTCAGTGTGTGCTTCTGAACCAAATGTGCATGAATTCCCATGAGAAAGGTTTTGCCTTTCCTCTGTCATTAATTTCCATCTGAAATATCCAAGGAATACATCCATGACTATGATGCCCGCAGCTGCACATTTAGCCTTAGATGATCTTTGAAGCCACATTCCAGAAACATCAGTAAAGAGCTCCCAAAGTTTTCCTGTTGTTGCAACATGACACCCGGGAAGTTGTTCCTCTCTGTTGCATGAGACCTGGATTCCCCTGACGCCGTAAATGCATTTGGATTTTGGATACCCTAGACATGGATTTAGTCTCCTGGATAGTTTTTGACTCATGAACAGACTTTGAGTGCCTGACCACAGACCCCTGCTGGTACTTCCATATCTGTTGGCCAAGACCCTGTTCCTTGGGCTCCCTCTATAACAAATGGAGGTAAATATGTTTCTCTGGAGATGGCTCTTTTAAGATGAAAAATGCTTCACCAATTCCATAAAGGCCAGTTGTGTCTAGATCTCCAGCTTGGCTCATATTTTGGAGTGACACAGAATAACCTGGAGCACCTGGATTGCTGCCTAACTGCCTTCCTTCCATCTAAGTACTGATGCCAGTGGCTCTGCAAATGGCTACCTAAGGCAGAAGGGTAAATAAAAAGCCTGCTGTAAGAGGTAGGTGAGTACACAAAGCTCTCACCTGGTTCTTGCTGTATTTCCTCATGGTTTTTAAACCAGGATATCTGGGGCTCAGGAATACCACGAGCCTGGCACTCCAACATGGCAGAGTTACTGGCGTTCACTGTCTGATCCGAAAGCTGCAGCAGCAGGGCTGGCGCCTCTTGAGCTATAAGACAAAACAACACCTTTGTTTTACATTCTTGTAATGGTGGAGATTTAATTATCTCCCCTACACTCATTTTACTGGTGTTAGAGATTGCTACAGTTCTTCTACCAAGCTCATTTTTCCCTGATTTTATTTAGTGTTCCGCTTAGCTCGGGAGGGTTTGGTGTGTGCAGGGAACTCCCGTTACTCAGCAATGGCATGCTATGGGGACCAGTGAAAACCCAATGATGACAGTGCTCAAAAGATTTTCTCAGTTCCATGACCAACCACGCTAGTTTATATCGAAAGCAATGACTTTCTATGAAAGCTCAGTTTTTCACCATCAAAGGAAATAAACTGTGACACCAAAGATTTGAAGAATCATCAGAACAGCCCTGTAGCAGAGTATCTCTGTGCTGCTTATAGCACTTTGCTGGTCCATACACCGTGATAGCCATGAATGTGACTTTGATAATTTACTTACTTTAAAGAGCACAGTTACAAATCATATTCAGTAAACACACATGATCCAAACCCACCATGAGCACATAAGCATTGTACCAAAGTTTTCATAAGTTATTCTACTTCTGTGTTTCACATATTTGGCTGAACATAACCAGGCCTGGCCAAACCACACCACAGCATTTCAAAAATACACTACAAACATCATGTTAAAGTCCTCTCTGACAGAAACAAAACAATCTCATGATCATTTCAACCCTTTGCCACTCCTTCCCTCATTTCATACAGTGCTGAAGGCTGTCCTAACAAAGGTCAAGATATTTACAATGTTTACGCACATTATATGGCAACATCTTTCATACACATTTGCAACTCTCACATAATTATTTTTGGTATTTTCATCCATTTAAAGCAGTCATGGAGAATTCAGGGAGCTCCTGAGCAGCATCACAGACAGAAATGCTCTGCAGATTCCCTCAAATTCCCCAATTATTTGCAATCTTTCCCTTCAAGGACACTGCCAGCAATTACTAACATGGTAATACACAGATTCCAAATACAAAATGAAACAAAATAAAAGCAGAAATCAACTATTTGCTTTCAAGCTGCAATACACCAAGTTCAGTATCAGCTGAATTTCTGATAATCTGTGTTTGGAAGATTATTCTTTTACCTTACAGAAAAACTAGCCATCACACATTATTATTCTAGCCATCCTCATAATTATTCTGTTACCAGACATAAATAAAAACTCTCCAGAAATGTTAAACCCCTATGTACCACCAGATTTTTCAGTGTGCATGATCCCCACAGCACTAAAAGCACCTTTAAAGTGGGATATTTTTGCAATGCCCTTGCCCCTTAAAATTAATTCCAACATAGTCATGACTGTGCAATGACTATGACTTTTGGGCACTTCTGAGCTGCAAGCCAATAATTTTCACAGGCAATGAAATTTGTTCTTTACAGCCTGGTAGACAATTTGTTCTCTCTTCCCAAACAGCATTGCTTATGAGAGGCACTGTAAATTCTTCATCACATACCTACACAATGACATCGTCAACTCTATTTGCCTTGCAGCCAAGAAGACTGCCGTCTTCTCCTTGATACCTCATCTTAATTTTTATTTAGTTCTCATTTTTCTCAACAATCTGAACAGGCACAGCCTGAGGCATGTCCACATACACATGCTGAGAAGAGCTCAATATTTTTCAGCAGTCCCTGACAGACACCCCAGCCCAGACAACCAAAATGAAGGCGGACAAGATGACACAACAAAGGCAAATCACACGTTCTGTGAGTTGTGATTAATTTTAATTTGTTTATAGCCATACACTAAAGATGGGATTTCATATTAAGAAAAACTTTTTTGCTTAAAACTTAAGTCATCATTCACATACTTTCAATAATTTCTCTGCTACAATCAGCTGATTTTTCAAGGACTTGGTCAACCTGAGGATTATTCTCTTTTGCAAACCACCTGTTTTCTCCCGTTCATTTTTGCAGTGGAGCCAAGGGGGTCAGTTTCCAATGTCCTACCCTGCTCACTCCAAAGCCGAGGGGCAAGCCTGGCCCCCAGCAGAGTGTGGGGCTCAGCTCCCAGGGCAGCCCCGCAGACCTGACCCAGCCTTCGTGCTTGCCCACCAATGCTGCCTTGCTGGCCAAACTCTGCTCTCAGTAACCCCAAGGAACTTCATTGTAGGCAGAATTCGGCCCAGGGGAGTGACAGGGGGATCACAGAGGGGAGAAGAGGGCACTGGCATCAGAGTACTTTTCTGACCTGGGGTGGTAGGGAGGGAAAATTTGCATTTTTAAAAGCAAACAAAGGGGAGAAATTACAATTTGTTAATTTTTAGGTTTACATTTGCATTCCATCCATTTTTGCTCTTTGTTAGGATTATGTTGTCTGTTCACTTATTTTTTATTAATCAGTACAAAAATATAAATACAAGCTTTATTTTAAACACTTAAAAAAAAAAAGAAGAAGAAATATAATTCACACCTTTCTCCCTAAATAATATCTTACACAGCAGAAGGCAGAGAAACTCCTCAAACCCATGAGATTCTCCAGTCATCCAAGGACATCAAAAGCGACATCAGTAGTTTTTATCCTGCCACCAAGAACTGCTTTCCTCCAAGGTTTCCAGTGAGCTTTTTCTGTGCCCACCAACATGGACAGCCACACTGGGATGTCAGGACATCCTTGCACAGCGTGGCCTCTGAGTGCTGGTCGAGCCCAAGCTGGTGGCTCCTCCACTCAGCAGGGACATACACCATTGCAATGCACAACAGCTTCACAGAAAAACAGTCTAATTGCCACATCTCTTTTTTTTTTTTTTTTTTTTTGACCCAAGCTCATATTGCCTGGCAACTGGCTGCACAAATCATGGTGCTTTGGCTCCCAAGGCCATTTGGAAAATTTGTAATGTCCTGTCATCACCGCCCACCTCGCCATCAAATGTCTTCCCACAAAGTACCCTAGGAAAAAGGGGGATTCTGTATTGTAGTTCTTCTGAAGAATTGCAAATGCTAAAGAGTGAGCTTGCTCCATTTTTAAGCAGTCGCCAACGACTTCACTTGCATTTTAGGCATGATTTAGGAAAAAAAGAGAGCCTGAACCCATTGTTTCTGGAAGCCATCATGCTAATAATGAACAAAAGAGTTACTGTATACAAGCAGGCTATAGGTGACATTTCAAGATATAAATGATTATTCTTTTCTTTACTCTGACAACTTCCAGGTTACCAATTGTTTTCTAAGCATTTTAGGCTCCATGAAACTGGCATTATGGGGAAATGCTATTGTTTACCCTTTCACACTTGACAAAAGCAATTCCCACGTGAAAGGCAAGTTTAGCCGTGGGACACGGTCTCGATACCTAAAGGAGGAAATAGTCTGGTGAGTTCCCAAGCGCAAGAAACTGTCATGTTGTCACCCTCTATTTTAAAAGCACAGCCACTTTGTTCCTTTGCTGCAGCTATTTTGGTCATTGTGGTCTGTTTTGTTATGGCTTGTGTAAATGCTATATAAATGATCGATCATAAATGTAACCAAAATAATTAAAGCTATGTAATTGTAAAAAAATAAAGCTATCAGATCTATTAAAAATAGTAACTTTTTCCTTACACAGAATTTATAGCACACAGAAACATCTCATAGCAAAATCATGACAAAGGAAAAGAAAAGGGGAAATGCTCACAAGGAATTCTTAGGTTGCCCTTAATTGTCCTTCAGCAGTTTTGCTGGTTCTTAATCCCCATAATAAATCCAATTGTCATTTGCATACCAAAAGCAATGAATATTTTTAATGGCATCAATTTTGAATTTGTATTTTTAAAATGTATTAACTAACCATGCTGGCTAAAACCTTGTCAGTCATGTTAGTGTAACATTCCTCATTTAATAAAATAATTACAACAGTACAAACTCCTGAATCTTCAGGCCAGAAGCAACACTCACACTTTTATCAGTAGTTTTTTTACATTAGTGCAGAACTGACTTTAAAAATTGACCAACACAGCAAGTGGAAGTCTACCTGGATTTATTTGGAGAAACATGGTTCATGGCTGTCAGTTGTAAAATCATCATTATTATAAATGATATGATAGGTCTGTGCATTATATCAACATTTTTATTTCTTCCCTGCATACTTCTTTTAGAAGATACTTTTTTTAAGATTAATGTACTTTAGTGTAGAAAATAATTTCAAATAAATAAGTATTAGAACTTGCTCAGCAGGTAATATTTATAAGTCCATCAAGATCAGATTAAAATAAAAAATATGTAGTCCAGTCAATCTCAAACTGAATTGTGCTCATTCTGCACATTCAAGTTAGCTTATTAAATGTCCATTGTTGACTGAAAACAGCAGTTTTTAAAGTTAATCAGTTTATTCAGCTTTGACACTTTTGATGAGGCTGATATCAAAGCGGAAGAAAAGATTGATCCAAAGTTTTCCTTATTGCTCAGTAGGAGACAGCAAGAGAAAAAATAACGGCATGTAAAATGTAGCACGGGGGATCTTCCAAACCCCAGCTTCCATGTGCCTTTTCAAAGCAGAAAACACCCGTCTGAACTCAACTGGAAGCTCACGCGTTAGGATTTTGTTTGCTATTCCTCCTATTTCCAACCCATGGGGAAATGAGCACCACCTCAGGGCTTGAAAGGTAGCAACAGTGATACAAAAATCAAGATGATATGAGACATCTCTTACTGTTTAATGAGTCCTTTAATGTTTTACATTGCTTTGTGTTGTACAATCATTCCTTGTGCTTTTATATTTGAGGATCCGAGAGTAAACAGCCTTTTTGTTGCAGTGCTCACCTCTGATCGTAACGTCTTTCTGTTGAAGCACTTCTTTCCCCGTGTATATGTTCCTTGCTCGGCAGGCATAGGTGCCTGAGTGTGCCAGGGAAACGTTTTTGATGGTCAGAGTGAGGGTGATGGAGTACTCCCTGTTGTGAGACTTCTTTGCTCTCGTTTGATTGTTGACTGTCCTGGGTAAAATCCAAGCAATGTCTTTGTACAGGAATTTGTTGGCTGAACAGGACAATACCAAATTCTCTCCTTCAATGGGCATTTTTTCCAAACTAATATGGAATCCACTTGGTACATCTGTCAAAAATCAAGAACACTTTTTAGTTCATATGAAATGAGCCAAAATTAACACAGCATATATTTCCCCCTTTATCAGAAGGTCTTTGAACTAATCAGTGTCGTTGTCTTCCTGCTCAGGTGTATAATCTTTCCTTTCATACACTCAGCTAAATCTATTCTCATAATTTTTCTCAGAACTATGATACGCTTGACCTCAGATGTCAGTTGGTGTAAACTGAAGTTGCTCTAGGAAGTAATGAGTTTGTATAAGTGTTATGCCAAGTTATGACAGACCGGGGCAAGGTACCAAAAGCAGAATTATTTAAAGACATCACAGTGGGACTATGAAAAAGGAGAAGTATTCTGATCACAGCTCCAGCTTGTGAACTGCATAAGAGAAAAGGAATCTCAAGAGGGCAGTATAAAAATATTGCATTTCATCATGTTTGGTTGTACTGTTTTCTTGTTATTCACAAGCATTCAGATAAAATAAATCTATTTCTTAAAAATGCTTCAAGTCCTGAGAAATTACAACATCTGTGATCTACACACCTGAGATTTCCCTTGAAACAGAGGTGCTTACTCTCCCTGCATTCAAAGCGTACCAGCCACCCAAGAGGTGAGCAAAAGCAGCACCCTCTGCCCGGGGTGACCAGCTGTGTGTGGGCAGCACGAGGATGAAGGTATTTTATTCAGGTGCCTTGGCATTATCACAGGTGAAAAATATTTTCACCTGAGAGAAACCAAGTATCATTGCACCAACAATTTATTAAGTGTAGACATGGGTTAAGTTTTCACTTCATAGCAGATGGTTCAGGCAGGAGTAATTTAGCCAACAATGTAGAAAGTCCTACTTGCAAAGGTCCTGTTTGTGATGTCACTTGCAACTCCCTCCACCTGGGCAGTGGTGCAGAGCTGTGGTGGTGTCAGCTGCCTCCCAGCTGCCCCCACCTGGGGCTCATCCCTCCAGCCAGGTGCTCACATCACTGACCTCAGTGAAAGTAGAAGTTCCTGAGAGAAAGCTCTTCCAAGTTTTACTCCTAGAATGCAACCTCTCTTGGTTTATTTGTAGCCAATATTCTGATAAAGTCATTTCCTTCTTCTCGGTCAAGTGACATCGACTGTGGCCATTTTCAATTGTTCTTTCACTACTAATTGCTATGGCACTTGGCCGTAAACTTGACTTGAAATCCTAAGAATGGCTTCTTCTTTCATAAGGGAGAGTTATACCTTCTTTTTTTGTTTCTTAGATCATGAACAGCTGATTTCCATTCAGTTCATTCTTACCAGTGCTGCTTTGGGTTTAATGTCACTTCAGCAGGAATATGTAAAAATTACCTCTCAAGTGAATAATATCCCACATATATTTTCATTAACCTCTCTCATTGGTTGACCAATCCATCAGTAAGCTACTCCCTAAATCCCCACATTGCAAACTGAGCTGCCTTGTCTTCCAGGGGAACCATGAGCATAACCTGCTCAATGCTCTCTGCCTATTGGAAGCCTGGCATCAGTTGTCCCCCATAACAACCTCTTTTCCACATCTATCCTTGAGTTAAACAGAGGGTAAATGAGCTCCTGCTAGCCCTGGATTGAAATGTCTCCTGACAGTAGATGCCTCCCAGGGAGAGGCCTGATTTCTGCTGCTTGAACTCATCGTGCCCCTGCAGTGGGAGCACAGTGTGTGCCTGTCATCAGCTGTGGTTCAGGTGTGCAGGCCAAAGATCAACCTAGTGGAGGCAGAGACACTAAAATAGTAGACTGGGTATTAAAGCTTGGTGTTAAATTGTTCCATTGGGATACCACTTTCCTCTCTCTGGCAAGCAAAGCTATAAGAAAAATTTCAAATTTTATTAACTCATCTATGAGTGACAACCATCAGGATCCTGTTTGATATGTAAGGGTGTGTGGTGCCAGATTCTAACCTCAATTAAGAACATTTTAACTGGAAGTGCTATTAAGAAAAACACCTCCCTACATGAAATCCATCATATTTAGCCTCAGCTGCCAAAATGCAGACATTTACTTGAATATAGATGTTTTGTATTCTGTATGTGGGCAGAAGTTTACAGTCCATGGGGTGACACAGGCTTCTCCAGAGGGCAGTGCAAACCATCCCTTTAAGATGGGTTAAATGCCAGACATTCTGGTCCCGCATGCTTAATTATGAAGAGATCCTACATGATCAGCTTAGGCTTCCGTACCTAATTGTAAGATTGAAGTTAGATGAACTGAATCCTATGCTTGATTTTGTTAAAAAACGTTAAATTCAAACATGCTTAAAAACAATCACATGGCCAACATTTTGAATGTGGATAAGTACTGGGAAGAAAGAAGGTGCTGCATCTTACTCACAGTACATTTCAAATTCTTCTGATGTGTGTTGTGAAAGCCAGGGTATTGGTTAGAAATAGAGACAATTTTTGCTTTTGAAGATACCAGTACTCAGTAAAAGCTAAGAAGAGCCAACCAAAACTCTTAAGATGAAACTAAAGATCCCTGGGGACTGAGGCAAGTGAACTATTTTTAGCTTAAAAGGATAGCATGCCAACAGTATAACACAGTTACAACTACTTTTATGTTGTCAGGTCTGGAGCTCTTCCTCAGTGGGCCTTCTGTGAAGACTATTTTCTAAGTAAATCTAGGGACAACAGCAAAATGCACAGGATTCCAAAAGAATCATTTGTTTAAAGGCTACGAGCCTCCTAATATATGACACCTATCTCATCAATTGTTACAGGCTCAGGCTAGCTAAATAACGTGGCTGGGAATAATGTAAAAGGGTTTTATTTACTTTAGTGATTTGAAGCTTCCTGTGGAAATAGCTCCCAGGTTTCCTGATGGAAGATTTTGTTTATCTTTGCCAAGCACCATCAGGAATCTCAAAATAAAATGCGCTTAGTGACATTGGGAAACCAGGGAGATAAGGCAGAGCTGTTCCTGTTTCACCCTCTGTAATTGCAAACACACCCATGGGCCTGCTGTGTGCCAGAAAAACAGCCCAAAATGTAGGGAAAGGGGCAGGCTGGAGGAAAGGGTGCTAATACAATTAAATTTGGCATAAAGGTGCTGTTACAGAGACTGCTTCCACACCAGTGAGCAGGAGAGCTTTCAGAAATCACCTTTCTACATTGCTTTTATGTAAGTTTCACAGCTACTTTTTGGTCTTGAACAACGATTTGCTTTTAGAGCTAAGTCAGTGACAGTACACCAAAATGCTCTTTATCTGACAGAAGCCTTAGGAAGGCTAGTCCAAAGCCCATGGTCTTTGTGTCATACACCCTGAGGCACAGTGTATAAAATCATGTACACCACTCTCAAACTTTCTAGGAAAAGATAGGCATGTTTCACTTTTAAGCGCAGAAATAATGATATTTACAGTAACTAAAGAAAGTGCTTGTCCTTCCTAGGTTCTCTCTGTTGGCAGTAATTTCCTTATGTTTACCTTTCCCTGAAGAAGTGGAACTTGTCAACTCCAAACTAGTGCTGCTGGGACACCTTCTGCCTTCCACCACCTTCCTAATGGTTTCTGTCCACAAAAAAAAAGGGACCCTTCACAGCACTGCAGCACATGCATTTTCTCATTCCCAGGACAAGGGCTGAGGGAGATTGCCTTCAAGGAAAGGGATCTCCCTGTTCAGAACAATCTTTGTCTCCATCTGCTCTTCAGAATAATTTCTGGTGTGTCCCTTTTAAAGAGGGCAGCAGCTCCTTTTCCTACAAGGAATCATCTCCTCCTGCTTAGACGCTTCTCTTACTTTTAGACACTTTTGTGTGGCTCAGGCTGACTTCAAATGGCGCCACAAGACTCAACAACATAAGATAAACTAGCCCTAAGCTGTCACACAAACCCTGAAGTATTGGTTTTGGACTCATCAGAAGGAAATACTTTGCAGTGTCCTATTCACATCCATCAGCATGTAAGGCTCAGATTTTTACTCCCTCAGTGCATTTTTCAGCACATTCTGGACATGTTTGTTTCTTGATGTGAAACACAGCCACAGCAGTTTGGTCTCAGCCTGATGGAGGAGAATTACGGTGAGCGCAACTGGATTTTTGTAGGGACCAAACAATAGTATTGTTTGCACTGCTTTCAGTCAATGCAAGTGAGTGCCAGAGGACGATCAGGACTTTCCATGTCACACAACTGAAGTGCTCAGCTCCAGGAGCTCATAGGACAAATGCATTTCAGCTCCACTACACTATAAGGAATGTTTGCCACCAGTCAAGATGTTAAGAAATTCCAAGACATAATAAAGCTGACACTCCTCTTTCTGAACGCCAGCCAATATAAGATTCTTCAAAGGGAAGTCATAACATTCTGCATGTTCTCGTACAAGCTTTAGTATCAAGGAGAAGGATTTCCTTCCATCCGTATTTAAGATCTGAGAATGCTAGGTCTAAATAAGAAAACTACATCCTTCATGTCACTGTGCTAAAATACTTGAAACCACCATCAAAACGTTGAAAGGGATATTTGGATATGGTGAATGGGGTCCATCCAAGTACAGCTTCATTTGGTTTCAGAATCTTCCATGTTATATTGTGAAAACTGAGGAATAAGAGTTAAAGAAGGCCAAATTCAGCCCCTTGCACATTGAAAGAGCAGCATTCTCAGTGAATGATTCTCAGTGACTTCTCAAAGTTTCATGTGAAGTACCCACACAAAGATGAAACTATCATTGGCATGTTAATTTATGGAGAACTATGTGGTGTTCATCTTTCTGTCCAAACACACACAATGTGAGGATAGGGATGAAAGCAAAACTGAGAGTGGGACAAGAGTCATCTTCAAGGTGGCAAATGTTCTTGTCACATCCATTAATAGAACACGGAGACATTTTTCTTGTTTCTGTACTTTAACAAACAACCTGCCTGTGTGTCACTTATCTGTTTATACTTCTCATGCTTCTTACCAATTTTCTGTATTTATAGATAAGTGGCACTTTCTAAATGTGAAAGTGTATTATGACATGGAGCTTTAACAGCTGTAGACACCCACAAACAAAGCCTGCCAGGTGAAACTGTACAAGAAGCACAACAGTGGATACCTAAAAAAGAAATGGCAAGTGCTTGTAGGGGTGCCCATCTGCTGGCATGATGGAGTCATGCTGCCTTCTGGTAGCTGAGGCCTGAAATGTTGGTGAGACAGTGCCACAACTTGTCAAGTGCACTGACTACTGCTCATTGCTACTCTTCTGTGGGGGCAGGAGTGATACCGCAAGCTGGATAGAAGCCAGATGGAATCTGGGCAGATTCAAGGAAGACTACAAAATCCTGGAGGTGCCAGAGAAAGGTATTTGTGCCCAAGCTTCTTTTACCAGTTAGAGGAAAGGGCACTCTCCTGGAAGCACAAAACCAGTTCATCTGGGTCAACAGATCTGCTCAGCTGGGGATCAGCTCTGTGGAAAGGGACCTGTGGTGGACAACAAGCTCAGCATGAATGAAAAGGGCCTTGCTGTGATAAAAAAAAAAAAAAAGTCAACAGGCTGCTGGGTTGTAATAGCAAGGGCATCCCTAGCAAAGATAAAGAAGTCATTACACTCTACTTAGAACTTTTCAGGCCATGTCCAAAATACAGGATTCAATTTGGGTCCCCTCTATACAAAACAGATGTGGAAAGTCTGGAAAGGGTCCAGAGAAGTGCCACAAAGATGATCAAAGGAGTGAAAAGTCTGCCACTTGAGGAGAGGCTGAGAGAACTGGGTTTGTTCAGCCTTGAGGAAAGGCTTAGGGGAGACTTTATCAACATGTTCCAGTATTTAAAGGGTGGCTACAAAGAAGATGGAGACTCCTATTTCAGGAGCCAATGGAAAATACGAGTGGTAATGGGTACAAGTTACTCCTGGGGAGATTCTGATTGGATACAAGAAGAAATTTTTCACTATGTGGACAATCAGTCATTGGAATAATCTCCCCAGGGAAGTGTTGGATTCCACAACCTAAGATTCCACAATCCATCCAATTCCACAATTTAAGATCCATCTGGACAGGATGCAGTGCTTTTCCCAAGACAGGTTGGACCAGATGATCCTGAGGCCCCTTTCAACTTGGTATTCTATGATTCAGCTTGTCATTTTAAAAACACAGAGTTTGGGAGGGAGAACATTTTTTGAAGTAGTCTTTCTTTTCTTTTTTTTTTTTAATCAAATCTAGTGAGAGTGTGTCTATTCTCTTTTGATATCTCTCAGAATAGAAATAGAATGAGTTTCACTAAAATCACTCATCAGAATTATAAGCAAGAGAATGACAACATAAAAACCCCAGAGATTATGATTTGGGGATTAAAGCATCTAAATATTTTAGACTTTTTGCTTTTTCTCATCTTTTTGAATGAATTACGTTTCTTTAATGATCTACCCTGAAAATTGCCAACAGCCTAAGTTTATAAAACTACTGCTTTATAAACAAAACTAAACTTTTGACAGAAAGCAAATCCTTTGTAATTGCATGTGCAGACTTTGTGTTGCTGAATAATGCAGTAGTTATTCCCAAAGCCACACTGTGGGCTTTTTTCAGAAATTCCTGAAGTAAAACATTAAGTCATTTGTTTGTGAAAACTCCAAACACATCTCATAATGCAAAAATAACAGAAAGCATACTCATACGTGAAGATAACACCAGAGGAATTCTCAGTGCCATGGCACAAGTGGCATTCCAGGCTGTCTTTCTCAGAAAAGGAAACAAAACCCTGTAGTCTGTATCCTGACACTTTTCCACCCCTAAGTTGCCATTGTCCCTGAGATCTGTGAGAGGCACCCCAGACATCTCTGGCACCGTGCTGCCTGCAGACCCTGGCACTGCTCTAGGCTCTGCCTTGTGAGACATCCTGGTGGGCAACAGAATGAGGCTGTAGACACCTCAATGTCACATGTGAAACTGGCTTACTGGCCGGTGAAAATACACTAAAATTTCATGCATGAAATAACTGCAGAGATGAACCAAACTGGGGAATTACTCATTGCTGTATTTGTAATTTCTGTCATGCTTGATGCTTGGTGCTTGAGGGAGGAATGAGTCATTCACCAATTTGGCGTCCCTAGAAATCCAGACCAGCAGCTATGGAACCTACCAGCATCACCCAAAAGCATGGTATGAGCTCACACATTACAGCAATTCTGAAACAGTGGTATATTAAAAAGTCACAACGACCCAACAGTTATAAGTCCAGGATCAGGAAACACGTTTGACTCTGTAGAGGAGTAGATCTTACCTGTTACAATAAAACTGACATTTCTTTCAGATTTTCCCACTTTGTTGGATGCCACACAGCTGTAGATTCCTGACGATTTGGCTTCAGCTACAACAAGAGTGCTAGCAGTCTGCAAAAGAAAGAAGAGGCTTAGTTCTCATTGGCTTAAGAACTCAGTTAAAGTTTTTCTTCTCTTTTTCCTAAGTCACCATTGGCTCTCCCATGATCCACTCTTTCCATTCATTCAGTGATGGGCACCTCTGAGACTATTTAAAGGAGATGTTACCATACACAGTTTTGCAAAGGACAGAATAACAACAGGAAACAAGCTCCTTGGGTGAGCCTTATATCATCAAAGCCATCACGACCAAAAATCTTTGAACATGTCTTTCAGATTGATTTATCTCTCGCTGGTGATGTAATGGTAAGCTACAAGACATGAAGCACGACAGAATGTGTTTCACACAAGGAGATAAGCAGCCTGTAGGAGAGCCAGCCTGCAAAGGGAATAGTTGAGACACGCCTCAGGCATTTGGATAACCCTGGGGGGAAAAAGTAGCTCAATTTAGCACTAAACTTGTTGGATTTCTTTGGATTTTCCCATATACATGTCAGGTGAGACAGAGCAGTGGCAAAAGAGATGTTTACTCATCTTCTTTTGCACTATTTTCCTGGACTTAATATTTCTATTATATAATAATATGTCATTTTTTGTTATGTTGTATTCTATCAACATCTTAAGAGGTCCAGCACACTAAATATTTTCTCAGAGTTATTTGACTTGAAAGAAAAGGCCTCAAAAGGCCAGGGACCAAAAACACCTAATGTGCTCTTAGAAACATAAAAACCACTGTAATAATAACAGTTATACTTTTAGGGTGATGGGAAGCCATGGTCTAGTGGCATGGGCACTAAGCATAAGAAGAAAGTTATGCAGAAACAAATGATGTGTCATTCTGTTATGGAGCTGAGACATGAGGCATGGACATGGACTTTATCAGTGTAATGTGCCTCCAGTTACTACTTGGTAGTTTAATTTTGCTTCTTTCTGTTGCCATTTTCCTTGTTCTGTAAAACATAGTTTGGCTGGAGTCATGGGCAAGCTGAATGGTGACAAAGGGAAATTGTGGGGCTTCAGAATTCCACTGTTTGGAATTGTTTGGTGTCTCTATAAATCATAAAAATAAGATCTGTGCAATTAATACATTCTTTTAAGTCTGCCTGATTACTGGAGTTCAGAAACAAACACAAAAGGGTGAGGCAGTAATAAATAATGACCAGTTATCTACATTTTTTACATAAACACTGACTGAACATTTGCACTGCTTTTTTTTTCATCCTGGGAGAAAGCATAGCTATCCCCAAACTCTTGTGGAGCCCCTAAATGAAATAGATCTTCTGGTTTCCCAAAATCATTCTTCAGTACAGAGAGTCTATTACTTTTCCTGCACTCAAGCAAACACTGTTGAGGCAAATAATTTCGTTTTGACTTATTTGTTTTAGAAGATTTCACTATGGTAAATTCACTACAAGTAATGCTAACTGCACCTCTACCCTGTGAAATTATCTCAGTGGCCAACTACCTGTCTGCAAACATACTACATAATATTTCTAGCTACAATTTTTATAAACTACCTTTTTGGATCTTCTGTGAGATTAAAGAGCATCTGTAATACCAGAGAGATAACTACAGCCCTTAGGGAAAAATCATCCTGTTTTGCTAAATTCAGTAGGCTGACCTCCACAAATTTCTAATTATAAAGGGTGCACCTGGCCCTGTCCATATTTTGTCATTCTCTTTTAATTTCTTCCAGGTTCTAAACGTAATTTTTTTAAGTGTGGAAACAGAGTACAGCACCAGGATTCCTGCATCTACTTTTTCAACACTAACTCGGACCAGAAGGAAGCCCCACAATGTTTGCCACAGAACGCTAATGTGGGTGGTTAAAAACTGCTTCTGCCATGCCAGACTTTACACCAAAAACCAGCCTGTTTCTGCTAGTTGGTGTTACCTCACAGCAGCTTTGCCCAGGAAGCAACTGTGACCTATCATGCACAGTGAAGGAGAACGAAGCTCTTGCTCTCTGACTCCAGGACACCTGTCTTTATTATGCACAGAGGCAGAGCATTTCTGAGCCTGAAAAACACGTGCTGACTATTCCTCCCACAACTACTCCGAAGGTTTGAAAAGTTTTTGGAAATATCAGACTGATTTTTTGTACTTCTAGCATTAGGTATTACTTTTTAATGGAAAATTGTGCATACTACCTTGAGTTTTACTGCTTCAGCCCACTGTGATGTGATTATTATTTTTGTCACACTGAGGATGGTGCATAGAGTTATGTTAAATGAGTATGACTGCAGTGACTAACAGATTATGCCTTTTCTTGTGTATTAAATTGCCTGAGAGAACATTCATTGGCATTGAAACCCAGCGATTTAAATTGCCAGGTTTCCCCCCAGAAGCATTTTGGTTTTGACCAACTTACACAAATACATCTTTAGCATGGACTAAAGGTCATTTCCAACAGGCAACTCCCATGCAAGCAATGGCTCTTTGGAAGGCAAGGGAATGAAATGCTGTGAACACAGGAGGCCTTAGTGCTAGAGAGCACACACTGGTATGTTTACTCTACTGAGGCAGAGAAAGCCACAGTGTCTAGGAGGAAGCAAGACTTTGCAACAGAACAGAATATTTAAGGGACAGCATGTCTCTGTATAAATCTTTTAGCTTATAAATTAGTTGCAAGGATAAGATAACATCTCTTTAAATAGTTTGTGAGCCCTCCAGTGGTGCAGTCTGTGTTTTTCATTGTGGATGCCAGCCAAAACCCACCAGAGAAGCAGTGTGTATAAAACTAAGTCTGGCATATTGTTTATGGAGAAACCATGGCTGTTTGAGATCTGCTTGTGCAGCATGGTCCCTCTGTACAGCTGTTACTGCAAAACAAGCAAAAGTTTTTGCAATCTTGTATCATCTGGCATCACCACAGGGAGTTTCAGTCCCTGGATTTGCAGCTACGTTATATAGAGAAAGTGTGAATTGAGTTGGCATGATCAGACAGAGCAGGCAAATCCCTCCTGGCACGGTGGCATGGTCAATATCTTTAGCATCATCTCTCCAAAAACTCTATTTACCACCAAAGTTTTGGCCTTTTATGCCTTTTTTTTCATTCCCATCATCTCTGCTGAAGCACCATGTTACAGGCTCATCTCAAAGCCAGGGGCTTGGGAAGTAAGTCCCATACTGCTGCTGCTTTGCTGGGCAAATTAAAAAGGCATAAGGCAGAAATCCTAAGAGATGGAAGAGGAATTCTCAGATTTGTTTGTGGTGGAAACTGATGAGGAAAAGACTGTGGAGGCAAAGAGAATACAAAGCAGCTGACAAGATCATTGCTGTTGGAGCCACAATGGGCTGGTCTTTCCCCTGGAGGGTCTGCTTGAATTTCTCTCTTCTCAAAGTAGCTGAGATAGAGGATTCCCAGTGCTCCAGCTGATGGCAGAGAAGGAAAATAAGTTTTCAGAAAATGTTTGGCAACCTGGCTCTTATGTGACTCCCAGAAGGCCTCTTAAGACGCTGACATGAACTCGCTCTGTTCAGAGATTGCTGCCCTGACTTCTTGAAACAGCCCACGTATTTAAAAAGCAAAATAACCATTTCAACAAAGAGCAGGTTAGAGCAAGTCCATCAGTTATCGCCAATTCCCTTCTACGTATGCTTTTAAGAACTATTGATTAAAAAAAAGGAAGGAAATAAATGAAAATATGCAGTCTTTATGCCCTTGGCATTATCTTTGTCTAAAGGAATATCATTTAGGAAGATCCATTTCTAAACATTGGTAGGGCACTGCTGGATTGGTCTGCTTGTGCCAAAGACATACGGTCTGCGTGCCTCACCTGTTGGCAAGGAGCATCAGTGCAAAACATCTGGTCAACAGGTTTCACCTTCAGAACCAGCATGGGAGAAACACCAAAATACCCTCAACAGGAGGGCACGAGTGGATGGGACAGCACCCACTTTCCCCCTGGGGTCAGGCAGAAAAATCTCTATGAGTTGTTGCTGTATATCAAGCAGAGCTGTGTTTTCTCTCTGCAACCCGTGCTGTCCTGCAGCTCAGCAGCAGCAAGCCCCAAGTTCTGCTGGTTTTAATCTCATCAAGGGCTTGGCTTTGCTGGTACCTCCCAAAGATTCACTTGAAAGCGTTGACAGCAATTCTAGTAGCACTCGGGCAGGCTCCAGGAGAAGTTACAATGTGCTGAAGAGAGGAAAGTGGGGCTCCCACTGCTATCTTTAGCCTGGGTTCTGAGGAAGATCATACCGTCCTTATGTTCATCTGTCTGCCAGCCTGTCCATCTGTCTGCCAGTATCGTCTCCACCCCCACATGCTCAGTAATTTCTGAATCTATTGTCCAGTTTCATCCAAGACTTACTGACAACTCAAAGCTCATGAGATCTCACACATTTAATGAAAACCAGCTGTTTGGTGGAGGAGAAAGATCAAAATGCTGCTGTAGTGAGCTAAACAGCTTTCTCTTCCTCTTTGGGTTCCAGATGGCCAGTCTGCACAGATGTACTGGCCAGACAGCTGGCATGTGTCAGGACTGAGAGCAGACACAGCACATGCTTCTCCTTCTCATCAGTAAGATGGGAACTCAGAAGAGAGGTAGATGTTTAGGGCTTGGCATAGAAGATGCAGCAAAGATGGAACCCTTTTATTTTGTGTGATTACACTTATCAGTCCTGTCCAGGAAGGATTGGCTCTTCTGACTATTTAGCACTCCACTTTGGAGAGTTACACTTTTTAATACTATCACCAGTCAGGCTGACCCATCTTTGCAAGCCAAACTGGTGAGTCTAAATTTTGCCTTCCAGAATCATGATACAGGGCCATTACCTTCCTTTTTCCATGAAGTCAAGTGGCTTTGTCATTCACAAGTGTTGGATCCACTAAAAACCTGTGTCAGCTAGGTATTCGTGCAGAGAAAAAAGAAGTCGTGTGTATATATATATATATACACATACATATATACATACATATATATGCTTTTACACACGCACAGACACACACATATATGCATGGTAAGCTCCACTTCCATGCATTACTACCCTTTACACACCATACCTGGAGGCATACCCTGTGACACAGACCCAGCTTTTGTGGTACTTGCTATTGATATATGGTACTCCCAACATACGCTGGCAGCAGAGGCATGAGGCAGTCAGGAACATTCTGTTCCACTTCAGGTTCTCAGTAGGTTAGTTACCAAAAAACAAAGGGTTTTGTCTCACTCTCTCCAACTTTTCCTTGTACTCAACTGCCCTCATGTCTACTGTCTCCTTCCCTTGGATTTATAATCCTTTCTTCTTGGCCCACACTTTTTGCTTTCCCTCATCTCAACTTGCCTTCTTAGTGGTCCTCTGCACATGCTCCACACCCGGGACCCTTGCTGACTTCTCCTACAGAACCCTGCCCCTTGTACCCCTGTGCCAGGAGTACCAAGTGCCTTCAAGGCTGTTGATAAGCCAGTGTGAGCCTGCACATGCAGGACAGAGCACACTGAATGCGTGCACCACTACCAGTTGTATTCGGGGCACAATGAACACACCAGCTCTCTGTACCTTATTATAGCAGGTCATTCACTGACTGACACTCTAATGAACACTGACCATGCAAAGAACAGTAATCAGTGTTAGCCCTCAGTCAGACACAGCAGTCAGCTTTAAGGGGAGCACTGACGGATGCTAGTCAGCTGAGTGACAGCAGAGTGTCTGTTAGCTGTTTACACGACAGGCCTAAGAATAGCGCAGCTTTGTAGGAAGTCACTGAAATGTCCAACAAAACGAGAATCAAAACATTGGGAGGGGGAATCAAATCACTTCAAGAGCTGCCTTATGATTAAGTATTATGGCTTATGTTACGAAGTTCTTCCATTGTACCACTCGAGTTTCTCAATGTCTGCTTGGAGAGGCTTTAGCGGAAATGTTACTAAAACACTGTTGTCACAGTTTCTCTGTCACCAAAGAATCATGTAGTGCAGTCTTCCTGCACTACTTTAACTGCACAGGCACAGGGTTTGAGGTTTTGCTAACTTTAAAATATACTTGTGGCTACCTTGATAACCACAGACAAACAAACAATCTACCACAGCAAAGAGCCAAACTAGAAGCACTTAGATGTTGCACATACAGGAAACATGTGGAACTGGCACAATGTCCTTAGGAAGGTAAAAACAGCTACCTTCATTGCTAAAGAAACCTGTTGATCATTCCTTGTTCATCTCTTCCCTTGCTTATAATAATCTCATCCTGTGACCACACACATTTCTCCTTTCATCCTAACCCAAACGTGAAACTTTCTGAGTTTCTTCATTCATTTCCTACCTCTTTGTACTGCATCTTTGTTGTTTCCATTGAGCTCTGAGATTGTTTTTACCACTCTTGCAGTGTTGGGATGTGGAAGTGGGGTAGACGCTGTTTATTTAGCAGGGCACCACCGCTGTGGAGGTGCCTCAGAGAGCTGTTCACAGCTGCTTGCAGGAGCAGAACTGCTCACAGTAGCAGTCGGTCAGAGGCAGACCCTTGTGATGGAAGTGCTGCATTCAGTGAGCTCAGTGCTATTAGCACTCTGACAATATCCCTGCAGATGGGCAAGGGCTCTGGCTGCGCTGGCTCTTTGAGTTTGCTCAGGGGCGCCGAGGGTGAGTCTTGGGCTGCGAAGAGTGAAAAGCCATAGACTCCCATGGATTTAAAAGAATAATCCTGGATGCTCTAGAGCAGCTGTGTGTGCACTAATCGTGCAGCTCTCAGCTTGGCCAGGAGCCTGGGCTTAGGGAGCATTTTTTACTTACAAAAGCAGTACAGCTGTGCTTGGAAAGCTACGGAAGAGCAGCAGAAATAGAGAAACTTTAGAAAAGCTGTGAAAAAGCTGAGTACAGAGATTGTTTCACTAACCTCCCCCTCCCCATAGGGACCAGGAGGAGTAAAGCAAAGAAAGGTAGACCTGTTTTAGTTGAACTACAGAGCAAAAAGACAAAGAATACAAGGGAGCATCAATAAATTTCAGTGCAAATCCTTCCGTGCAAGGACCATTCCTTGGTTCATTTCTGGGCACATTTTTAAAAAGGGCTGCTTGCCAAAGACTTGCAGTTCTACCGCAAGGACCCATTATTAGCATCTTCCTCCAGGGAGGAATTTATTTGCTGTTGACTGGAAGTTGCTTTGATATTTTAGCCACTCCTCTTCTGCTGTCTCCAAAATGCATGGTACACAAGGAGAATGAGATCTGGTCATTAGACAGCTCCTTCTGCACCCTGTGAACAGGCAGGACTGCACCTATAGCACGGCTATATGACTGCTGGAAAATAATTGATTCTTATCATCTTGTTCATCATTCCCCCTGTGGAATAGACTGTGTCTTCCTGTGCCTGAAATTGTTTCCCTTTCCTCCTTCAAATCCCTCCTTACGCTTCATTTTTCATGTGCTTTCCTATGATAGAGTACCCTAGGAAACTGTTTGCTCCCATCTTTGCCTTGATCTTTAGGCACGTAGAGCTAAATAGAGCAAATGCCTCCCTGGGATCCAGCCTGTTCCCACGCGCTGGAATGCTGCCATGGACACCTGTGATACTTTCTAAATAATAAAACAGCCGGACAAAATGCAGTCCCAGATCTGATTCTTGGCTGCACGTAAAACCCTATTTATGCTGCGGTGTGTGAAAGGGCCTTGACATGAGAATAACTACAGTTTATACCCATTTTCATGTGCAGGAAACTGAAGGCAGCCATCATAGAAAAGAGACCTTTAACCCCAGTGCCCTTAGAATTACAAAAGACATTTTGGTGTCATTAAAAATTGAAGGCCTAGAGTAAGATAGGCTTTAAAATTTATAATCTCTTTAGCTATTACAGCCACAAACAAAACTAGCCTGTGAAAACAGACTCTGACAGTGTTATGATGCCTGAGCTGCTCTGTAGCACAGGCTACCCAACCACACCAAATAAGTCTCATGTCTATCCCAGGGAAGTGCAGTTGATCTAGGGTTCCCCTGATTTGAGGCTTTAACTGATGGACAAGCCCCCTTAGCCCTTGGCAAGTTAATCTCATGGGCTTTCTTTTCCAACTTAGACACCAGTGGACTACAGGCCCACACACCCTTCAGAGTCACCCGCATGTCCCCATGACCCATGAAGGGACACTTCAACTAACACCTAAATTCAGATGGCTAACACTGCTGAGATAAATCCCATCTTGCTGTCTGTGACTGAGACTTCTCTAAAACTTTGCTTCCATAATCTGGATTCTTTTGGCTTTTTAGGATTTATTCCAAAAAAGACATCACCATCTAATCAACTAGGACCACATCTGTGAATAAGCTGGCTAATGAGTGTAAATAGTTTAATTTCTCATAGGAATAAAAACCACAAAATTGTGCAATGGCACAAAATGAGGCAAAGATGGCCTGGAACCCTGCCCCATGCTTCTGAGGTACCCCAAGATAGTTCAGACCACGAATAAGAGAGCAGATATAGAGAATCCCACTGATACATTCTCTTGGCATGTCACTTACCTTTACATGGCAGCCACCAGAAAAAAAATACTCTCAGCAGATAAATACCAAGTATGAAACTTATCTGCATGTATGCAGGTCCTCAAATCCAAACAATATAAAAATGCTGGCTTCTTCTCTGTTACCTTGACAGCATCTTACAGTGCCTTTTCAACACATGCTGTCACACAGAAAGGTTATCTGCTCCTAGGAATCATACCTTATTTTTGCCCTCTATTACAGCTGTTCTCTCAGTGATGCTCTGGATCCTGTTTCCTACGTGGGTGCCAGCTTTCAGGATGAAAGATCCTTCCGTATAAAAGCAAAATCCGTGCCTAAAGACAAGAAAAATTGAAATGTTATTGATTTGGTGGTAGAAATTTGATAGAAATTCAACACATAAGACAAAACAATTGTTTTGAAAACAGTGATCAGTCAGGAAAACTGCAGGTGCTGTGACAACCAGGAAAGTATAATTGCTTTTCATTACATCTTGAGGTTTGGAGCCTGATAACTGGATTCAGTTCCACATCCGCTCCTCGAATGTTAGCTCTCTGGAGTAAATGTTCATATTTAAGCCACTGCAAACTGTGAGGCCAGAATTTACAGTCAGAGCCTAAACATAGAGCTGTACAAGACCAACATCCCATTTCCAATGCTCCTGTTTTCAGACATGACCAAAACACTAGTTCATACTATTTTTAGCCTTTAACTCAAGACAAATTATATTGGTTTCAAGATGCATTCCATAATGCATTGGATGGTCTTTTGCTCTGTGCAGGTTGTTTCTGCTTTAACAAAAGATTATGCCAGTTTTAATTTCTCAATATTTATTTAGTTCAGTTTACAAAACAGCAAGATATTAATAATGAGGCTCAATGATTACAAGACACACAGTAAAAACAAGCATAATCCTGCAAACGAACAAAATGAAGTTAAACAGAATTATACTCAAATGAAAAAGGGATTTAAATGATAATTCATCTGGAGGAAAATCAAATACATCTTAATGAATGAAAGTCCCAGAGATAAAATGTTTTTGCCTTATGCAACAAATTGGCTTGTAATCAGAACATTCAGGTGTGGTCATGGTAGAGATAATCTGTTTCTTAAAGTCTGATTCGGTACACACGGATAAACACGTTGGAATGCTTCTTAAGGGCTGCCTGATCCTGTTCTTCTTCGAGAATATCTAGCTCAGTTTTTCATCCAGAATTTAGGTTTTGCTCGTTCAATTCCAGCATCATTGGCAAAGATTAACCCTTCAGTTTGAAGTTGTTCTTTCAAATACACTGTGTTCCTTGGATTTGAAAGATAATGGCTGTCCTATCTGTAATCAAATACTTCTGACTTGTATAACAGTTGTTTGGAGAAATGAACTTGAAAGCCCAGTGACTGAAAAACAGAATATGATGCAATCCTGACCAAAGAATGAGGTTCATTTCCCTTCATTTAAACTGTGCAGTTTGCTTTGCACAGTAAACTTTGTGTTGCTTAGAGTACCAATGGTGCACCAGCTTTACACCAGCCTGTTTTTAATTGTGCAGCTTTGCGTCCAACTGGCCAATGACTTAGCAGCTTAAAGAAATAATGACATGGAAACTAACGTGGACTGCCCAAATATGCACTGAAAGGATCAGCATGTTGAAAAGACAAAAAAAAAAAAAAAAAAAAAACCCAGAAAAAAGCAATGGCAATTCATGCATGTAGAGAGGACAGGGAGCAAGAGCCTGGCAGGAAAGCCCTATCTACACAACCACATCTATCAGACTCTGGTTTAAAAGCCAACTTCTAATACATTGTGTTTGAGGCCAGGGTAAATGAAAGACAGGTGCATTAATAAGGGCACCTCTTGCACTCAGATGGGGAAAAATGGTTAAAATTATTCAGAAAGGTAGAAGCCATTTACTTTGCACATTTAAAGCTTTAAGAAGTCTTATTCTGTAACCAGAATAAAACACAGAAGGCATGATAATTTGGCTAAGCTGGTAACATTTTCGTACCATAGAAGATATCAAAACTCAATTTGTGATTCCAGACACACAAACAGGCAGCATCAAAAGCATATTTGTGACTGGATGCAATCTGTACAGGAAAACAGAGACACCAAAATCCCGCTTCATGCATATTAGAACATGCCTCCTAATTTATTTTATTCCTATCCCCACAGAATGTATTTATGTTTATTTTTACAGTGCTGAAATTTTGTACTCTTTACCATAGAAGTCCTTACACATATTTTGGTAAAGGACACAAGGAAGGCATAATGCATATTCATAAGCTGCTTGTGCATCTCTGAAAAGCATCTCTAATTTCCTTTCTTACAGCTCTGGAGCCTCCAGACTCAGTTGCTATTATTATACTCTTCCTCACAATTCCTTAAAAAGACTGTATGTATTAGTTTGCCATGTCTTAGGGATGAGGACAGTGCTATGCCTTTGTTGATGCTTAGCACAATGAGATGCTGATTACTCATTAATACCAGAATGCAAACCACCATCATAACTACAATAACATCACAATAACAAGAAAAACGCATATAAAGTACTAGATTAGCCCTGGAGGCACATATGTGAACTCTACTGACATCACATTCCATTCTATGTCCGAACTGGCGGTTACCGCGTTAATGCAATTAGAGTAGAAAATAGAATACTCTTCATAGCTGTTGTCCATGGTTTTAATAAAAAAAGAGTCACAATCAAGCTGGGAATGCTGCATCCAAGAGCACACAGCTGGAGGTGTGAGTACTGTTGTACGCACAACTTCAGCTCCACCGACTGCTGGATCAGCAAACGTTTACGGATCAGTTACAGCACGGCTGCCAGAGAGAGTCCAGGACAAGACTCAGACTCATCCCTTTGGATGCAGAACCAGATGCTTCCTCTCATCAGCTGCCAAATCCCTTCACTTTAACCTCAAATACACTAAAATAGCTCAGGGACATCACACGAGCTGTGTCCATTATCCTGAGCTGGCTACTCAGGTTAATACTCCGTCATCCCACCTCTTTCTGCTGCCAGGGGTGCCATGTGAAAGATGCTGCCCAAGCCAACAGCATCAGGTAGAGATGGGGAAGGGAAAAATGAGTCAAAAGTCCTGCCTCTTAACTTGACCTCAGCTTCTAACAACTGGCATTTTGTAACAGAAAGCGAAAAGGTTCCGCTGAACTTAAATGTAATCATCAAACCAAATGTTTGTGTTAAGCACAGATGCTTGGAAAGAAAGAGAGAAGAATGAAAACACAAAAAAACATGCTGGCTGGAACCAAAATAGGCAATCATTTTCCTGTTAACTCCATTGATGTTTCATAGATTGTGTCCTCACATAACATCAGCTGCATATTTTTCTGATTTCAAGGAAATTACCAATTTCTTCAAAGTACCCACTCAGTAAAATAACAAGGGCATTGCATTTTTAGCAGGAACTGTCTGTGTTTGCAGGGAAATCCTACTGCGTTTTAGGTATTTCAATCTTACTCCAGATATTGCCAGAGTACATGAATTCCTGGAATGTTTTGCTGTGGGATGAGCCTTGGTGCTTTGCATCTTCAGGAAATCTTACAGCAGGGTTACTGCTGGGTTAGTGAACGAGCACACAGCGTGCACAGGGATTGATAAACAAGCTGATATCTGCCAGCACATTTCTATGCATTTCTTTCACCTGCGTCCCTGCAGATCCTTTCATGTTTCTCCTTTGTAGGTGCAACTCTGCACGTGTAGAGATCCCACATAAGAAATACTAACAGAGATGTGTACAAACCTACATTTATAGAAGTTACACAACCTCAAAGTAAGGTAATCAGACTCTGCTGCCTTGGTGGAGGGCTGGTAGAAGCAGAGCACTCGGGTTAATCACACCCCAAGCAGTTTTTCCCATATGCCTGCATGCGTGCTGGCATGCACATTTGCTGGTGTGCACCCGCACAGGCATGCATCGGCCTTTGTGTCAAGAGCCTGAGAAAAAGGCCATCCTTTTGTAAAAACAGGAGCCACTAATTCTCTGTAAGGTTTCCAGAGAAGCACAGCACAGGGAAGAGGGGTGAGAGTGGCTCTGCCTGTGGCAGGGTGAGTTCTGCTATCAGACCTGCTCATCACCCAGAGTTGCAGGAATTTACACGGATTTGGAGAGGCTGGGCGTGGGTTATGCAACCAGAAGTAAGTCCAGCTTTAAAAGAGGTCTGTGATGTGTGGAGTTGGCACCCGTGGGGGCCCTGGAGAAATGGCTGGGGGGAGGGGAGCCAGCCTGCTACTCGAGAATACATCAAGCCCTTGAGGAAGCAGAGTGTGCCATGTTTGAAGACGCAAAGATAATCACAGTGCTGGGAACCGTCTTGTGTAGCGGAGGAAGCCAAACAACAAGAGGAAAGCAGCATATGCTCGTGATTTCGCACAGGAAGCTAGCAGCACCTCCTGCCAAAGCGAGATAAGAAAACTCCCATGGCCTATTCTGGACAGGGCTGTGGTGATCAGCCTTCGCTCCACACTGTCCTCGCTCCGCTCCACAGCCCGTTCCCTCTCCTAATGAGTTTCAGAGCCCTCACTTCTATCAGCGTGCAGCATGCCAAGCACAATAGCATGGTGTATTTATAACTATCAACAGGGAAAAGTTTCCAGGGTAAGAGTGTACTTCATGTCATCTTGATGTATTTCACTGAAATCACACTACAAACCAGCTCCAAGCTGAAGCCCTGCCGATGAAACTACTGGTCTCAGAAGAAAAGCTGCTTAGTGATTTATAGCAGAGCATGGGAGCTGAGGTAAACAATTTGTCCAGTTACTCATAGGATGGTTTGACCTCACATATGACAGTCAGTTCTGATTGAAAGCCCCAGATCTAGCCCATCCAGACTCATCTTCCCCATGCCAAAGACAGTACTGCAGTTTTCAGTTCAAGCAGTGCAACAACGACAGATTAGTTGGAAAAATACTCATCTTCTGTCTCCTTGTCTTCCCAGCTTCTCCCTCCCAAGCCCTCCTGTGTGATTCCAGAGGCCATTGCAATCATCACCTCGTGTAACTTGAATTTCATTCAAACCTCTAAGCAAGCATTCCTCTTGACAAAGCCCCTGGCAGCCTCACTCACACTCTCATTCACTGGGGTAGATTTGTTGGGAGGGAGAGGAAACCATCCTGTCACCAGCAGTGCCCATTTTTTTGAGTGATTATTGGCAGCCACCATACTTTTCTCAGCAGCTATCCTTTTTATAGGGCAGCAATTCCTAGAAGCGTGAGGGCAATGTTAATACAAATTCAAGTTATGCTGACTCATGTCTTTTAAGAGGCAATGGCAATGACACTAACATTAAGACAGGAACTCTGGAAATTCCTGGAAT